CCATAAGGGTACGCCAACAGCCGCTAATATTTTAACCATGTTAGTTTCATGATGAGAGCTTTCATTTGACATAAAAAAACTTCAATGTTTTTGCTTATCACCTGAAACACCTCCATTGTCAGTTGAAACTCTTTTTTTGTTATCATATAACAGCATGGGCCAAACCAGTCCGCGTTGTGTTCTGTATTTCATCGATTGGTTTCACATTGGATTCTCAACTTGCATGCTTGTAATCGTAGCCCTTTCACACCTGATCAATAAAGAACAGCGAATGGCAATAATTTTAAAAAGACGAAAGAAGCGATCGCCATTCATAACACACTGCTTTCTTGTTAAGTACATTTTTCTACCAGTAAATCGATTCATTGTCTGAATTGCATCTAGCATGCAAGAATTTATGCTTTTTTTTCTTTGTATTGATGCAAGTTAAAGGTTTCTTTGGACAAATAACGTATCCGTTAGTGTTTGTGTTTGTTCTTCTTTTCCGGCAGTTGTCATCGTTCTTGTTTGATTGGATCGATACCAAAGACATCCATTAAAACGAAAAGTGTTGCAAAGAAAACGATGATGAAAATAGCAATGTACGATACTAATCGAGCGAATCTCTGTAGAATCGTGATCTTTGATGTTTCTCAAACACGGAGAATTTCGAGAAGTACATAAAGCACTCCAAACGTTTTTTCGTTCTCTTCTCTTGACAGCCGTGAAACTTGTCTGATTCTTTCATTACAACAGTCAGATATATCTATGAACACGAGGAAATTTTTAAAGGAGAAGGGTGGATAAGACAGTTTTGCGCCCCTCCCCTTCATATTTGAATTATTTCTATCAGCTATCAATCAGGGATCGTTCTTGATCATTTTTTTCAACTTTGTTTCCCGAAAATCGACATTGACGATAGATTGGGGTGTTACAAGGGCAACATGTAACGAAATATTTCGTGGGTTATTATTTATTGGTTCTGGGTGAATTGATATTTCAAAATATAACGTTACGGGTTTTAATGATATTTATTTTAATAATAATATGAGCACAGACAGATAATAACACTTTGATATAATATTGATAAATGGTTATAACATGCACAATAATAATAAATGTTGAACGATAACTGTTTCACGATTCTGTATTGTAATTTCTACTTAATATTTCTAACTAACTAACTCTTTTCCTTACTATCTATACTACTACCTCTCAATACTGCTCTGAAATTATCTAACCCCCATTTACTATATTTTCTCGTCCTTTTATACTCTCACTATTTTCTTTCTCTATTTCCTTCTATATTTCTATTTATTACTAAAAAAGGAAATTATAAACTTAATAGAGAATAACTTAGGCCCTTTCGATTATTTCATTGATTGACATAAACTCTTAAGCTCATCCATGTCATATTTGATATAATGATGCACTGAGAGTATCCAGAAGATACTCGTTCCTATTATGCCCTAACCTTGCACTCATGCTTTTGTAAACATCGTAATATCTAATCGTTCTTGTCGACTACTCTAATTATCCGTATAAAGAGTAAGAAGAAATTCCATAATGGGGACACGTAGATATCTGAATCAGAAGGGGTGTATCGTTCATGAAAAGGTACACACGATTTTCTGAATATATGAGAATATAGATTATTGGCACACAAAACCCAAAGCCCTCACCCACCCAACCACCCACACCCTCAAGAAAGAGTACATATATAGTTTAGTAACAGCTAAGATGCCACAGCACAAATTTCATCCTGGTTTACTTACTTAAAGGAAGTTTGGAACCAATTTGTAATAAAGAATAATCATCAATACTGTTAGACATTGCATTTTCTTGATGAAGAAAAATTCTGTCCGTTGATTCGTATTATATTTTTTCCGTTATCTGAATAGCGGCAGTGTCACATATCCAACATTTTGAAGAAGTGCTCACATCTCTGCCGAGAGGTGCTGGATTTTCAGCGGGAGATACAGCACCCAGTGTGAGAGATGTACTTCTCCAAAATCTTGAATGTGTGACACTACTCATAAACCCACAATTTAATTGATAAAAGTTAATTCTCTACATTAGTTTAAATTGCACAAACCATTTTTAACTCAAGAAAATCAGGTAAATTCATTTTAAGTGACAAGTTCACAACTGGTCGTTTTCCTCTTGAATTGTACAGATAAACCAGAATTCTGGCTTTTCATTCTCGCTTGATTCCAAAACTGTGGTACGAAGCCAATGATATACAGAAAAGGCATCGCAGCAGCTATATATTGCGGAACGCTTTTGCTCGTTGCACCCCAGATGCTAGCACAAATGATAAGCACTATACAACAGACAAGAAACCATAGAGGCCAAAGAATATTCGAATGTTGAGGTGCATTCGATCGTCGTACAAAAAGATAGAAAGCAACAATGGTATGGAACGAGCAATACGAGGAAAGCAACCCAAACATTCCAATAGCACCAGTCAAATGAAGACGATTATTACGATCTAAACTTACGATGGCCATGATCAGAAGAAATACACATGCAAGAAGTGATATAGCATGAATAGCGTACAGAATAGCGCGATGAATGATAGATTGAGAGTGAAACAGAAATTGCAATCGACCAATAAGAATTAATAAAAATTGTGCGGTCAAAATGACAAAGCCAGAAACAAAATAATTATAAGCGGGACCCGTTCCAAGTACTGAAATGTGCGGCAAATTCACCCCCGACCACGCGTTGTTTCTTAATACTTGTCTGCACACTACCAGTGTTAGAATAAATGTAATCATAACTGTGAATGGTAAAATAAGTAAAGACCAATACCAGACCAGTGTCAGAATTCGAGTCATTTTAAGTTAAATAAGATAACTGCAACAAAGACTGCATACATAAAATTCACTAGAAAAAGAAGCTGTCAAATACTACATAATGTAACTTGTATGCTTATCTTTACAATAGAACGAGAAAAATAATCCATGAACCTTTTTCTGCTCTTATTTTATCGTAGCGGTGCTCTTTTTTACCATGGTAAATTTGTTCTTCGGCGTCTTGCTTTAATAAAGAGATGATTATTTATGAGAAAAGAAAGGTATCATGCAAGGGATAAATTTTTGCTGATTCTTTCTTCAATATCTATGGTGCAAAGACAACACTACAACATAGTTTCTTTATCTTTACTTTGTGAGCACGTGTGTTGAATTCAAATAGCATCGTATCATGTTACAAATCAAGAAAAAGAGAAAGAAAACAATCTTCATCATATAACTTTTATCTTGTACATTATTAAGAGACATTTTACGACGGTGAATCAATTCGACAGCAGATTGACCTATCCTTTAACGAAAAGACAAGTTAATATGTTAGTCTTGGCTCTTGTTTATTCAGCAGTCGATTGAGGGTGTGTGTGGGCATTCGTTTTCATGTCACACCCACACTCTCAAGATAAGTACACAATTACCAGAATACAACAACAAAAAACCACTCGAAATCATGTTTTCAAAATATCAATTTCTCTGTCTCTAGTAAAATAAAATCTTAGATCTTTTATCAAAGTTTCAATAAATTTTAAAACATGTCTCACTTATTATGTGTACTAGCCTATTTTTTAATGTATCTGTCTCTCATGAACACACAAACTGGAGTTTTGTACGTGAGTACGTTACAATTACTATTACCTGAACAACAAAGAATACGAAAAGAACACAATTATTCGTCTTGAACTAAATTGAGAAGGGACGTTTTTTTAAATTCATGTAAAGCAAAATGGCAAATAGGCACCAGAAAAAAAAGAGAGCATTTAGCGAAAGACGAAAATAGACGATAAGATTGTTTTTCTTTTGTCGTCTGACTGGTGTAGAATTAAGAGTGATTAGAACGGAAATGGGTTTATATGAATCTCTTTATATTTTAGATACTAGAAAAGTAAAGCGTTGTGTGTAGTTAACAATGGCTTTCGATCTACCAGCGACTCCAGATTTTCGCGTTGGTACTGTCAATGTTCATGTATTTATTAATTCAACTGGTAATAGTAATGTAAAAGCATTAGCATCGATTCTTGGTCCACTCAACCTTGACGTTCTCGCTGTGGAAGAAGCCAATAATAATAAAGATTGGAAATTTCTATGTGATGAGTTATCATTAACTCATACTGCATTCGGAGCAATTCATGGATCATCATACGGTAATGCCATCGCCTCTCGTCATCCGATTGTAGAGCATTATAGTCAAAGTTCATCCACGAACCCTGTCGGTGGTTATCGAGCAATGCTTCAATGTCGTTTTGGCGGTGACCATCCATTTGTTCAAAATCGAAGATTCGCAGTTACACATCTAGATCATTTGAATGAAGACGATCGATTGACACAAATCAAGGAATTTTATTCACTAAACCACAATATCAATGTACTTGCCGGTGATATGAATTCATTGACACAAAGCGATTATTCGGATAAATATTTTCATGAAGTCGTTGCTGGCAAACGTGAAAGATTCCGACGGGAAATGCCTCGATTCGAACTCACTCAACTATTGACAAATACCTGGGGTTTGCAAGATGCTTTTCAATATTTAAATCCGACACTCAAAGACGAACAGGTGGCAACATGTCGATACGGAACCCGAATTGATTATATATTTCTGCGTCCTTTGTCTAACGATGAATGGGTATTGAAAGAATGTTTCATTGTGGATACTCACCAAGCGACAGATCACAATGCTGTTGTGGCCACTTTCCAACATAAATCAAAATACTAGAATATGATTGAAAATGATAGAACACTATGACGTTTATTTTGTTGCCCTATTGATAAGCATCTCTTTTGAACAGTACTATCTAATGCGTGCAGGTGTGAGATGAGAAAGAAAGTTTCAAATAAGTTTAATAAAATTCGGAGAAGTTTCGATGGTATACTGCAAGGGTGTGGTTGTGGGTGTGGGTGGTATGCACACCATCCACACCATCAAGAAAAGCCGCATGTATAAAATAAGTGGTCTCGTGGATATTGTAGATACGTGATACAACTCGTCGTAACTGTTCTAAAGTACAATCTTTAAGATTTACTATTTCGACAAGTTTAGCACATTCAAACAATTTTTACTTGTACTTTTCTTGTTTAAAAATATGTTTTTGATCGAAGTTGTTGAATAAAATATGAACATATAGTCATAAAACATTTTAGAAACAATTTTGATATACATAGCCAATTTTTTTGACAACTAACCAATTTCATTTACTCTAACAAATTTAACACTTACTGTTTACGATCTTTCTATGCTATTCTATCATGCTTGACATGATATAATGATAATAAATTGCCGATAAGATTCGTTTCTACCTTACTTATATTGGTCACACCAGATCGTAACGGGTTGGACAAATTAATTCTTCGTCTCTTAATATGTTGTTTCAACAATCATAACATACGGTAAGATGCCCCGCGAAAAGCTCTATAATTTGCACAAAACTGTTTCTTTTATAATTGTACTTTTTGTTTTCAAAATAGACAAAATTTTGAGGCCGCCAGATTTTGGACATTATAAGTATTGATCGTACAAAATTTTTCTCTTTTTGAAAAAAAAATCCTAATAAGCTTTACAGTGAAGATTGCAGTGCTTTTCACACATCATCTTATGGTGTATATTGTTTTTCTTCTAAGAGAGCATTTTGGCGATGAAATGATGAAATAACGAAAAATGGATCCGTTATATATATAGACAAAAAAAACTATATTTTCCTTATCATAGAAGCTGAATCGCCAAAATTTTATCCATTCTGAAAACAAAAAGAGACCCTATAAAAAGGTAATAATCTGTAAGTTGTAAAGATTTTCCCGCTGTAGCTTGTGGTATATTTTGGCTTTTAACAGCGCTCATAAAGGGATTGACAATTGCAGTGGAAACTTGTTACGCACTCGAACGAGAACGAAAAAAATCTTATTGACATTTTATTGCCACCATATCATGTCAAGTATGATCAAATCAAATGGTATAAAAGATAGACCTTTCCCCTCTATCATACCACGTAGAAAGAGAGCACTGAATTTTTTATAAATTTCTAATGAGTTAATAACTTTTTTCCTTCATTGCATCATACAGAGAACAGAAACAAAAAAAACAATTAGTTGATATAAATGAATAAACAAGTTAGAATTGTTCTAAGAACGAGCAGCTATCGTTTTGATATTATCCTATATTATGCGGTATACTACATTCATTATATACAAATTAAACAATTTCAACAATATCTTCCTTCAATAATATTTTTCGATTCAGAAAATATTTCTTTCTTTAAGTTCTCTATATAATAATTGAGTTGAATCGAATAGAGAAGATGAATATCATTTTTAAAAATTATATATTAAGATTGAGATGATTTTTTTTCTGAATTTCGCTTTTATTCAAGCATAAAAAATCTTTTTCATTTTCACATACAGAAAGGATTTAATCAATATTTCCATGACGTAACAATTGAAGATAAACCCAAAAATTCATCAAAGATGGGATCATAACCAACAGGTTTATTTTGTCTTGTCAGACGACTTCAGCAAACAATAAAATACCAATGAGCATTTTTCTCAGTTAAAAAATATCTCTTACTTATTTCCATAAGAACGTTTTTAGTAAATTGTTTTTTTCAAGAATATTCCTGATTATCAATCATTGAATCGACATAATGACCAATATAGCCCAGCGACTTTTTTTTGAAACATTGGCGTGCAATAATTTCAGCATGCTGTTGAATATAAATTTGAATTTTGTATATTCGAAATATGATTCAAAATGCAAGACATAATTGTTTTCAATTCACAGTAATTGTTAGCGTTAGTGATGGATCACACTAACGCTAAACGAAGATTAATACGTTCTTCTAGTCTAACTGGTAGGACATCTGCCCGGATAGCAGAAGGTATGAGTTCGATCCCCATGAAGGTCATATTTTTCTTCGTTCTGTCACATAACATCAGTGACACTGCTTGTCTCTTTCGCTCTTTATATATCTCTCTTTCATTCATTATATGTTCCTTTCATTCTATACATATTAAAGCTAACAAGATGGTGATGAAAAAGCTAGGAATAATATTGTCCAGTAGACTTACATTCATTACTTTTCATAGCGATAACATCGTTAACAGAAGGCCACTTGTCCACCTGAATGTTTTCATTATCATCAGCTTCATTACTTGATGCTATGTTTGACGTTGTAATAATCGATGGGTGTGGGTGAATTTGGGCGCATGTGACTATGTACTGAAAACAAATAGTACCACACTGAACCAAAAATGTTTCGTCCTCAGTGCGAAACTCATAAAAGGTTTCGAATTTACTCACTGAACTTAAAAAGGGTTTCAAACTTTGAAACGAATTCTGAACCTTTTGAAAACGTTTCCTGGACTCTTGATAATCATTTTGAGACTATCTTCGGGTTTTACGAAATCTTTTTGAAGACTTTGAATTCGTTTCAAAAATGGTTCTGTGTAATGCTATTTGTTTTTCCAGTATGGGTGTGCGTGTCGCAATAAAGACATCCACACCCACACCCTAGATCTCAGCAGTATGAAGACAAAATCTCCGAACAACTACTTTTAATTATAACAACAGAATAACTAAGCTATCTTTCTTTTTCTATGCATTCATAACTATATCTCCTCTTCACCTTTTACTATTATTACTTTTTCGCTATATCCTCGTTTCTGCATTGTCAAACAAGTTTTACTTCTATCTAAGTTTTTAAACTGAACTATTGTGAGTCACTATAAAAATAAACTAGACAGAAAGGTCATAAGACACAAGTGACGAGTCCTCTCTTTTGCGTTGTTTTTTTCTATTCAGAGATTTTTATTATTAGTATTATAATAAACTTCGATGTAACCGAAAAAAAAGGACACGGAAAAGAAAAACATCTGTAATAGTTTATTATACATCATCAGAGAAATAGTTCGACCTTGGGGACTAAACTATATTAAGCAATTCTTATAGATACTATATAGATTTGGTATATATATATATATGTGCACGTCTTAAATGACAGCAAAGGCATACATGAAAATTTCATACGAGTTTCAAACGCAATTTTCTGTTTACCATTGCTATTTTCTAGCTGCCATGGATTCAAAAAAATAAAATGCCATGCATGCTTCATCTTGAAAATAATATTCAGGCAGTTGCATTGCAACAAGCTAAACTTATAACCAATCTTTAATTAAAATTCAAATCTATGAGAATGCATTTCGCATTGTGCGATGTAATGAATAAATATCAATAATAAAACCATACAAGACGCAATCAAACAGCTCGCAGCATCTCTAAAACAGTAGAATGACTGGAAGAATACATCTACAGACGTAATATGGTTGCTTTTCAAGCAGTTGCACACGAGCGCAATATTTTAACAACAAAACTATGCTTTTTTATTATTTATTTTTGATCAGTAAGAGTAGCTATTCGACTCTAGAAGCTTTAAGAGGCAACGAACATTCATTTGAGCTTCATCAAGAATAAGAGCTGCCGTTTTTAAAATCAGTCAATTCTTAATGCACACATTTAGAACTGTTGGCCACAATGAAAATTAAACTGGTAAAGAGACAACAACTTCATTCCCGTCACTATGATTATAAAAATATTGATATTTTATTTTTTCTTTGCATCAAATTCTTCTCTAGGTAAGAGTCTCAAACAACCGTGTTTATCGTACTTCGATCAAATCAGAACCATCGAATACCGTGAATGTGCCCAAAGATTCTTCATTGGATACGATGAATAGGGGCTCAAAAAGAAGCAATAAAAAATTAACATCAAGGTCAAAGATGAAAGAATATATCAAATACAAAATCGGGCCACAGTCTCATCACTCTAAGAATAGCACAAACGTCAGCAGTCATTCTCATCGGGTTCACTCTAACCAGGTATCAACAGTATACTAACTAGTGCTACTAATCGCTTATTTCTTCTTGACGGATTGTTCCATATAATCTTTCACTCAATCTCTGAGTATTATAGTGCTGAATTTTTTTTAATAGAAGATCGCGCCGCTGAACCCTGGTAATTCACTCAATTTGTGAAGTGCTTTACAGCGGAATGATGAATCTTGATTTACTTTATGTTTAGCACCGGAGCCGATTTTTTCTAAGATTCACTCCTCCGATTTGCGTAATAGTGAAACACGACAATCCAGTACTATCTCGAGTGCCAAAATAAAGAAACGGTCTAAGAGGCGATTGTGCATACCTTGCTCACCATGTTGTTGTCTTACATCCGGGTTGCTTTTGGGTGTACTTTTGGTTGCGATTGGCACAGTGCTAATGGTGATCCTGTTACCGACGACAAAGACAACCACAAACACAACCACTAGTTAGTAGTGAACCATTTATATTGATTTTAAATTACGTTTGAAGTAATTAACATTTAATATTAAGTGTTAAGTAATTGGAATGAACAAAATACTCTTACATTTTGATATTCGATGCGAGAAAAGTTATGTTAAAAATAGGGCAGCTCGTGGTAGGTTTTTTAAGCACTACCGAAGGAAAACATTTGCAAGAAAACAGCTTTTCAACACGATAGGCTTGGTAAAGAACGTAATTCAGAGTAGGTTCCCTACATCGTTTAAAAAGAGCAGCGCGATGCAACTATTGATGACCGTGTTACTCGATAAAACAGAAGTTAGTGGTGTGAAATATCACAATGTACCCTAGGATGTGTTGAAGAATAATCTGGTTCTCCAATCAAAGACAGTCAACGCTTTTAAGTACAAGAAAAAAATGAACGAAAATTTCTTTCAATCTCAATTATTTTGATACCTAAGCGCAATAGTTACTGATAATCGGGTCTTTATCGTATCCAATCAAAGTTTCTCAGCATCGCAAATGTGCAGATAGTTTCTGCTTCGGTATTTCCCCCAGGCTTTTATTGTTGCAGGAAACCATTTTTCCTTAACAATGCTTGGTTTAGTATTGATCACTCTTATGAGTACCTTAACAGTAATGTTAATCAAAAATGGGACTTCATCAGTTTAATATAAATGTGAAACGATGAACACTCGATATTATTTTAACTGACACAACTTAATTAAAACTATTAATTAAAAACCATTATATAAAATACTGCAATAGAACTCTATATTCAATTCACTTACAAGAGAATTCATTAACATGTTGATTCCTGTTTTTCCCAGGTTTTCACTATCAAAATAAAAAAAAGAGGCTCTCTTAAATAGGATTCAGTTTTACTTTAATACCTATACTGTCGTTTATTTGTTCTACACTTTTAGCAACGACTGTAACCTTAGTCATCGCTTTCTGGCCATTCGACAACAATACTCTCGATCTATATGGTGCCTATGATGGTACTCTTATAGGAAATGGAAGCTATACGACCAGCTTTCTTGGATACGGCGCTGCACTTAATCTTGTTCAGTCCTCTTCTCAATTTGTCTCCATCGCATCGAGTCAACTGCTTTTGAATTCGCGCAGTTTCACAATCGAAGCATGGATCTATCTAAGAGGTTCTGCAGTTACCGACTACGGAATATTCGGTCAGTGTCCATCAACTAGTGCCAACTTATGCTTTGATTTCATGACTCGAAGTAACAGACTATACTGTGCAATCTACAACAATAGTGTACAAGGTGGAAGTACACTGACACTCAACACGTGGTATCATGTTGCTTGTGTCTATGATGCCAGTACTCAGACACAATCTGTGTGGCTCAATGGAGTCGTGGATGGCTCCAGTTCGGCGAGTGCCTATCAGGATACATCGGGTACAACAACCATTGGTGCTATTTATAATTCGAGTAGTACGGTGTGTTTGAACGGTTACATTGATCAAGTACGATATGAGACCATAGCAAAAACTGCTTCTGAAATTTTGGATGATGCTACACTATATGTTTATTATTCTTTCGATAGTAGTTCTCTGATTGATAATGGTCCTAATGGTATTAATGGAACTTCGTTTGGAAATTTGATGTTCACAGCTGGGAGAGTGAATGAAGCTGCTCAATTTAGTGCTGGTGCTTATATTTCTTACACATACACTCCATTTTACTTTTTGGGTATCCTTAATCACCCTTTTAGTATATCATTATGGGCAAAACCGATGGGAAGCTATAGAGCATCTACGTTAGTTTTTGTAGATAAAGGAGCAAGTTGGTGTATGCACTTTTTAGTGATGACTTCTACTGGGCTTTTAAGTGCGAATTTATGGAACGGTGGTAATGTAGGAGTAAACGGTCCCATACTTCCATTGAACAGTTGGACGCACATTGGATATACGTACAGTACCACTAATGGTATTCAACTGTATATAAATAGTACTTTATATGCAACAAGTGGTAGCATTACTTTTTCAGCCTCTGGCGTTCCAATGTATATGGTATTGGGTGGCGATGGTGGTTACACGACCTGTTCTCCATATTACGGGGGTAACTTTACTGGCGCTTTGGATGAATTTTATTTGTATAGCCGTGAACTGTCAGCATCAGAAATGCAGACATTGTCGAATCCATAAACTTGAACTGCAAAGCTGGTGGTTGATTATGATTTTAACCATGACACTCGGATGCTTTGAATTGCTGGGCATTGTTCAGGACACGTAAAGTGTTTTTACTACCAATATTTAATTAAACGAAATTTTGTTTTGAAAGAAAAGCATGTTTTTAAGGGTGTAGGTTTTGTGTGAGGGTGTCGGTGTGGGTACGGGTACGGATATGAGCCCAGGTCGAACATTCCGGCCACCGGTTCCCGTAGGATGCCCCAGGAAATATGCGGAAAAGTCAACATATCCTGCAGGAAAATACGGGAAATCGCTGGAACATGGAAGCAGTATTCCGGTCGAAAATCATCGGAAAATTTCCAACCGGAATACTGCTTCCACAAAATCAACGGAACTACCCGGAACCGGCTGTTTCCAGGCCGGGCTGTTCGACCTGGGGATGATGTAAAGTAATTGGTACTATATTTTTCAGCATGTAAAAGATATTTATTTGCGTGAAACAGATGAAGGAAAACAAAAAATATATAACAAACCAATTTCAATAGCTGAAAATTTACTTCAAAATATCAATACTTTAGTTGATGTTGAAACAAAACGAAAAGTAAATGTTTTAATATATCTCAAGGCATTAAATTAAATTAAATTTTTCTTGTAGAAATTATTTAATGATTGTTATGATATTCTTTCATCTTTTTTAAATTTTTATTATTTACAAACAATAGATCCACCTGATAAAAAATTTTTACTTGATTATACAAAAGAATTTGATAATTGTATTTCGCGTAACATATCGTTGTGCCGATATTGATGGCACACTTCGATAATTCTCCTTCCTCTTCCTTATGTTCTCTTTCCATTGTTCTAATCTCTCTCTCCTATATATACGTGTGCTATGTATGAAGTTGTTACACTCTGGATATGTGAAGAAGCGAATAAACATCATTGCCGAGAATGGCGGTAAGCTACTCCACCTCTATCCAGTGTGTCATTAACATATCTACCCAAATAGGGTCCCATATTAATCGTTACAATCGTATTCAAGTAAAGCTCGAATACCATCTAGGTTAGACAATGACGAGTTAATTATTGTTTGGACTATGTAAACAAACATTTAGAATCTTCAATTGAGCTGAGTCAATTGTGACTTAAGTATTACAAGCATCTGTATTTAATGTAACGTTTTCTATTCATGCATCAGTTCATAGCGAGAAGTAGATAATTTTCGATCGTAACTTATCAATTTTTTGTATATAATCGACAAAGATATTATTTATGCTGAACTTTTCAAAAAATTCTCTTTTCAAATGTATATTGTGAAATAGAATGTCTATAAAGAAAAAGATCATCAAAGATTAAAATAAAATAAAATAAAACAATGTCTTTATATAATTGTATATTCTTTTAGATGCTAATGTTTTTCGATGACTTTATCATAAATAATATATTAATAGCCACTTCTCTCAAAAAAAAGGTGTCATATGGAACCTTTTAAGGTTTCACTCGCTCATTAATGAACCATCGTGGGTTCTAGTTAGTTTAAAGAACCATCTCAGATCCTCAATAGTTCCAGATGTTTGGCAAGGTTCCGTCCTGTACCATTTTTGTTAATGGTGAACCATTTTTCCAAAGATCGTTCTGGCTTGAAGCAAGATAATATATTTGCGGAACGTGCTTTAAGTAATATTACACCTCAAATAGGTTATCGATGTCCAGGAATTCTAATCCTTCATCATTTTTTCGATGCCAGGGATGCGATAGTTGAATGATAGACCTGCGTAGTTGTATGTCCAAAACGAATTCAATAATTATAGTGGTATCTTTTCAAGTGTGATTATTCTTTTATCTTTTTCGATATGTCACATGTATGAATAGACATGTAGTGTCAATCTGATAAAATGAATTTAAGATTTTCTGTAGTTAGGTATGTATGAATAATCAATTCAAATGCAAGTTTAATATGATAAAATCTATTAGCATTTTTTTTATATTTTAGGTATATGAGAATAATTTATTTAGTGGTAAGTTGAATCTTACAATATAAGTCACTGTTATTTTTTTAGTTCAGGATCGTCTCAACAACAACTAACGATGATGCTGCTTTCGTGCAAATAACGAAGAAAGTGCTAGCTCGTATTCTACTCACAACAAATCTAGGTAAACATAACACAAAGAAATAAGGGTTCAGGTTAGGAATAGGGGATTAAATATGAAATTAACGGTTCGATAAAGCATTAGTCTGGAGTACTAGACTAATTGAGTGTGGTGAATTACATTTTACTACTCTAGAACCTTGAAAGATTCAGCATGACACCTTCTTTTTTTCCGAAGTATGACTGGATCTGGGAGGAAGTTAAGGGTTATGGGTACCGTCTTTTCCGGATGGAATACTGCTTCCAATTCTTATTGTTTTTCCTGCAGGATCCGGCGTGAGGGCCTAGAAAACCGGTGGAAAATCACCGGAAAGATCCGGAGAACGGAATCATCGACCTGGGAAGAATCTCTTTTTATCGAAAGTTTGATTCAACTGAGTTCCGTAGGAAAATCCAGTAAACCCTTCAGAATCCGTTTGGGGACCTTTTAGAAACCATCTGAAGACCTCGACAGTGTCTCAATCAAATTCCCCGTCGTTTTTAACCTACTGGGTGTGTCTTGATTGCATTATTGGCAAACTTCCAAAAATCCTGAAAAACAATTTTTAGGTTTCCGCATAGTTCTAGGTAAAACACAACTTTCTCCACGAAGAAAAATAATTTCGTAAAACTACTCGTATACTTTGGAAGAGGAGCATCTGGCAAATCGAACCATGCAATAAAATCGATTTTAACACATCAGGAAAAGGTTTTTAAAAATTAGCTTCTGGGCTTTCAAAAATCGTGCTTCTAGAGACCTTGACGGGCAACGCTTTAGGTCAAAAACAATTTTAAAGATATTTTCTGATTCCGTTTTCCAAGATGAACAAGAATATGTCCTTTGCGAGTATCTAAATAGATTCAGAAGTCCAGGCATTCAATTTTGCGAAAACCATGCAAGAAACAGAGTTTTTTCAATTTTTCAATTTTTCAAACTGAAGAAACCATCGAAATAACTTAAAAAATTTTACTCGAAGTTCGCCTTGCGCGAACCTTATCTTGATTGTTTAAAATGTATTTTTCACTTTAGAATCTACCAGCAAATAATTCATCAGTAATGAGTCTTGGATTAGTAATGTTTGGTTCTATCCAATCATTAGACTGTAAGCAATTTCTATAGGCTGAATATGCCTTAAAATTATTCCAAATTACATCACCGTGTGTACCACCAAATACCATATTGTCCTGGTTAGGTCCATCAACATTATTATAGGATGCCATTTTAATTTTATTGTTATTTACATAATTACACATTTGGCGCAGCCATTCATTTTTTGACTGCACATCTGTAGTATTTCCTGTTCGTACACCGACTGTTGCATACGCATTCAGAGATATTGGTTTTGTTGATGATAACTTGTGTAATCGACCCATCATATTATCAAAAATTTCATTTGGCCATTCCCATTTACTCCAATTTGCACTTGAACCCCCATTAAATCCATTAATTCCTAGCCAATGTGTATAGTTTTCTCCAACCCAATATTCTTCTGCAGTATATTGGCCATAGTCCTTACGATTTACACTCCAAACCCATTGAAGTCTTGTTGAATCTATACCTGTGTTTAATAATATATTATAAGTATGACGCCATGCCAAAACATAATCATTTGGAGTTGAACCTATTGACCACGAATACCAATTTCCATTCATTTCATGACCTAAAAATAGAAACAACCTTGTTGCTTGCACTCGTGGGGTTTTTAGAAAACTTTCTCACGGAATCCAGTGATGAAATACGACCTCGAAGAAAGTTTGAAACATATTTTCTGATCAAAATGATTCCTTATCATCAAAATCTTTGATCCGTAATGGTATAGGGTTTTGTCTAGGTTTATTTTTTTCGGATGGGTGGTTAAAATTTTTGAAGGGCTGCTGGCTACACTCTTTTTCCATATAGCAAAGGTGCACAGAGTTTATGCATTTTTTTTACAACACCATTACAGTTGTCCTCCTGTTCTAGCAATCATTAATAAAATATTTTAGATCATTATCTAACTCAGATGGTTCTTCTATTGATATTCTCATTAATTATTCTAAATAGTCTGTTATTAAATGATATCATAGATCAGTTACTATTCTATTCATTGTACTGAAATCACGTTCTACTGTTGCTGTACTAATTGGTGCGCATAAAAAATATTTCAGTAGCAAATGATAATTGTGAAAATAAATCTCTTATGATTCCATTTTTAACTAAATTAATACATTGTTGTCGTTGTGTTTAAATTGTAGATGTTTGTTGTCCTTGCTGTGTAGATAAATATTTGCGAAATATTTTCCATTCAGTGAATAAGTCATTATTAAAATCATTAGGGCACTGTTGTTTGATTATATTAAATACAGTTGATTCAAATTGAAATGGTACTATTAATCGTTCATAACAACGAATAACAGCATTAATAGTATGAGAATATGATAACCATCGTATATCACTAGATTGAATTAATGGTAACTGTGAATGTTTTAATAATGCTTGAATATCATTATAATTTGCTAATCTATTGATGATCGATTAATAAACTTTCTTGTACTTCCTGTATATCGTCACATGAGATTGTAATTCTTTAACAATCATATCAAATAATATTTGGGTATCTTTATCTTTTATTTTTAATAAAGTAATATATGGTTGTGTCGGCTCACTTAGAACGTGCAAATATTACACGTGAGTAGATTTTTCTAAAAAAAAAGCATCATGCATCTCCTATCTGTCTCAGTCAAGATCACTGTAGACCAAGAATACACTGGCCTGTATCTTGATTACAATAACGTATACAAATTGATAAGTTTTGATGATAGTTTATATCTGTGCCCTCATCAACCATAATTGAAATAATTCTCGATTCACGAATTTTTATTAAGACTTGTTCATCTATTACTTCACTATACTTCACGATTTTCTTGACATTTCAATTCACTAACATTACATAATTACTGTGCTACTGATCTTTCTTGTTACTTAAATGATAAAATTTGTACAGTTATTTTATGATACGTAGATTCTTGGTGTTTTTCTAAATTTTCGCTTTGATCAGGTTCATATTTCCCATTGGCAAACGGTTGTATAGTAAAAATACCTCTAATTCTTGTATTCATCTCAGAATAGGATGGTATTGTTGGTTTCCAGTAATCATGACATATGCCATGCATATTGGTTGTATTATCATTTATTTTACTTTTTTTTATTGAACTATTATCAGGTTCTTTTGCATTACCTTTTTCTTAAATATGACAGGCGAGTTTTTTGTGCTGATGACATTTATTTAGAGAGATGGGTCGTAATAACGTTGAATGTAATATATTTAATGGGTAGTATGCGACACTACAGAAAAATGAATTTTCACATTTTCATTCTTTTCAATATATTATTATGTCTACTTAAGAAGAATCGACTATCCAATGAATAGTCGAACTCAGTCCATTTGTTTCCATCCGAAAACGACAAACTATATTATAACTTACAGTAATAGGAGAAACATATGAAGAACGCCTTTCGATGCGGTGTGAAAAGACAAATATCTGCGGAGAAGGATGCTGGAAAGACTGATAGGAGAAATTTATACGACTGGTACGCTGATAGTTCAAATGTTATCAAGTTGTACATCCTTCACTACTACATAAAAGAGAGAAAATGAATGCTATCGGTAATGAGAGTAGAAGTGAGAGAAAAAACATCTATTTTTTTAATGAAAGACTGAAGTGACACACTTTGGATTATCATGATGTTATGATCCTCGTAGCGAATACTCAATACTTATAATTGGAAACAAATATCCGACAAATACAGCACATTTCATAAAACGACTCCAGCTTCTGTTGGTGTTTACCAGGAATTAGGCATGTACCGAACTCGAACCTAAACATGGGCTGTTTGCTATCGAATATTGAACCAGTTCGGGTTTGGTGCATGCCTAGTAGGAATGTAAATACTACTTTCTCAGGAAAAATAAGGAATATGTTTTTCTACCAGCCTGTGCTATGTCATTAAATTCCATACCTAGTCGCACAAATGCACGCCTATCGTCGTAGGTTCCATATATGCCATCAGGACCAGCCAACCATTTTTTCAGACGATCACCAAATTGATTAATATATGGATCAAAAGTATTGTTATTAATTTTTTTCGTTATTCCTGGATCGTCTTCAGCACTATGATTACAATCAGTTATTTCCCATGTTATTAATGGGACCATACTACGATTCCATACATTGTCCATGTCAAGATCAAAAAACGGTCCCAATGAATTATTACACCAATCAACATAGATGTCAATGCTTACTTGACGTTTACCAACCCACAATGCTAAGTCACCTGTAGAGTCCATCATAACTGATGTTAACTTGTAGTTAACTACTGCATGTGTTATTTTTATTGTCAAAATGAACACGAGTAGCAATAGAATTTGACTGAAAAATCGAAATAACTTTTTCATCTAAAAGATGCAGAAACAAATAGCTTATATACAACCTGAAGTATGTATGTTAGTGTCAATAGATGTTTCTCGATGACGCAATGTGTTCGCACGTTGTTGAGGTTCTTTTCTTTCATTCCATGTCTGACATGTCCGTTGTCCCTATACTTCGTTGATCATCTCTAGCTGATCAGGATCGCCCATTCCTCTGTTCTCCTATTGACTCGTTTCGTGTTGGTTGCTTCACGTGTTCCGGATTTTCCCTCTCGAATCTCTTACTTGTCCATCTATTTCTCTTGTGACAGTTGTTGTAGTTTCCCTCTCGTTGTTATCATCAACATCTTGTGATCATTATCTTGTGTTTTATTTCATTAAAATAAAGCAGTTATTCCCATTCTTCTGATCATCTCATTCGGAACTTACGTAATCAGGATACGGTAGGCGATTTTGTACAGGCATCTCTCGACATAGCATATAGACCCATCCCATATTTTAGCCGCCCAGCTTACTCTATTCACGGTGGGTTGAGCCTTTTGGCATTTCCGCAGACGAGAGCCTCCCTATGTGCTGTAAATATATCATTAAAGGATTGGGGGATGATCTAAAGCACTATAAAGTAATGCGCAATATTTGAAGATAGCTAAAAATGATCCAAATCAAGTATAATGAGTTTGGACTTTTGTTTGTCTGTCTGTCTGTAACCCGTTTTTAAAACCACGGTGGAATCTACAGTCGGTTGATTCAGACTGACGATTTTTATTGCGCCAGATCAAGCAGAATCTATTTTTCTCTTCATCGTGCGATTATTGAGTGTTGTGGCTCATCTGACTCCACTGCCTCTCTATTTTCTGTGTGTGGAGAATATGGTCTAGAAACCTCAATCCAGCTCTTGCTTGATCGTCAATTTTATTTCAGTCGGTGATGGGTGCTTCATCGTCTTTATGTTTGACTACACTGTAAAAAATGGGCTTATGAAAGTACGACGTGACACATACCATTTTTTCGGTTTTTGAAATATCTGATAAATTCTTTTTCCAAATCATAAACCTAAAAACCGTTTATTATCTTCACCATATACGGACAAAAAGGTTTATGATACGTTTCACTTTCATAAACCATTTTTTTGTTAAATACCCTACCAAAAACGTTTTTTCCGTTGATTATTCTGCGGATATTTTTTTACAGTGTAGCAGCGTGTTTACATAGCTAATAATGTACGAAGAAATTTTCTGGTCATGTGGTTTTCTTGCAGCTTCAAATATGTGATCTGAAAAATATTCGTTTTTACTGCCTCGCGTTTCCTGTAGAACACGGGCGGGAAGCCTTCACTTGTTTCTCAGTTGATCGTCAATTATAACTCAATCGGTGAAAAGTGTTTGTATTGTCTGTATCCTTTTTCAGCTGCGTCGTTATAGAGCTCACACCCTATGAATAGGCTCCCGTGATTATGAAAGAAGGGTTAGATATCCAACGTTGAAATATCTTGTCGAATCCGAAACACGGAGGAAATCTAAAGCATCCCTCTTGGTTTTCCGGATTGATTGACATCACTGTGCTACGGAGGACTGTTTTTTTTCCTGACCTAGAGTTACACTCTGTCGAAATAATACAAAGCCAGTCTGCTCAAATAAGAAACACATGAAAAATAATACTGACAATTCGATGCTACACTAGAATTAGGCCTCATATCAATAGGCTATTAGTGATTAGTTGTACAGCACAAAGACTAAATAAACACTTCCGTTAATTTATTCAGGTCTACCTCATGCAAGTAATAATGGAAAGCAGTATATTATAAACAAAATCCATAACTTATTTATTTTGTTTAGGCCTATCTCGTGGGAATATAGATGGTAAGAAATACATTATGAACAAAATAATTATTTAATTGAATGTATTTAGGTTGGTATCATTTAAATAATAATGATCAGTAATATATTAGAAATAAAATAAATACTTTATCTCACCTATTTAGGATCAACTCATGTGAATAAGAATGATGATAAGTAATATATTAAAAATAAATTAAACATTTTATTTTCCTTTATTTTAGCTTATCTCTTGGTCTCATCTCACGTCGAACAATACGGTTCGTATATTGGATGCAGAAATACGGATTGTACCATCATTAAAATAGGGTCGTATACAACTGTATATTAATGGTGGTCAGGACCGTATCGTTCGACTTGGATTTCTAATGAGGTTGTTGAATAGAACCTTCGATAGGTTCTATAGAATCTCATTCAAGATTCGGGAGTATTTTCTAATGGGTTTCGAATTATATAATACCCGTATCATATGCTGAGTTACCGAGCATTTGGAAACCACTGATCGATAACCCTTAAAGCGTTTCAGATAGTAACAAACTCGGAAACTCTTATTGAGTTTCCTAAAGTACCTATTTTGAAAGAGAGTTTGTAGCTTAGTTTTTAAAACTCCGAAGTACGACAGTGTTTTTGGAAACTCCGTAGTACATTCTGTAGACAATTCAAAGGGCTAACTCTGAGATGGTGATAAGACAAACACTTTTGTGGTGGAGCTTGATACAGTCTCTCGGGGAAACTCGTGTTTATGAGGACAATTTGTAGAGTCGGATCTCTCGAGTCTATCCTGAAATTTTAAGATTTTTTCCTTATATGGTTCGAGAGATGCTCACTAATTACTTCTTAATTAATTAGTTTTACTTAAATAGCACCTGAAAGCGGGGTTTGCCCTATTCTGTCGATGGGATTCCACATCAAATTATGTTTTGATGGATGGAACAGTGACGTGAGGACTCTTTAAGAAATCCCTTGTAGCGATGTAATCATGGAATGACTTTATAACTGTCGCGTCAATCTCTGCTCAGCATGAATAACTACTTTAAAAAACATTTATTCTTGATATAATGCTCGCGCTGACACCTACCTTGCTCTATGATAATATAAAATGTAGCTGGTGTTCGTCTTTTCATGTATTCATCTTCTACTATCAGTAATAACAACAACAGCACAAGTCTTATCAGCATGCATCTCTATTTAACAGTAACATGTACTCTTCAATAATAAGATCACAGATATTATGTCTAAAAGTTGTATTATTATTATATTGGCGACCACAAACGGGCCGTAAATCACCCATTTAGTAGCGACTCTATTGCGGTGCGCACCACAGTATACAGTAGTGTCTACGACTTTTCTGGAGAATTTGTTTTGGATTGTTTCATCGGCTTATCTGACTCACACATAACCACAAGTAACGTTCATCGGCTTCCAATTCACTCGTTCCGTACGCTTTTTAAGACTGACAGCATATGTCTGTCATATTCATTCACATTTCGACAACGTATAGCTCTAGTTCAGGGAAGATAAAGAGCCCATCGAAGCACGGAGGTGTCGATTAATCTGGAAAACCAAGAAGGGGGGGTTAGAAATTTCCTCCGTGTTTTCGGATTCGACAAGATATTTCAACACTGAATACCTAATCCTTCTTTCATAATTAGGGAAGCCTCTTCATACGGTGTGAGCTCTATAACGACGCAACTGGAAAAGAATACAGACAATACAAGCACTTTTCACCCATTGAAATAAAATCGACGATCAAGCAAGATATGGATTGAGGTTTCAAAGCCATATTCGCCACTAACAGAAAACAGAGAGGCAGTGAAGTCGGATGAGTCACAACACTCGATCTTTGAGCGAACAATACAACAAAAGGCGCTAACGAGACCAATCAAGAGAGAAAGATAGATTCTGCTTGATCCGACGCAATAAAAATCGTCAGTCTGAATTGTAGATTCTCTGTGTGTGAGTGTGTCTGTGTTTATTGGGGATAAACACCAAAGAAGACAACAACCAGACAGGGGACAGAAGAGACACATATACTGAACACATCTCTCTACATATATACGTGAAATAGAACAACGCAATATGTAAAGACGACATTGCCTATCGGTCAGGCGCTACATCCTGAACACCTTCTCCTTCAAGATTGTCACGAGTGTGAATACCGGTCTGGTGACTTTTGGTTTCGGCGTGGGAGCTATGGTTGATGAGGGTTGAGTTGTTGTGACTTCCAATCACGATTTAGCAAATCTTCAGGCAAACTATTGAGGTCTGATGGAACATACTTTTGAGGTTGACACAAACGAGGGTGTGGTGTGAGTGCCAAAGTAAGGTCTACTCACACCCACACCATCAACCAGTAGAAATCGAATGAAAGCAGAAATATTAAGTAATGTCCTTTTTGCCATCGAAACTAATAGCGACTGTAATGGTTACGATGTCTCTCCTTACTCTGTGTTCGATGAAGAAGAGTAGCTCCTTACTTCTTGTTTTATGTTTTCTATTCGATCATGTGAGTTCAATGGAGAAAAGAACAAATGGATAATTCATCTTCAATCTTCTCAGGTCGATTAGGATAGTAAAATACACAACTAAGTTCAAACAGCTAACTAAGACAATATAGCAACTAAGCGAATACTAATTCAAGAACTTGATTGCACTTTGAATGTGGTTGTTGTGTGTGAGTATGCTAAAAATGAAATGGAACTCACACGGCACAGCCGATATATATAGAATTTGTTGCTAGAATGAAAATTTTCCTTAGACTTAAATAAATTCTTGAAACAATTTTTTCTACTGTCAAGATAAAAGGAAGTGTGGGTGTCAGTATAAAAGAAAATCCACACCTACACCCTCGTATTAAAAAATACGCGAATTCTGACCTAGGATATCCTACTTACAAGATTAGCAAAACCGAATCTTTAAATAAATGGAAAATGAATTCTTTTATATAGAATGAATAGATGAAGAGTCAGTGATGATATTTAGTTTTGAAACAGACGAACGACTTATTGTTTTAAATGGATTGTGTCATAAATTTATTGAAATTGTATCTAAATGTAATGAACCAGAAAAAAGGGAACAACATCATGATACTAATAGAAAAAAGAAAAATAGAGGTTTTTTAACTTGCATAGAGAAAGAAAAGAGATTCAATGTTTAACAATAACGTCATTATTTTTCATTATCAACATCAGCACTTAGCGGTGATGCTTATAAATCTGTGACGGTACGATATCATCCACGTGTGATTGTCGGGGTAATAAATTATTACAACGATTTGAAGGCATGATATTGTACGTGAAGTTGTGAGTGTGGTCTTCTACATATACCCACACCCACACCCCGTAATAAGTTTGATATTGATTACCTCGAATAGCTCTAGTTTTGTCATCTAAACCAATAGAACGTGGATCAATATTAAGAATTTCTTACTCTTCTGAGAACATTCGACTCATAAGCCTTCAGTACGAATTTACTTGGATTTGTTTTATCAGATGGTATTTGAAGAAGATCGATTTGTTTACCAGTAGTGGATTTGCAAGTCTACAGAGAAAAATTAGCAAGAAAGTTATTAAATTGATACTATCAATACTGCCAGTATCGATAGTGGATGTTGATATTTTAGTTCTTGTCTCGTCAAACCGTAAGATTGGGATCTGGACGATTACAAAACAAAAAACATTGCTGAAGAAGTTTTTTAAGTACTCTCATAATTAAACATTGAATACATTATGTCATAGAATATGATAATATAATCAATCAACTCAATGATATACAATAGGACAATGCGCAGTTCCGATTTCTTAACCTAAAGGATTGCAAGTTTATTGAATTATCGCACTCAATTTAAATCCATATTGTACAATCATGATTGATTTTACGACTTATTTTAATCATCTAATGGTAGTCGTTGTATTGCAACTGATCCATGAATAATTTGTGATAGGAAGAAGATTCTGATTAATCGTGATTCATCAATTTGATTTTTCATGGATTATGATGTTTCGTTTTTTTTACTCAATATCGCAATGAAATCTGATCTTCACATGGACCTTGAGGGTGTGGGTGTGGGTGTAGATCTTCTTCTCATTTACACTCACACCCTTTGAAAAGAAGTCATATGTCAACAGAAGATTATCATCGTATGTCGATATGTTTGAAAGACTTCCATCATCGGACAGCGAGACAAAAATACGCTCTCGTACGTTAAGATTCTTATATTTGCATAATAAATCAAAAATCTATGATCTACTAGAAAGATACACTCGATGATTGGAAGTGATTTATATGTATAATTAAATTCATGAAACGGTTCCATATTCGTCTATTGCTAGTCAAATAACTAAAGTACACCTTGATTTGATAAAGCCAGCGATAAAAATGTGCGTTTGTTTTTGTTTTCATTTTTTTAATCGCCTATATGAGATTGTTCTCGGAGTTTCAAAACCAAAACTTCGCCAGCGTGTATGATAAAACTAAGCTTATGGGCAGTGGCACAATACTGATATCTTTCAAAACTTGGCAAAAATGTTGGGAAGACAGTTTTTATTGGTTTCTTCCCGCGGATTATTTTGATCACTTTTGTCGCCGAAAACAAGTGTTCTAGGACGTGATGACGTCAACCACAGTACTGGTTTTTTCTATACTTCCCAGGTTTACTATTCTTCACAATCTCATTAAAAAAAATAAGAATCTTGGATTTTTCTGTTACTTCGATGACGACAGAATGACTTTTAAAATATGATAAATATTGTTCCAAACTATTTACGATTATTCGTTTTATTGAAAAAATTCCAACTCATTTTTTCCAAGTCACCTGTATAAGATTGGCATGCACGAAATCTAATTTCAGTCAGATCCAATTTTTTCTTAGCTTTATCCGATGGAGTAAAGAAATGACCAGATCATTGATTAAGAACGAGAGTGAGACATGCAGAATTAGTTTTTTTGATTCATGGTCTTACAACAGACGAGGGAATATTGTCGCCCGCTATAGCAAGAAAAAGAGGAAGTGCTTAGTTTTTCGATGATTACTTTTGTCAAAGACTCAAAGTGAGAAGATCCGTTAGTCAATAAAAATTGAACCAGCAGAAACTAATAGAGTTAAGATAAATATTACAACATCTACTAGAATACTGAGATGATTACTATTCATGTCATTAATATTTGAGTCAGTACGATTGTGGACGCTTAAATAAAATTTTAATTCAACCAAATGAGATATTGAACAAACTCATACTATTCAGATTTGGATGTGATACGTTTTTTCAGAAAATTATCGATTAACAAACCCTTAACGCACTTAAAACTGACTACTTCTTTTCTTTCAAATAGAAGTGTTTTGTCCGAACTCAGTAAGGTCGATATCCTCTTGATTATTCATGATTTACTTTCCTTGCAATTAAAATTAGAAAAATCTTTAGAATTGATGATGAGAACTTCTTCTTTTTGCTTTACGTAATGGCATGGCTCAATCGTTATCTGATAATTGTTTTCGTTTTAGAAATTACTTCTTACAAAATATCGTGAACAATGCACGTAAGTAATATTAGGTTGTTTAGCGAGATTTGAATGCTTTTTAACGGATGGTACTTTATTAATTTATTAGAATCCTGATGATCCTAAAACAGGTGTTGAAGCGGAAGATAATAAGGATGATCGTAAATCTGAAGTACGTCATAACTTTTGAATGTCAAGTTTGCTTATCACATACATTTTCTTGTTTTAAAGGAGGCAACGCGTTAGCAGAAATGTTCGCTATCTACTGTTGTACATTCAAGAATCTATGGAACCAATTTTAGTCTAACGTCTTAGTCTCGAACACTTCATGATATTATACAATACTTATTTTGCTATTTGCAAATAATCATGTGCTAATAAAACTGTAAATAAACGAATCTCTCTACATATTTTTAATGATCACAGTTCACCTGTGACTGTGTAAATAGTATAAAATACTCTAACGATATCAGTTGTCAATGTGCAAGTTTATATCTATTAACCATAGTAAATGAAAGACTAACTCACTTTGAAATACAATCGATGTATAGTTTATAAACAACTATGTATTCGAAGGCATAATTTGAAGAGTAGATATAAACTCAGAAGAAATAAATTTTGTTAAATACAAGCTACTTTCATCACGTGATATTGGTTATTCATAAAATATTAACAGAATGAAAATATTTTTCATACCTTTGAATCCATAAATATGCTTGAATTAAGAGAGGGCTATCTGTTGTTTTTTTCTATCGTAGTATTTACTTACGATAAGTACACCAATAAAAAAATACACCTGATTACATGTCAATACGGTAACAGTGAATTAATCTTTTGTATATCGGACTATGCCTAAAATGTCGTCTAAAAACGACAATAATAACATAATGATTAATTTTCAGAGAAGTTTTATTTTGTCAAAAATATTTAGATGTTGAAGAGATCTGCACTCTAAACATTTCGTATTAGTGTCGCCTGCCATACTTTTAATTAAATATTTTTCATTTCGTTGTCTCACCTGTTCGCAAAATTAATCATTGAGTAAAACCTTTTTTCTTAACTCTTTTGCAGGATTCTATTCGTATATTGTGTATTTTAGTCCGCTGTATCCTTTCATGTAATTCGCCCCGAAAAGGCATCAATAAAGTGACTTAAGCTCACAGACACATACGCTAATATAAAAGAAATGGAAGTCTGCCGTTTTCTTCTTCGAAAAATATTTTGTTTTAGACAAATAAGGACTTTTGAAATTCTGTAAATGTAAATAAACAAAAGCCAATAGAATCTTGAGAACAAAAAACTTCATCGAACAAACAGAAGATGCTAAGCGAGAGTTTGTAGGTGTGGATTTGAGTTCAGGTAATGCAAAGAAACACACCAAACCCACACCCTGAAATAAGAAATGAATGAATTTGATTCATTTATCTTCTTCTTTGCTTTTTATTCTCCTAGAATTTTGTTTTCGTACAAAAAAAAACGTGAAAAATCAACCTAAACACACAAATTGACTGTTGACTTTTTGATAATTCAGCTTTTCAGAATTTTTTTAATTGCTCAATAATACGTTTTTCAATTTTCGGTAATGCGCCTTGAATTTCATTGGCACAATTGACAACACATGGTTCAAAAACAGATCGCATAAGATTTTCATCTTTATGGCCACTATCTTTTGCTTTATCTTCACAGCTTTGAATACATCGCATTAAACGATTTTGTAGATTTTGCATTTCTTGGCTCATCCCTTGTTCGGCTTGGCTGATTTTCGATGAACATCTTTCAGCGCATTCATTAAATTTTAATGGATCAAGTGATGGATCTTCTGTACAACGATACGAACAATTAAATGCTTCACCCTAAAGTAGAAAATGAAATTCAAAAACTAAAATTGATCGAATCAAAACCTACATAAATTCGTCGTAGATAATTTTTATGTAATGATCCAGCCATTGTTGAAATAGCATCGTTTAATTTTCTTTGTGAATCTTCCATGATTAAATGGTATTAAAATTTTAATGAATCTACAAATAATAAGAAAAACAAAATACATCATTTCTTCTTTGGTTTATTTTTCTTTTTTTCTATTCCGGCTGAAATACGTTTCGGATTTTGATAAGGTGGAATTATTTTTCCTGGAATAAATGTTACTGATGATGGTTGTTTATCATCACCATTTATTATTTGAAGAAGATTATCAACAAGATCTTTCAATTGACTATGCTCGTGGCATGATAATTTAAAACCTATTGTTGAACATTGTGGTATAGAAAATGTTTTTGTTAATGTTGTTGCTAGATTTTTTATGCGAATCGATGGTATTGAATGTATTTGTGAAAGAAGCAAAATTGGTTTAGTTAATATAATTGGTGCTAATGATGTACAAACAAGAACTAATAAACATTGCTTTTGTTTTAGACAACGCATCACAGAACGTAAACCAATGGCTAGATGTTGTTTTATTGGATGTTTAACAAGATCTTTCGATATTTTTCTTGTACGTTTTAATGGTATTCCAAGTTTTTCTTCGTTCAAATATTCCTTGAGAAGCTCCAGAAGACGATCTTGTACATCGTCTGGTATAGATGGCCAATTATGTTGACCCGGTGCAGCAACATAAACTTTCATATTTTAGATTATCTTCAAGAAATATAAATAAAATTCATCCAGGTATACACTATTTGATAAAATGAAACGTAAAGATAGAGTTTTTTTTCTCATTTCTTCAACCTTTTGATTAGCTAAATAAAATAATAATAATAATAATAATAACAATAAAGACAGAAACAACAAAAAAGAAAAGAGTGAATCGACCAATCGGTGATATTAACTGATCATTTATTGAATGCATACAATTCCACAACATTAAAAATAATCAAAATAAAATTGAAATCCATTTATTTATCAGGACGGATAAAAAACGCTGACAAAGCAAAACATATGAAGACAATGCCACCAACGATTGTTACTGTTTTCGGCGATATACGTTGAGCTATAAAACGGCCACCAATAACGGCCAATCCAGTACAAAACCCATGGCCTATCGTCCCACCAACAATCACACCTAATAGATTTTCCGTGGCTGCCAGTATAATTGTTGTTAGTTGCGATCGATCTCCCCATTCCTATACATCGAAAGAAAAACAATCGGATTCGAATTTCGATTTTTCACTTGACACATTTTAAGCAGATTCTCATGATTACAATTTCCTAGTATACTTACAGCAAGAAAAGTCATGATAAATGCTTGTATAAAAATCGGCGACACATAACGACGTAGTACCGATGTAATTTTTGTTACTGTACTTCGTTGTTTCGCCGCAGATTGCAATCTTGGTTGTTGTTGACTTCCTGCACTACCTGATTCAAGATCATCGGTCATATCAACTTGTTCTACTTCATGTTGAGCTTCTTCGTATTCTTCTGTTCCTTCTTCTGGCGACATTAAATATCCATCTCTTAACATTTTAATGCCAAAACATGCAAATAATATACTTGAGATATAATAAGTGTAAATTCTCGGAATAAATTTTGTGACGATATTTCCCAATAATGCTGATAATATAGTCATGGCACCTAGCGCGCCCATTGCACCACAATATATAACTAAACGTGAATAACGCATGGCCATTATAGCAGCTATGAAAAATGTTTTATCGCCTAATTCCGAAACAATAATAACTGATATAGATGCAATAAAAGCATGAATAAAACCGAAATTTGCACTATTTTTTATTGTTTCCGAGATTTTATCATGCCAATGATCAAGTTCATTGCTTCTTTCTTTTGAATCTTCTTTATTAACAAATAATTTTGTTCCATTTGGTAATAAAATTTGAAGTCTTGGCAAATGTTCTTTTTGATAATGATCATGAGAATAAAGATAAAGTAATATAAGTAAAACTGAAAATACAATCGTTGTGACTATTAATAATGGCGATATTGTTGCCAACATACGGCGAATCTATTTGATACAAAAAGAAAATTATTTCATCAAGTTAAATTCAACAAACTATTACTTTAACAAACGTATACGATCGAAAAATGAGCATTCTTTTGTGTTTCAAATAATTAAAATTTAAAGTTGAATATTAGTTTCGATAGGAAAATATTGAATTTCAGGATGATGTAAAAAGTAGACTAAAAATTAAAGGAAATAAAAATTGCTTTATTTTATTAATAATTAAGACTTACTGTTAAATATTGAAAAACACCCGATTGATTATTTTAGTTTATCCATTCAGAATAATCGATCGTAATCAAGAAAAATTTAAATCTAGAATCAAAAAACACATCGAGATCAAATCTAATCACTAGATATCACTTAAATCCTTATTGTCAATAATTTGTACCACATCATTAATCTGTACTAATATTTTTAATAATTCAATACTTGTTTGCCAAGCATCAAATTTCGAATCGAAGTCATCGATAAGATTTTTTTCAAATAGTTCTTTACGATTAAGAATTTCATTGGAAAATAATTGTAAACATTCAAGAAAACATTCATAGGCAAGATTATATTCAATCGATAGACTCTCGCTTTTCTTGTCATAAAAATATTTATATAAATTACGTTCGAATTCACCGGAACCTTTTAAATAAAAATTTCTCCTAAGAATATGTCGAAATCTTGCTAAACAATGAACAAATTGCTCATGTTTAATGTTAACTAAACTTTCTATTGGTACATATTGAATAATTGTGGAACCTTTTTCAATAAAAATTAACGTAGGATCATCGTTCGATTGTATATAATTTAATGTTAAAATATTTTCTTCGTTAATATCAGTTAAATAATTTACTATTAAATTTTGATTAAATAATCGAAAAAGTTTTGATGAAATATTTTCAACAAAAATTCTTTTATTATCACGATTCAAATCTTTTAATTTCTCATCAATGGTACCCGAACATAAAATAATATCAATTGAATATTGATTTAATATTGATGAAATAACATAAATCCATGAAGATTTTGCTGATACTTGTTTTAATTTCAATTTATTATTATAACCAACATGAACATAATCTTCGAGAATATAACCATCAATTAGTAATGTACGTTGAGGGCCTTGTATTGGTTTATCTATAGGAATTATTGTGCCAGGAATAAATACACATTGTTCTTCGGCGTATTTTACACGTGTTATATGATTAAGGTTATCGAACTGATGGATTAGTTCTTCTTGTAATGAAACAAAATGTGAATAGGCTTGATAAAGACTATCGGAATACATGGTTTGAAAACGACATATACGATGAAAAACATTTAAATTTAAAACCAAATTTTCCGCGAAATTTTCTTTAGCAATTAATATTGATTGGCCAACAAATTGTTCTAAATGATTAAAGATTGTCTTTTGAGATAATCGATTGATTTTATCGAATAATAGATGAAAATGATTTGAAAATGTAACGAGAAAAAATAATAACGTCTTACACGAGCAGCCATCGTATTTCTTATGAAATGTTTCTAAAGTATCGATGACTAGAGAATGATATGGATGAGTGATTTCCAGTTCTTCAATGAAGCGTATTGGACATGAAAAAAATTCGAATGATGTTGAAGAATTAATACATTTCATTCTCGTATGATCGCATAATAATGAGGCAACAATGGATTGTATCTGACACATATAGGACGATAGATTTTCAATGGTTAAAAAGCGACTCATCTAAAAAAAGAGCATGTATGAGAATGTTATATTTTGTTTCTAAAAAAACGAAAGAAAAAAAAACTCTGTGTGAGTATGTGTGTGTTTGCGCACGAAATAAGACAGAAATAACAACAGCAAAGCTAACAATAATATAGAAAAAAAATCCAGAGAAACAAACAACAAGAAATCCACGGAAAAAAATGAAAAGAGAAAACAAACATGGATATCACAATACAATGTTCAGTTAGCCCTTTTTTGCGTTTGGTTTTTTTCAAAACCGGGACGTTTATGTAAATGCACAAACACGTCAATCAGACAAAGAAAAACGGAAATAGAAAACCAACATTATTTATGAAGAATTTCAAATGCTTCTATTCATCGTAAAGTTCTGACATAATTAATACAATAAGTGAAGACCATCCTGTAAATGGATGACTGCCTTGACCATTGCCAGTCTTATCATCGTATTGTTCCCAAACATGGCCTGTTTTTTCATAAACACGAAACATATTTGTTATGAGATTTGTCCGTAATTGTCCGTAGATCTGGCGCGCTTTTTCAGAATAGGGTCCTGGAATTTTTGCATAATGTTGTAGAGACGATAGAATCATATAATTCATATTTATCCAGATGGCACCTAAATATAATAAAAACAAAGTCATGACTGTTCTCTAATACAATATTGTTTTTTGTTTAAAATGAAAAGAAATTTTGTTTCAAATATTCAATTGCGCTTACCTCTCCAATAGGGTGGATCGTGTTCCGTATTTCTAATTCCGTACAATGAACTTGACTGTGCCAATGATCGCAAACCATATTGTGTCCATAATAGACTTGGATTTTGTAGATCATTTAATATTTTTTCAAGTTTTAATGATTGCGGATTTAAAACTCGTGTCATCAACGGAAATAATGAAACATAACCAAAATGTTTCACATATTTAACAGTTAAATCAGCTTGACGTGTTACTTGTCTAACCATGTGTGTTGGTTGTTGTAGTTGTTGAGGATTTGGTTTGCCCATTGGTACACGTTGTAATTGTACATGATCTGTATGCAAACCATAATCAGCATACATGCCATATTGTTCCGACCAATGCAATTGATCAAGTTCGTCATTGTTTGAAAGTAATTGAGCGTAATTTAAATATCGATTTGTTTCTTCATTATTTATTATTGAATAAAGTTTACCGATAACAGTTGATGCTAATGTCATCCAACAACGTAAATCTAAATGACGTTCAGCGTCCGTTGGATGTGATGCACGTGGATAATCGTCAAGGCCACTTGTTAAGGTTTTAGGATTTAATTCGTATATAGATGAGGCATTACGACCACGCCAACGATATGATAATGGTAATGAACCATATTGTGTTCGATTATACCATTGATACCATTTTTCAAGACGTTGAATAAATGGTAAAGTAAATAGATGATTATTTGTATTTGTTTTTAGTAAATACTCAATAGTTAAAAAGAATGTTGGCGGATTAGCATTGCTTGTATATTGAACAACAAATTCTGCTGGAACACGAGCACGAGCTTCACCACCAAGAATGACTTCCTAGAGAAAAAAAACATTTTCTGTTGATAAATATGCGGCAAAGTCAAGATTTGCACTCTCAAGCTTTTATTACTGGCAGATTAGACGATAAGAAAATTTCTACCCTAAATACTCAAGTTAATCTAGTTTTTCTTACTCTAGGTATCCATCCGTTATCATTAAGTAGATCAAGCCAATGAGAAATAATTTCAACGGTGATATTTTTATTCCATCGAGCAATAAGAAGATTATGAAAACCTTCATCCCAAAGAAAACCACGTGGAAAAAATGAACGTGATGGTACAGCTGTATATAAATTTGCTGGCCAATATTCATCGGGAATTTTTTGATTTGCTTTTGCTACTAATGATTTACCTAAAATGAAAAATAGAATTTTCATTTTTGTTTTTCTTAATTCTATTATCAAAACTATTTACCAGTGAAATAAGAAACACCACCAATCAAATTACTCAATGTTGATTTAGCAAATTGAATTTTTTTTGCATCCATATTTTGTTTTGTTTTCAATTGAAAGATATTTTCGAAACGTTCATCAAATTGTTTTTGTAAACGCGTTATTTCTTCATTGAAATAGAATCCTGTTAAATCTTGTTCTCGTTCATTATTCGACGAATCCGATTGATAGATGATATCAAACGAAAACATTTCATTAGCTAAGGGCTGTTTTAATGTTAATTGAATAAAAAATGTATTATGTTCAAAATCTTTAAATGGTTGCTCGGCGAGAAGAACATGAGTTTGTTCGTTAGAATTTGTAACTAATTTTGCTAGAAGACTCTCATGAATTCTCTCTAATTGAAATACATCGGTTAATGTACGAGCAATTAATTGATTTGTATTTGTATTTAATTTAATTTTTATTGTAAATCCATCGAGTTCATTGGTTTGACCACGAACAGTTAGAATGTCAGGTGACTGAGTTGATATTGAACTTATTTCATCGATCCAAGGGAGATCATGATGAAAATAGAAAAATAATGATATCGGTACGGTACGATTGAGCGACTAAAGAATAGAAGAAGAAAAAAATGAAACCTTTCATTTGAGATTCTATAGTAATAAATAACAAAGCGAAAACAATTTTAAAATGCTCTGCAACAGATGTTTATGTCAAAATGTTTTTGTGTCAGATGTTCTACTACATACTTGTGGAGTAACACTAATTCTAGTGGTCCAATCTCCACCATGTTCTCCACTAATTTGTTTGAGCCATTGAACATTTATCTGTAAATTATCATCATTAATTTGTTCAACACCAAATGTTTCTCCATCATGATAATTCCATCCATATTTTAAACGATCATTTTGATCACACCAATGTCTAGTTAATAAGAAAAAAAGCAAGAAATCATCTTTCATTTAGCAAGAATTCATCGTAAGTTTACCTAAGAAATCGATCCGGAGTCTGCTGTAATTTACTATAATCAAACCACATTAATCCTCCACTTAATGATCGAGCACTTCGATGTTTTAAACCGAAATATAAATTTGATCTAAATAAAATTGAAATTTAGACTTTCTTCCGAAGAGAAATCTTTCGGGAATATTTTTACCTGTAGGTTCCCCAAAATCTTTCAGGACTAGATTTCGGTGCTGTATCATTAACATCGATAAGTTTAGGTAGTTTAATTGGTATATTTGTATATTCATATTGACTTCGATAATTAATAACAGTTACTACTACTCTATATAAAACAAATGACATTATTAATCCAGTAATAACTGTTATTAAATAGGATGGAATTGTAATTGGAAATTTTTTCTTCATAAGACTTTTAAGTATATATTCGAAACGCGATCGATTTGACGATGGAAAATGACGATGTTGATTTCGTCGTCGAGCTGCAGCAGCTGCTGCGAAAATAGCCGGATTGCCATTAGTTTGTTCATTGTTTATCGCCGATGAACGTTTATTATCGAGTTGCCGGCGACGTTGAGACATTTTTGCGCTCATTTTTCCGGTTTGTTGTTCTTTTTCCTTGCTTTAAAATTACTTATACATCTAAAAATGAACTTTTATTTGTCAATAATAAAATACACAATAGTGTTTGTTATTTGTTTTTTTTATATAGTTTTGTTCATTTCAAACGATGTAAAGATTGCACGAACCAGCGCAGTAACAAACAATAAAACCATTATCGAATAGTTGAATAATCAAGTTAAGCGAGAAAAGAAAAGAAGAAAACAGAAAATCGTCTAATCACCACAGCGAGATATAAGATAGAGAAAAATGAGATTTCATAAGGAAAGGAATGTTGTCAAAATTTAAAATGTTTTGCGATGAATTACTTTAGCACCTTCTGTATCATATTCGCGTTTTGTTATCCATATTTTTTTAAATGTATCAAGCGAAGCCAAAATTGAACCCCTAGTTTAATTCGAAAATTAAATAGAATAATGAACGAGGAATTCATCAATAAACACTTACCCGATCCATGTTGAATAGAGACGTTCACGTGGTGCTGAAATTTTTATTTTTACTTCTTTAGGTGCTATGCGTTTCAATTCGCCAAGTAAACGATCGCCGAAACCTAAGATTAGTTTTTTAATATCAAAATTCTTCCCCGTTATATTGCCAAATATTTAAATGAAATCTACGTGTGCTGTATTTGAGTATATTGTATCGCTTCGTCTAGTGATCATATTTCTTTGCTTCGTGTATATATGGAGAAATACAATCGCAATACTGATCCATATATTACATCAATAGACATCGATGTACAGTCATTTACCTTTATGCTTTTTCCGAACTTAGATTGACTTAATACAATCATCCTATATGAATCATGCCACATTAATCTTATCGCAAAACGCAACGCTTCTCTTGTTGATGATATACTGATCTCTATCGAAACTAGTAGCAACCAATGTGCCATATCATTTATTATTCAAAGTTAAGTTATCTATTTTGTACTTAATGCATTCAACTTATGAACAAGTGAATCGATTCTCCATCTGCACTCCTCAAGATTTGTACATAGCGCATGAGAGAAAAATCCTCAATAAGATTCTGAGAGAATTTTTAGAAGTTCAAATTGTTTTCAGCCGATCAAAATTCGATCTAGAAAGTGATTGACGCTCAAAACTATCTTTTGTTTCTTCATAGAATACTTTTTCCTATGCGCATGAGCAAGACAATTCCACTGGGACAAATTGAACATACCTCGAAATAGCGTAGATCCACCAGAGAGAACAATATTTTGATAGAGTGTTCGTCGTAAATCCATATCGGATCTTTGAATTGAGCCCGATAATATTTCATGTATACCTTCACATTCTTCTCCCATTAATTCTGGATTGAAAAGAACTTCCGGTGCTCGAAAACGACTTGTACCAAGCTAAAATTATCATTAGATATAGATTTAGCAAAAATAAATTCTTGATTTTACTTCAATAGATGTTCCATCAGGTAATGTAAACTGTGATTTATCACCTTGACTTGTTTCATCTTTTTGTGCTGTTGGTGATAAGAAACATACGCGTTCTTTAATACTTTTAACTATTTCAAATTCTGCTGTTGTTTTAAATGCATAGCCTTCTTTTCTTAATAATAATTTTAAATAGCGCGTGACATCTCGGCCAGCAACATCATTTCGAAGAATACTATGTGGCATAGCAAATCCTAGAAATTAAAAAAATGATTTATCGCGAATCTATGAGGTTTATCAGGAAGATTTTGTCGACAACAAGTGCTCGGTATGTTTATTTGTATAGAAATCTTTAAAGATATAATCATTATGAAGCTCGAAGAGTGGATTTATTTTCATTTTGTCTTCTTAATGATGAAAAATAAGTCGGTTCATATTGACCCTATTCAAAATTATTCGAAATACTAGTAAGTATCCGTGTTACATACCATAGAGAACACCTTCTTTTCACTATGAGCATGTCGTTATCATCATTACTTGAGGTATTATTATACCACCCGACATAAATTCAGAGACCTTCAAATCATAGTTCGGCACGTTCTCTCGTAATTTATAACAGTTGCTTTTCAAAAGATTATTTGCATAGCGCTTCCATCGGTATTCTCAAGTCAAAATTTTTATCACATCATTATGAATAATCAAAAGGTTACTATAGGAAACTTCAAAACTTCAAAATTACTAACTTATTAAACTATGTCCTGCATTGAAATTATTAAAAAACAACATTTACCGAGATTTTAATCACTAGCTCGATTCTTTTTTGTGTTTAAGCCGGTGTGAAAAAATTGAATAGAATATTTGGTTGAATGATTTTTATAGCAAAATGTATACATTTCAAAGGTTTGCTTCGTAGCTACCTGAAAACTTTGACGATGATCCTGCATACTTATACGAAGTGTCTTATACAGGAGAAAATCTATATAAACTCAATAATCACTCAGACAAATCAGTGGCTCATCTTGTTTTGAAAATTAATTCCAGCTTAAGAGAAAACAAACTATTGCGTTATTTATTCAGCTGGAGTTTCATCGGTATACCTTCATAAATAGGGACAGCATGAGTCACTCCATCTCCTGAGTCAAGTACAACACCAGTCGTTCTTCCACTTGCGTATCTACATGAAAAAGAAAAATGACATACGAAAAAAATGAACGTATGACAACTTACAAGCTAAGTATTGCTTGCATAGAAATAAATAAAGCAGGAACATTGAATGTTTCGAAAAAAATTTCCGCTGCTTTTTCACGATTTTTTCTTGGATTTAATGGAGCTTCGGTTAATAAAACAGGATGCTAAAAAAAGCAAAAAAGTACATTGAAAATTTAGTTTTCATTTAATCAATTTACTTCTTCTGATGCTGATCGTAATTGATCTTTCGAATAAATATAAGTCCAAATTTTTTCCATATCATTCCAATCTTGCACAATACCATGTTCCATGGGATGAGCAATATTCAAAAGTCCTCGATATTCTTCAGCTTTCGGTCCAATAAATATATCACCTTCTAAACCGCCAGCCATAACACGGACATGCTTTGGACGTCCGACATAATTTGGAAAATTGATTTTCGGTATCGGATCACCGGCAAAACCGGCTTTGATCATTCCGGAACCATTGTCAATTACGATCGGTTGATTTGTAATTAATACTTCATTATCCATTTTAAAGTTTTAATAATTCACAACGCTCAATGCGTCTTTTTTTTTCTTGTTCTTAACTTCTGTCTTTGTAAGAAATGGAAAAGGCTCATAAGCAACCAATTAATAGATGGTTGAATATGGACATTTTTTCTATTGGTCAAATGAAATAACCAATCAATGAATGACTTTTGTTATACCTTTCATATTCGTCTGCGGCACATGCAATCATTCGTTGAGAATCAACATGTCAGGAAAATTGAAACGTTTCGATGCTTATGCTAAAACACTCGAAGATTTTCGTATTCGAACAACAAGCGGTGGATTTGTTACAATAATTAGTTCAATTATTATATTTGTCTTAGTTATGATGGAACTAAAGTATTTTTTAACAAAAGATGTTGTACAAGTTTTATTTGTTGATACAAGTCGACAAGAAAAAATGAATATAACAATTGATATTAAATTTCCTGTTTTGCCATGTAGTTATTTAACTGTTGATGCTATGGATGTTTCAGGTGACACACAAACCGATATTATTCATACTTTATATAAAACAAGATTAGATTTAAATGGAAATATTTTGCAAGATACTGTTGTTAAAGTAGCACTTCAACCATTACCAAAAATAAAAAATGACAGTTTAGAAACAACAACAACCGCAGCAGCACCTGTTTCTGATTGTGAATCATGTTATGGTGCTGAATCAGCTGTACATAAATGTTGTCCGACATGTGATGATGTTAAAGCAGCTTATCGAGTCAAAGGATGGTCATTCGATCCAAGTAAATAGAATTTTTTTTGAAATAATTTTTTGCTATTTTTACATGCTAATAATCCACCATTAACTGTCTAAGTCTTAATTAATTTTTATGTGTTTACAAAAATAAAACTTTAATTTAGTTGGTGTTCAACAATGTGTTCGCGAGGGGAAAACGGTCGGCATGTCTAATTCGGATGATGGTTCTCTGCCAGTCAATGAAGGTTGTCGATTACATGGTCATTTGGAAGTTAATAAAGTTGCCGGAAATTTTCATATTGCTCCTGGTCAATCATTTGAACAACATCATGTACATGTTCATTCATTACGAAATATTCGTTTGAATATGCTCAATACAACACACTATGTCGATGAATTAACATTCGGTGAAACGTTTCCAAATCAAATAAATCCATTATCGAATACAAAACAAATAGTAAATTCACATGATAACGGAGCTGTACTTTATCATTATTATGTTAAAATTGTTCCGTCGGCATATGTGTTTTTAAATCAAACACAAATAATAACAAATCAATATTCAGTAACGAAACATAAAAAAATAATTAACAATATTTTCGATTCATCCGATCATCAATTACCGGGAACCTTTTTTACTTACGAAATAAGTGCAATTATGGTAAAATTTGTTGAACAGAAACGATCGTTAGCACAATTTTTAACATCTCTATGTGCAATAGTGGTTCGTAATACGAATCTATTTATTTTTTATTCGATATGATTCCTTTTTCCTTTTTTTAGGGTGGCGTTTTTACTGTATCAAGTTTAATTGATGCTTTTATTTATCGTGGTAGCTGTATTCTACATAAAAAACTAGAGTTAGGCAAAGCCACATGAATGCATTCAGAATATTATTTTTATAGTGATAAAAAAATGTCTTCTCTCTCGCTCTGTTTTGTTTTTGCTTCCAGTCATTAGAGTTGTTATTTATCTGTTTTGTTAAAAACAATAAAAACACCCGTCAACTTAGTATTGAATAATGAGACATCTAAAAATAAAAACATGATCTCAATTTTAGATCAATATGCGTTTTCGTCAATGGATTTCACCGACATATAAAAATCTATATGATGTATGTTTGAATCAAGCACCATTTTATCAAAACGAAGTTGTCAAAGGTAGGAAATGATATTTATCAGAATTTGAAAGTCGAAACAGAAAAAAAAACATTTTCGTCATTAGAAAAATTCCGAGAACAACTCATCACTGATACTTAGTTATTTTATTTATGAATAGAAACTAGACCTGATCATAATTATTGTCGACCATGGATTGAAGATCCAACACTGCCAACGGCACTTCCTCGAGTACAACTATTTTTTAATTCAAATTCCACGTATGCATTTTTCACTATTTGGTTTTATCCCTTCATTCAAACTTATTTCTTTAGAAATGACTCTAATATCGATATTGATGAAAATCCAAAATCTCCTATAGAAAATGTCAAAAAAATCTATTGGACACCAACAATAAATGCAATCATTCCCGAAACATACGAATGTCCACAACAACAATCCGAAGAAAATCTTACTCAAGAACAAGAAACATTTCTTGAAGATGTTCGAGAATTAATCAATGAAACGCGTATTGCTGGATTATGTTGTGAATCAGTATGTTTCAGCGATTTTTTATTTTATTTGAAAACCAAATTTTTCTTTTTTAGAATAATTGTAATGTTGTCTATTGGCGTTTATCTATTCATCGGATTGTATCTAAACTTCATTCACTATTGTCTCATCATTCAAATGTATGATATTCATAATTATGAAAAAAAAATGAAAATTAATTTTTTATTGTTAGTATACAAATTTACTTGATTGGCTTCATGAAACTGTATGTAAAACATTCGATCGTATATCAATCGGTCATTATGTAGATCTATTTCAAATATTATATGATGAGGTTTGATAATCTTAAAAATTTTCTAATATATTGTGGTTTCATCATATCAGATTTAGTATCCGGATATTCGTTCATTATTCATTGAAAAAACTATATCATCATCAAAGACAAATCTTAGTTCATATGTTTACAATAAACTACTTCAGAAACCAAATGATCTTACCGAAGAAGTTATCTATAGTATAAATTTAGTAATTGAAAATTTTGCTCTTTTATTTTCTTGAAATGAACTTGAGGATTTTTGCTTTATTTAGCCTTCGTCACCAACGCCTATTGTTTGTCTTTTAATTCCTGGTTTATTGCATGGAACTCATATGGAACGTATTCAATTTTGGCAGCGAAATCTTTCACAAGTAGCAATTGTTATGCTTTCGGCAGCAGTCGAAAAAGATAATAAATCAGAACAAGCCCAAATTCAAACGGCTTATGAAGATATAATTACAAAATTTAACGAAGTAATTCTTTTTTCTGTATTAGATAATGCATAGAAAAATAGCTGCTCGTAAAATAGATTTTGGAGAGAAAATCATTTTTTTTTCCGTTCAGATCCGTCAACTCTATCCAAATCACCATATAATGTTTCTTGGTTGGAATGTCGGTTGTATTCTTGCATTGAAAGCTGCACTGGTTTGTTCTGTTTCGTCAATTATATGTATGTCTCCACCATTTCAAGCCCTATCTGAAGAATCAAAGGTAATAGAATAATATGAATTAAACTATTATCTACGATTGTATTCATAGAATGATTTTACTCAAATAAATGCATCTATTTTATTTATAACCGGTGAAAAACAATATTCAAATCAAATCGATCATTATCGGCAACGACTTAAAAGCCGTAATGGTCTAATTGAATTAGGTCAATGTGATGATAAATTATTTATGTCGGAAAATGGAAAATATCGTTTTCGGTTAACACAACAATTAATTGATAAATTAATCATGGTATGATATCTATTGAGTTGATAAGAATTTATTTCGTTGATTTTTAGGAAGAAATGCTTGATTTTATTACAATATTATCATCAAAACCAAGTCGAACACAACACGAGGAAATCGACGAAGAAAATAAGAAGAAAAAACCCGATCGTGTTTTTCCTATTACATCACCATACATAGAAGATTCAGGTAAATCAAACAAGAATTCAACTATATAAATAATCTGTTGTTTCAATTTAGAAGAACCTTTTATTTATATGGGTTTAAATTCCAACGATCATACATCAACAACATTAACTATTCCACCTGAACACGATCCAAATTCAATATTTTTAAATAGTATTCTTCCAACAACAACAACAACACGAAAACGCAAAGGTTCAACATTAACAAACACATCATTAGAAAATGGCCGTGCACCAAAAACTGAACCAACAAAACGAGGACGTAAAGGAACAAAAAATTTACCACCACTACCACCAACAGACGATAAGGAATGGGCACCTGGCCCAGAAAAACGTCCTGCTAAATCAACGACTAAAAAACAAAACAAACAAACACTACTATTACCACCAGCAGCACCTCTTCCTCCTCTTCCTCCTCCTCCTCCTCCTCGTCCTCCTTCTCCATCCCTGCCAACATCAACAACAAGTATACTAAATACACTATTACAATTACCAGCAAATCAACCCAAACAACGCACAAATGAAACAAATCTAATAAAAACTATTCATCAACCACCGTCATTTGTAAATACTGTACTTTCATCGAATCCTTTTCATTAGAACAAAAAGAAAATAGATTAGTCTTTATTTGTAAATCTATAAATATGTATGTATACGATTTGATTTAGTTTTCAGATGACACGCCATTCGAAAAATTCAACAGCAAATGCTGTTTATACTTATCATGAAAAACATAAGGATTCATCAACAGGTGGTTATGGTACAACACAAATGCGTCTTAGTAAAGATGCTATTAAAGAATTTGATTGTTGTAATTTAACATTACAACCATGCATAGATCCAGTTATTACGAAAGATGGATATTTATTTGATAAACAAGCTATACTTGGTGAGAAATTTCAATTTTGTATGACATGAGAGGAACGCTATGATCAGCTATATTCTAATTTTCGTCAATCGAAATGAAAGAAAAATTATAGAATTGATTGATTCTAATTTAGAATATATTATTCATCAAAAAAAGCTCAATGCTCGAAAACTTCGTGAATATCAAAAACAACTTGACCGTAAACAACAAGAAGTCGAAGAACAAAACGCAAATGATCATCAGAAAAAGATAAATAAATTCTTGGAGAAAGAAGCAACATATTCTGTTAATCAGTCAGTTAAAAATCTTTTATCATCTAAACATCAAGATCAATCATTATCATCATATCTTCCAACACCAAAATCAACGCCGTCATCAACATCGACACGAATATCAACATATGATGATAATCTCGATGAAATTCTTCCATCGTCAACAGCATCAACTATAAGTAATATGGTAGGTAATCAAGCTGCACAATTGCCTAGCTTTTGGGTTCCAGCATTAACACCAGCAGCAAAAAAAACGGAATTAATAAAGCCCGATCAACATGTTTATTGTCCAATATCGGGCAAACCAATATCGATGAAAGATGTAATTGATGTTAAATTTAAATTAGCAAATAATGCTGATAAAAAAAACCGACCATTAGTAGCCGTACGTGATCGATATGTTTGTGCTGTTACTGGAGATGTACTTGGCAATTCTGTGCCGTGCGCTGTTCTACGAACATCGGGTTATGTTGTTACAATGGATTGTGTTAATCGATTAATTAAATTGGATATGATTGACCCAATCAACGGTGCCAAATTAACTGATTATGATATTATTCCGATGCAACGCGGCGGTACCGGTAAGAAATATTCAAAACTAGTATTGTTCAAATTCCTTTTTTGTTTTGTTTTGTTAAGGATATTCTGGATCTGGTGTCCAATTGGACGCAAAATTACCGACACCTGCCATGCAGTAATTGTTGTTTTTATTGTGTACATGAGTTATTGTGTATGTCGTATTTTCGCTTTCAATAAATATGAGTTGAAGGAAAGAACTGAATTCTTTTTATTTTCAAAGCATGAAAAATTCTTTGTGGTTTCAAAGATAGTTGAAATTATATTAATGTAATTTTTTGATTGCTGTAATAAAAAGCTCCGTGAAGATTAATTTCTGAAAAGTATCAAGCGCATATTATAGATAAATCATTTTTATTATGGATTTATCAAGCACATTGAAGGCAAAATGGTGTGAAACAAACCACATGTTCCTATAAAAAACGTTTATCTCAGAAACTTGAATTCAAATTCCCCATGAACTATACTAGATTAGATAATGACAAGTATCTTTTAACTGGCCTTTCAAGCTTTATTTCAAAATAAAAAATTCTTTTTTTACAAGATGAAACAGTTCTCGACATACAACAGTAACTATTACCTTTTGAATATGCGATGAACCATCACCCATTCAAATGCATATTCTCGACGATCAAAAACCGTTCTCCATTTATTAGTTTTTGAATTAAATATATCCAATATTACCCCATAGAACTAAATAGAGAGACAAATGATAATGATAATGGACAATAGAATTTGGCATTACCTGTGCGTCATCATATAACACTCGTACATGATCATTTGGATTCAATCGATGTTGATGTTTTCCACGACTGAAAATACAAAAAAGAACCTGAATTACTGAGAAATTCAAATGAAAGAAAACGTCTAATATCTATTTCATTGAATAAATAGTGGAGCCTTCATATCTGAGCCTGTTTAGTATTGTATAAATTTTTTCGAAAACTATTTGTAATTTTTTATGCTCCGGTTCGTTGAAGCTAACGAGAAGTTGTTGTTTTGCAATAAAATTCAACAAATCATAATTTTCATCGGTTATATGAAGCTTTGCAAATTCCCTTATCTGGTCATTTACAATTGATTGTTGCTTAATTCGTGGATATTTTATTAGTTCACCAGGACTTAAGCCGATCTGGCCAGCAACTTCCTTGATTGAACATGACAAAAATGTTCCATCTTTCATATCAAAATTTTGTTCATCGAAATCACTGTGATAAATTGTATCTAAATAATTTAACGGTAATCGGGCCCCTCTAATTAATTCTTTTAGAATGGTCCTTGGATTGTTAAATAGTTCCCGGAGCAACAATGATCGGTCGTTTTCCATTTGACGGCTTCGTAAAATTGTTATTTCTTCTTTATAAATTTGAAATTGCTTTTCAACGCCGGCAATGTGTGCTTCTCAGCGTCATCGACTCTTTTACTAAGAATTTTCATATCCTCCTAATGGTATAAAAAAAAGACACGTAAATATTCCTCAACACATAATTAACTCACCTTCATATTTTCAAAAGCAAATGTAATTTTTGTCAATACATTATTCACTAATTTTGTTAATTCAATAAATGATCTTTCGATCGTATCATTTGAACTATCATTCCTAATACTTTCCTTGCATGCTTCAATGCCAGACTTGAAATAACATCGTAAATCGTTGATTTCATCATTTGTTTACACATTCATATACTCAGATGTAATATCATCATCCAGCCGGATTCTAAGCAAATCCGGGTTGCGGACCCACTCATGGATCCCTAGTATTGGAATCCGATCGATTCTTGCAGGAACCAGTGAAAACTCGATAGGTTTCTTTAGGACCTCGTTGGAATCCGACTTCTAAAATTCCTATCGAATTCGGTTGTTGGATTTGGTCGGATGTTCACCGGATTTCAACGCTAGGGATTCGTTACTCGTTCCTTAACCCGGAATCTCATGGCACTTTGTCGGCTCGTCGGATTCATTCACCTGGGCTCAGACTCACTAGAAATCCGTCAAAATTAATTCTGTCTAAATTCAACAGGCGTCTACACCAAAAAAAGTAATCCTCCAATGAAATAATGAAACAAATCTCTTTTATATATCTAAATTGCACAGTAAAAATTATTAATTCATGAGGTGTCGCTCACATATGTGTGCGGTTAATATAACGCATCACTTTCAAAAGCATATATGCGACATGTTTTTTTTGTGTCGACTACATTTATTTTTCTAGCGACCTCTTTTGTTTTCTCTCTATGACACGCAGACTTCGTTGATGTGATTGGATTAAAAACGAAATACATACGTGTACTTGTAGTTGAATCCATATTTTCTCAACGGTCGCTTACTCGATCTGTGCGTTTGCAACCCTTCAAATACGAATCTACTTCGTAATAAATCACTCATTTATTTCTTCTAACTAACCATGCCAGCTTCACCAAGTGGAACAACTGTATGTAGTCATTTAGAATGTATATTAAATATTTACGCCTGATTTAAATCTATAATTTTTGTTTAAAGGTCGGTAAAGGCGATTCAGGTAAATCAGCAGGACCACGAACAACAGGTAGCGGTGCTGGTGTTCGTCAACGTAAAGCAACAACAACAACAGCTCGTAGTCGACCTGCTGCTGGCGGTGGTGCCAGCGCTGGTGTTTGGCGTTTCTATACAGAAGATTCACCAGGTCTTAAAGTCGGCCCCGTACCAGTTCTTGTAATGAGTTTAATTTTTATTGCAAGTGTATTCATGTTACATATATGGGGAAAATATACTAAATAATCGTGCAATATACATCAATATCCGGAATGATTGATTAACGTTTGTTATTGTTGTTTTTATCTTATGTTAGTGTTTTTTTTTGTCTTGTCGTAAAAAGAAGAATATATATTGCGATACGTATGAACGATCTTTTTAATTCTATTAAGATTGTCTTTTTGTTTTTGTTTTATTGAATACAGACAAAAGAAACAACAAATGAAAATTCTAGCGTATATTAAAAGTAAAAAGTGTTTCTGAAGAAAATAACACATTGGTAGATTTGTATACCGTATATAACGTAGGAGTATAACAGAATATATCATTTACTGTTTGTCACATCTTCCGTAGTTGTTGTATCCAATGGTACATCTTCGAAGCCACGCGCGTGCAACCGTTTCAAATTGTTTACTGAATCTGTATTATCCAGTCGATAAGATATTAGTCTTCGTAGAAAAATGTATGATAGCTTCAGTTCCCCAATAATCGCCAGTTTAACAGTTTTTGCATAGGTGATAATCTATAGATTTCGAGAAATGGATATAAAAGGGAACTCAATAGTAATCAACCTTTTTGTTTTCATTGAATGAAATCGTATCTACCAAAAATATATAGTATCAAATACGATTGAGTGGGAATCATCATGATTTTAGGGAGAGGGAACTCTTTCCTATCCCACGCGATGACTCATTGTACACGAAGAGCTCTACATTCTTCCTCTTCCCATCGGAAAGGGTATGATTTAAACCGATTAGTAATCAACAAACAATACCACATAGATAAGAGTATTGTCTTATTTTTATTGTATTTTAAATGAACAATATTTATATTTCTTATTACTATTTATTAACTAAAAAAATCATATGGAATAAGTTTATTATTCTTATTCTTATTCTTTTTTTTTGTTCTCAGTACAATTCAATCATGCAGTCATGTCAATCAAGTAAACGTCTGTTTTAGTATAGAATTCATCTGTAGATAATTGTTCATGATTTTCAATATCCATTTCGGGTGAATTTTGTATATTGATTGTTTGCCAATGTTTTTGTTCATTTCGTAACGACGAATTTGATTCAATAACATTTTTGATTGTTTTTAAATTTGTGGGATCACATTCATGTACTTCAGAAAATAAATGAATCAACTGACGAAAACGTTTGTCCTTTGTTGCGCTCTTAGGTTTCTCAGGCAGCGGAGAAAAATAGTTAGAATCATCATCATCATCAAGCTCTCCAAATAGGTCGTCGACTGTTAATGAATCATTATAATTTGGACGAACATGATTTTTAATTTTTGAATTATGATATTGATGTTTTGAGTGACTTAAAGAAGTTTTTCGTTCAACAGATTTCTCTGGTCGATCAAAATATTTCTGAGGTGTTGGTGGTGGTATTTTTTTCTTGTTAGGGGATTGCTGTCTTAATGCAGACGAAAATTCAGATTTTGTATTTGACATTGTTGCAAATGATTGAAATGAAGATGAGTATAGGGATTCATTGTTTTTCGATCGACGTGATGATGATCTATCATTATTGATATTTTCAATCAATGGGTCAATATATCTAAATAAATATAGAATTGAATTTAAAAATGCTTTTTTTCTATAGATATTTCAAACGTACGGTAGAAGACCAGGCATGCCTCTTTCAGCTTTTGTTCGTTGATTAAGAAGAAATTTTTTCTTATCATGATCAAGTCGTGAAATTTTACGAAAGCGTTCCGATGACAAATTGATCATATTAGAAAAAAATTGTCGGCTTAACATAACATTTTGTTTTGCATCCTTGGGCATTGCACCAATATTCGGTGTACATTTTCTTACTTGAACATTTTGCTCTGTCCAATTCGATATTTTCAACGATAGCTGTTGTCGTTTAGAAGACATATTTTTTTAGAAGTGAATAGATTTGAAAATGTTTTGTGCAAAACAAGCATTTTTATAATATTGTGTACATGCGACAACATTAAGAAGAAGAAAAAACGAAAAAACTTGACAAGAATACTTATGTTGCTCATACTAATAACGGGTCAAGTATCCATTTTAGTTACTTATTTTTGTATTTTGTGCAGGGAAAAAATAGTTCGTTTTTTAGTGATTAAAAATTTTCAACAATGTTTTTCATATTTCACTTAACAACATATTTTCTTGTAGGCGACGCATCATACACCTAAACTACTATGTTTGCACTAGAAAATACAGAAATATTAATCACAAAGTTCGTTCTTAAAATACTTATTTATAGGCTTAGACAAACAGTGCTGATCTGATTACAGTAAATGTTCAGCACAACATTTCATCACTTGAATATTTTTTTGTTTGAAAGCGTGAATGACGATGTTGCAATAAGAAAAAAATGCTCTTATAATACTGAGATCGAGTTTGTCGTTTTCTTTTTAATAAAATTGTCTCTACAGATTAACAGCAACGTGTCCTTCGCTTGTTTTTTCGTCTCTCCATTTCAAGCTTTTAATACAAGACTAAAATTGTCATAACAACAGACGACGTAATTTCATGCAATTTAGATGAAATTCGAAAAGACGTCAATAATAGTTACGGTAAAATAAAATACAAACATGACACTGTATTCGATCGTTTTTACGCTGTCGTCTAATTAAATACGACCATAAGAAACCGACGTAGTTTACAGTAAAATACAATGCACGAATAGGCTCCGTATGATCTTGATGCACTCGGTATTGTTTGATTAGACCTTGTCATTAAATTGAATGCAATGACCTATTAACGACTTGTCACATACAAATGAATAAATAGTTATTCAGACTTTCATATGCATAGATATTAGGAGATAATTGCCTTGACGACTAGACAAGAATCTTTTTTCAAGTTGATGATTGCAAAAAAATCGAATCTGATCGATTAAAAAGGCTACGAATGTAAAAGAAATGCAACAGTTTTTAATATTTATTAAAAAGAAAAAAACTTGAAATGCAATGCTTTATCTCTTATGACCTAACTGGTAAACTCATATTCAATAGTTCATCTGTAACGTTTTCTTATACAGTCTCATCCATAACAGTTACCTAGAAGTACAAATCAGATGTCTTGACTTCGGTTTACCATTTAACCAAAAATCTGCTGCTTTACTCATTCTTATCGAGAGAACTTTGTTTGGTATCTATTCATTGTTATTATCTGTAGTTCTTACACAACACACGAATATATGAGGTCTCCGGTGTGAGTAAATAAATATCTATTTTGTAGATTCATGTTCGAATGACGAACCAGTAAATCTCTAATTTGTATAGAAAACATTGATAACTATGGTAGATTTTATGATATCAACAAAACTTACGAATTCCAATGAATTAATATCCCGATTAGAATCGTTACCGTCCTATGGAAATCTAACACAAAACACTGATGAACCTGCACTTTTCGATGATGAACAAGAACCTCAATCGGGTTTAATAGACTTTATTCGACGAAATTCTGTCGCCGAACCATCGACAATAGACTCTCCAAATATCGTAAAAATAGTTTCATTTTGAAATTACATTGTTACTTTCCTTAGCAATGTCTAGACAGGTACTGAAGATTCAATTGAGGATGATATAACAACAAATGAAACAGCATCCACTCCAATAACTGCAACTAATAGCACCGATGAACTTCGTAATCAAGAAAATGACGATAACTATGAATTACATTTAAATCTACTTAAAAGTCGAGTTAAACATTTGTTTATTCTGAGTGAAAATGGAAAGCCAGTTTTTACAAGGTTGATTTTTTTTTCGTATGAATTATTACATAATTCTTATTTTTATTTCGTAGATACGGTGATGAGGATCAATTAGTAACATTAATGGGCGTAATGCAAACGCTTGTTTCATTTGCTGAAATAGCCCAATCAAGCCGATTGAATTATTTAAAAGCGGGCCCTTGTCGTATAGCATTTTTACATCGAGAACCATTTGTTTTTGTCTTAGTCACACATACCAATGAACATTCAATGTGTCTTCTTCAACAATTAACATACGTATATCATCAAATAATAAGTACATTGACATTAAGTCGTATAAAACAAAAATTTAATGTACAGCCAAATTTTGATATACGCCGTTGGTTATCAAACGCAGAAAGAAAATTATTACATAATATTATTGATATGTATGAACATGATTTAGGCATGCTTATGACATCGGCTAGATGCTTAATTTTACCTGCAAATATACGAGGTCAAATTGGGCAAACTGTTGCGCAAACAATACGCGGACAACAAGTAAGAATTTTCGTTCATAGATCGAGTAAACGCATTTTGATTGACAAAAATAAAAATGTTTAGGATATGTTATTTGCTATAATACTTGCTCATGGTCAACTTGTTTCAATAGCACGTTTAAGAAACTATCATCTACATCCATCGGATCTGTATTTATTGATTAATCTTGTTAATAGTACAGATGCGTTTAAAGGTGTTGAATCATGGGTACCAGTATGTCTACCACGATTTGACCCTGGGTTTGACATCAAATAAATATTCGTCAACAAAAATGATTTCTTTTGTTTTAGAGGTTGTTTTCATGCGCATATATCGTATTTAGATGATAGTTGTGATGTATGTCTCGTTTTATTAACTGTTAATCCCGAACACTTTCAAATACTTTCTGATTTTAAACAAGTTATTCTTGAAGTGAGATTATGTTTTTTCGGAGAAAAAACAAATATCGTAATTATTTAATTTTAGAAATTACGAAAACAAAATTTAACTATACAAATAAAACTTGCATTAGATAAAACTCGACTTTTAACAGATGAAATTGCTTGTAGTGATTTGCGATATTTTGCCTATAAATCACGTGGTTTAAGTCAATATATATCATCGAAATTATTACAACCTTATGTAACCAATGAACAACATGTTAGATTATTTGAATTGATTCGTTATGTTTACGGACGTCTTCATAATTGGAATCACAATTTAAAAATTGTCTATTTCAAAGCCGAATACGAATCTTTACTTGCATGGGTTAGTAGAAGAAAAAACATAACAAAAAGACATATTTTACTATCCATTTATTTTAGTTGGCACCAGGATTTGAATTACATGTAGTATTTTCACCGTATGTAACGCTGGAAACAGTCACTCAATGTACTGATCGTATATTGTCATATATAAAACGTGAAGAGAGTCAATTATTTATAATAAGGTGCGAATACTTTTGATAGAATGAATCGATTCGGATGATTTGTGGACATACGATAGTTTTTACGCATAGATTTCTTTTTTCAATTAATTTTTCTTTTTTTGATAAAATTTATTTGAAAACAACTAAATTCTATTGCAAAGAAAAAACCTAATCAATCTTGTTGATTTGCAAAAATATCAAATATATGCAATAGACTATTTTCAGTCTTACAAAGGAGTGAAGTAATCAATAAATCTTAATACTCAAGGCTATCTTAACAGAAGCGGAGAGGGAGAGGGTGTCGCTTTCCAATCATGAAAAAACATTTGGTTCTTAGGCGAACATTTTTCTCATGTAAATTTGGTTTGCTTGCATCGATTCTATTGACGGTTAACATGCGAATCATCGAATGTCTGCCTGTGTATATACCATCGAGACTGACGAGCAGATCAAAGCAATCAGTTAAATAAAAAAAGAAAAAAAATCATAATTTGTTGTCTGAAAAGCTTTTTCTCTTTTCTATTGAGGTTTTGTGTATTTAACGTACCTTTTTTCTGGTTCTGAAAAGATCGATTCAGTTGATATTACGCTTTGATAAGCTTATGATGTAACTACCTGCGCGTCAGGCACATTAAGCGGTTTTGCTTTCTTTCAAATTTCGAGTAAATATCAATATGTGCATATAGCCATGGGCAAAAGTGAATACGAATAATAATTTCCTTTGAATCAATATTGATGATGATGACTTCTAATGTTATACTACTAAAGTTTAATATATTCAACTTAGTATCTAGTTTTTTCTTTGTGTGATTCTTAAAATATTCAAGGAAATCCTTCGCGTATATCAATATCAATATATATGTATAAGAGATTCCTTGATAGATAATATTTTCTTGTCCTTTATCTAAGTCAGTATGAATCAATCAATTTATATAGAATATTCATAGTTGAGAATAAGAAGAAAAAGAAAAGAGGTTGACTATCTCTATTTTAATGGCTCTGTAATTGATTAAAAATGGATATCGTCACAATAATGAGTGTCCTCACGTTGTCCTTCAATTATCAATCAGATGTAGGCGTGTGTATATACATAGAGTAGAGTAGCTCAGTCAAACAACCTCCCCTTTTCGCGAGGTTTCTTCTTTTTTTTGTTTATTACAAGACGCGACATAGTCGCTATGTAAAAGAAGAAAAATGAAGCGAAAAAAAGAGGTAGACACGATTCAACTACGTTTTACATGCGTTGTTGCGATACGGTTCAACTATCTTCGTTTACTTAAAACGAGGGCCTTTCCTTTAACATTATCATCATTCGACAGAAAAAAAAAGAAGGCGAGAAGAGGACTACGTTGAAATATATTTATATTTGTCTAACCCATTAATCATGCAACAAGTCTCACCAGCCGTTGTTCAAAACCGTTATCCACCGGTTTATCATCAATATCCAACAGTGGCTATTGGAAGTCCTCAATCAGCTAAACCAATCGATCCAACTGTATTCGGACCAAGTGCTCCACCAGTGAAAAATTCAAAATCAATTAATAATAATATTAATAATCACAACCATAATCATAATCAATTACATGATATTGATTTACGACGATTGATTCTATTCAATTTACCAATTGATCTCATTCAAGAATATCTCGAACTTTATTTAGAGTATCTATCTGGTGAAACTGAAATCGAAAGAATTGACTATTCAAATCTTGAAGATACAACTGTTATGGTTACATTTAAAACTGATCTTGGTAATTTTAATAATTAAAAATTCATATCTTTTTTTTTTTCTTTTTTCATCAAGACATGGCTGAAGTACGTCGTCGGCATGGAACTCGAACGAAATTAAATGATTCGGAAATTTCACTAGCTGCAGTAACATCACCAACAACTGTCATGATAAGAAATCTGCCGGCGGATATATCGCGTGATGTTATTGAATTATATTTTTCAAATCGACGTCGCAGTGATGGCGGACTAGTTGTCGACGTTTCACTTGATCATGAACATCAACATGCACTAGTCACATTTGCCGATCATAAAGGTTACTAAAGAGAGAAAGAGATAGACAAGATTAGAATTCTTTTTTTCTTCTGAATGATCTAGATGTGTGTCGAGTTGTAAAACGTGAACATTTAATACATGGTCAACGTCTCGATGTAAGAATATTCTATGCTCATATGGGTATTGAACCATTTATTGATGCATCGAATGTTGGTAAAAAGCCTGATCCAATATTTTATCGCGCATCAAGTGATATACGTTATGCATTTTTACTTAAAAATCGTCCACTATTGGATGAACTGCGTGAACAATTGAAACCACTTAATGGCCATATTAGTCTGCAAACGGAAGGTGCCATAGAAATAAGTTTTACTGAATCCCGTTTAACAGTCAAACTTCGTTTGAAATGGACCAAAGATATTGAAAAGCTAGTTGAACAATTTCTAAATGAACGTCTTGTTGTACATAAAGTACCATGGAATAATAATAAAATCCCATCGATCACATCCGAACAACTTGCTGACCTTTCATTAAAAGATAATACACGTCTGATGCAATTAGCACCGTTGAATAGTCAACAAGATCATATTGTTGTAACCGCATTAAGAGATGATTTAGATCGTGCACTAAGCGAACTCACCGATATGCTTACGGCGCGTACAACAAGCGCAAATCATATACCATTGAACGATGCTGTGTACCGTAGCAAACCGGTAAGTGCTACACGCGACCCAAAAGTAAATAATCATCGCTCATCGTTATTGATTCGATCATCGTCACCGTCGAAACAAAGTCTTAACAATGCTGAATTAGCTCCACCGCCAGCATTTTCACAACCATCTATGGCTACTATCGATGATAGTCTTGAGAATTTACGTTTATATCAAATGGACTTACTATCAAAACGTTTCATTGATCTATCACGACGTACGTATGCGAATTTAAATATTGATATTGATCGAACAGGTCGACGTATCATTTTTCGGGGTCCACTTGATCAAGTAAATGTTTGTAAAAATTATTTCGAGTCAATACTCAATGGCATTACTCATAAACATTTTAAATTAGGGAAAGAAATGGCGGTTTTTCTATCGAATCCTGACACAGGTAATAGAAAACCCTTCTCTCTCTCTCTCTCTCTCTCTATGCTTTATATATTTTTTGTTTATAATCAGTTGAAATAGTTGTCGAAAATCTAGCACGCGCCGATCATGTATGTGCTTATGAAATCGAACGTGTTACTGATCATCATCATCGACGAAATTCAACATCTCCAGTATCGAGCTCGAATAATCGTGGTTCACCAACAACGAGTAGTCATCATAAACTAGTTATATATGGTTTGTCACGCGAAAATTGTGATCGTGCACATGATTTTCTTCGTCATGACATCTGTGTTAGCTCGATAATGTTAGATAAAGATGATAAACGTTGTTTAGCAAGTGATTCTTGGCATGCATATGTACGCGATCTTTACTCCAATCCAGGTGGTTTTCGCCGACGGCGTGTTCTATTGCAAGTCAAACAAAATCAATTAACATTAGTTGGTTTTGATCAAGATGTTGATTCGATGCGAAAACAAATTTATAATTATTTTGTTGAAAATGCTATTTCATTCTATGAATCAGATTGACTAATTTGAACAGACCAACAAGAATTTCAAAGAAAACAACAATAAAATAAAGAATAATTCCATTCTTTTCTCTTCTTTTCATATTTTTTATTGTATTTCAAATGTAGAATTAGAAAAAATAACTTTTACAAATTCGAATTATTCATAAGTCTTAATCTAGAATCGACATAGCATATCCGTTTGCTTTATGAGAATATTTATAACGAAGAGTAAAGACGGGATAACTATTACCTGTTTGTCTATCTACTGTTGTCATTTCAAAATCTAGCGAAGCCAAGAAAATTTAAAGGACAATCTATCGAAAATATTCAACTATCGCAACCTTCAAAGAAAAACTAAAGAGCTTGTCCGTTAGTAACGCACTCACGTTTTGCCAAATTTTGACCGACTTCTTTTTAGCAACAACAAAGCTTAGAGCCTTGAAACTTTGAGAATATACGTATGTTACGATGCACTGTAAAATGTATAAGTTTCGTGCTAATTGACTTTGGGCTGCCGTTTTTATATTAAAAATGCATGCAAATAGCGTACTCACAAAAAAGACCCCTTCTTTTTAGGGCGACGTTAGAGCTGCTGAAATTTTTGCGAATTGTTCAATTGTAAATATGATTGCTGCAGCAGATTTTATAGAGGACAGTTAAGACTTTCCATGTAGCAAAATAGTTTCGAGATCTGATATGTCGGTGAAGAGCTATTGGATAAATATTAAAGTAACGCACTCACTCTTTGATTTTTGACCATTTATTTTTGAGAAATGTTTACTGTCTATTGTAAGTTCTAGACTGAGGAAGGTCTCTTTTACTTTCATTTTCGACCTATTATGAATTTTACGCTAAATTATGAATATGATCCATTACGCTCTTCAAACAGAGATAATAGAGCCCAAGAAAAAAAGAACACATTTCATACTAGAGACAGGCTCTTATAATAGATGTATAAAGTATTGCATACAATGTCACCGACTGTCTCTCTATCTTCTAAAAGGTAAAAGTAAATGTTTTAAATGCCACTTTCGAACCAAATTTATCGAACAAAAATTGAATATGTCTCAAAATTCAGACTGTAGAACAGTCCAGAAATGGAAGCGTTCAAATACTTTTGGTATCTAGGGGTTTAACATATGCTATTGATCATTGAAAATAGCTTATTAGTACTAAGTTAGCATAAAGAGTCTCTTTTTCGATTGTATGGACTTTTGAAGTTTCGGTGAACCAGAAGACCTTAAGGGCTTCAAGCCGAAGAAATTCTTTTTCAATAGTATCTTGCTTCTTTCATGCTTTAATATGAGAACGAATGAAAAACACGCGTACTTGCTTAGCAATTTCAATTCCTAACGATCCCGGACATCCCTCAATATGAATAGCAAAAGTACTATTTCTTGTTTTTTTTAGTACTTGCAGGCTCGAAACAAAATATTCCTATCATGATAATAGTTTTCTGTGAGTTCTCTTGCCTTGTTGTAGATATAAGAGGTTCTCTCTCGTTGTCACTATAGTAATAACACTGGGATCTGTACTATTGGAAAAATCAGTGTAATCAATCTCGAGGTCAAAAAAACATTATAAACTAAAATGTATCTGGCGTGAGTGCGTTACCATTTTTTTTACAAAAAGAGAAAAATATCCGGAATCAAAGCCGACTGTTGGATAGGTCGTAGAAAGTTATCGAAGTGTCATGAGCAATTGCAAGACAATTCCTTGGAGTTGTAGCATAAAACAAACTAAGAGACCTTTTTGGTAACACACTCACCCCAAGATTTATCAACCTTTTAAAGTAGTTTCGTTTTCTTCTAGCAACCACGTATCCATATGAACTTTGTGGAAGAAGAAAGACCCAACTATGCACATTCAGAATATATAGTACTACTCTAGACTCAGTAGCATTTTTAGCCATTTTCGATCGTTTTCTTTGCAGGTACGAAAACAGCAAAAAATTTTGCAAAACATATCAGGACTTTATTTTAATATTTTTTCCGTCTGTTAAACGAAAAGATAAAACAAAATCAGTTTCGTAATACAGTAAAGCATGTCCTATAATACCATGTTACGAGTTCCTAAAAATACTCAGCTTCTACTTTAATCAATCTGGTCGACGGTTAGCCGGACAAGCTGTAAACATTTATTTTCTTAACATTTTTCATCCGTATTATTCGCATTATTATTGCGTTTTATTTTATCACGTCTATCTCGTTCATTCATTATTTTTGATATTCCAATTAGAACGACACTAGATATAATAAGTGCTGAGCCAAGCAGAGCATATAAATTTGATCGTACAGATGTAAATATATTTTGTAATATTAATGCGTAAATAATATCAGCCGAAGTAAGCAATGAGAAAACAGCTGGATGTTCACGTTTGATACCTTTTTGTATCAATATACTGCCAAGAATAGTAATAAGACAAACGATGGATGATAATAGATATGGCCACGAGATAAAATAGCTTAACGATGTTATTGATTTAAGATAGAATACTTTGTAGAATTGATTGGCAATCAGCAATAAACAGACAGTGAATGAAAATTGAAAATTAATGACGCTTGGTTTAATCTGTTTCGATGTTGATATCAGTTGTTTATAGGATAAAACATTCAATGCTGATGTTAAAGCACATGTTATAGCCATGATAAAACCAAGTACACGAAGTTTATAATTCACAGTGTTCGCGGATGATTGTGCTGATGGAAAAAGAAAACTTGGCTGAGTCACTAAAACAACGCCGATAAGTGTCAGTGGTAAAGCCAATAACGTACCTATGGATGGTCGTTCACGATAGACTATCACACTCAGAACAACTGTCCAAACGACTCGCGTATAAGCCAATGTATTAGCATCTGATAATTCAATATAGCGTACGGCAAGAAAAAATAGAAAAAATCCTGCTGCATCTGTAGCAGCACAAAGAATTTGTAAGAATAATTCTCGTGGTTGACGTGCAACTAGTGTATATTTATTATATACAACAAACGAAAATGTGATTGCTGCTTGAAGTATCATACGTAATAGTAATGCATCAAGTAAATCGACGCCGATTTTTTTAATTATAAATGTTGTAGATACAAAAAGAAAACTTGCAAATAACGTATAAAATATACCAGAAAAACGACGTGTCCAAGTGGTTTCTTTTTCTAAATTTTCCTTACTTATCGCTGGTATGAGAATAAGTGGATCCGATGGTATTATTGTTGACTCAAATTCGTCTAGTCCATTTTGATTTTGTGACATCATTTCGAAAGAATTTCCTATCAAATATAAAAACAAATCAACTCATAGATGCTTAGTGAAACATACGTATACCCTTAAATATCATTTAAAGTTATTCACTTAAGAGAACAAAAAAGTATTAACTGGACTAGTGCAGAAATTTGATATTTTATCGTCAACACTGTGCTTTCGTAAGCCAAAATATTATTTTGAATTGCTTGAGAAATAAAATATTGTTTTTAAGCATTAGAGAATATTTGGAAAGAAAGCACCCAGGCTTATCATATGCTATTGAGTCAGAACAAAAGCAACAACAACATATTCTATTTTTCTTTTTATAAATCGTTTTATTTATTGTGACGAACTCGCCATGAGGCGCTGATCGTCTCACAACATATTCTAATTGAAATGTTCACACTTCGCATTTTATTCCTCTTTAATCACAATCACGTGTGCATTTCATTTTTCGTTGTTCTTCTAATGACGGACCTCGATATTTTTCTTCGTTCCTTGTTCTATCGAATGATATGTTTATCACATTACAACTATTTTGATTCTACTTTCGATTTACAAACTGTAAACTTACAGCTCAATGTATACAAGTAAGTTTCTATTTAAAAAAATGATTCATTTATCATTCAATTTAGATACCGATAATCCGTCATCATCATCATCTCAAGTTATCTATGAATATGAAACTGTTGCTCCATCATCGCCTGTACAATCACTGTATGAAAATGAAATTCCACAATCCGCTTGTATATCGTATGAATCAAATTTATCTTCGATGACACATCAAACTTCACTTATACCTGCATTTCAAAGAAAACTACCTGTTGTATTCGTAACTATTTTAGGTTTATTCGAAATATTGGGCGGACTACTCGTTATTATACTTGAAATATTAATTTTTGATATTGCGATTGGATTATGGTGCGGTTTTATTTATCTACTTGCTGGAGCAGCTGCCATTGTACTTGGTTTGTAAATAATAACATCAAAATTACCGTACGTTTGGTTTTTTCTTCAAATTTCATTTAGTGATCAGTACTGATCGGGAACGTCAGCAAACATCAGCTGTATTGATTGTTCAATTTATTGGTAAGAAAAAATATTTCTATGGTGAATTCATTGTATCTAATTCAGAATTCTCTATTTTAGCTTTTATGTTTACGATTTCGGAAGTTTTGTTGCATATTGATGTTTATCAAAAACGATGTATACCGAAACTAAATGGACCACTACGTGAAACATCATTTCAATGTCAAATTCTTCTTATTCAAACAGGCGGAGCTACTCTTGTTCTTGTTAGTACTATTATTTTTGCAATAATATATTTTCGAATAACAATTATGGTACTTAAACAACCGCATGGAACTTTTAATGTATCGAACGCAATGAATTTAACGTGCTAACGTGTTATATATAATAATTACCTAGTAATTCAGAAATAAAAATACTTTTGTGTTTTGTAGAACTATCGTCTTCGTTTATTTTCTATGATTAAACTTCAGAACAACATTGAGTAATGATTTTTCTTTTATTCGCTTCATCTTTAATCTTCTATTCAAACCAAGCAAGTGAAGAATCTAATCTTGAAAATTATTTCTCATTAGAAGCAAAAGCTAATTGTTCTATTTACTGTACTCTTTGTTACAGTGAATTAAATTTTTTATGCTAATTTTCCATTTAATTCGTATTTCTTAATAGCTGAGGCTCATTAATTTGTGTCATTTCTAGACAACCGTTTGATTTTTCTCAGAGTAGAAATTGCTCAGATTGAATAACTGAGAGTGTCTTATACTCAACGGCAGATGCTTTGACAATAATATGTTGAGTTTATCGGTGTTCAACTGTATTATATGGAACGCATTTAGATTTTTCTCTTATTGCAAGATTCACTTTTTACTTTTAGTTTTCTAATCGGCGTTTTAGCACGTAAAAGTGTCTAGGCTTTCTGTTTGAAAAAGGTGTAGAACAATTTTATTTCACACGTGAGAGATATCAAATTTAATCATTCAAACGTGTTGTTACCGAAAAGATAAGAATTAGCTGAATTTTTACAAGTGTGTTTTTTTTCAATTATAATTCCTATATAAAAAATGCTTTGGAACTCATCAAATCATGCTTTTTCACCCAAATTTCGACTAGTTACATCTTTGAGACGTAAATGAGTTACAATGCGCTTTTCTATCTGTTATTCTACTTAACGGATGCGCCAGGTGAAATGAGCCTCTCAGTATTTTTCGAATATCTCGTTCAGGTTCTCACGTATTTGATTTTTTTCTCTAAAAGATAGCCCATCGAATTCTCTACAAGACCTAATGCAGTCAGTTCTTTCAACGAATCATTATGAAACTATATCCAGTCTACATTACAATGCTCCAAAATAGTCCACTTTCAAAGCACTGTATTTTGTATTTCCGAGTTTGCATTGCTCTTTCCCTACTTAGAAAACGGATTGATTAGGCTAGTTTGTAGCTCTCGAAAAGCTCTATCGTTTGAGCAAAAAACTTTATTTTAGCGTCACTTATCTGAAAAAAGCCTCTTCTTGGTTCGGCACTACTCTCGTTTTGAGAAGCTTTCGTATAATTATACGCAATTATGGTTTGTTACATTAAATAGACAATGATGAGGCATTCAGATGTAATACCAAATTGACGATAACTGTTTTCTCTATCATTCTGATAGGGAAATAAGGCTATTAAGAGGTTTGTGCAACTCTTGCGTCATAGAATGAGGAAGATCAGTAGTTTCAAACCGTTTTTGAAGAAAATTGATCAATGGCAACTCACAATCCTATCCAAATATCTTATTTTGAGCCTTATTAGAGAGATTAAACCTGAGAACAGAGGAAAATTGCATGAGAGTAGAGTCTCGCATCTGTTTGAATAGAAAAAGTGAAATAATTAGTTTTATAAAAATGCGTATTTGAAAGTGGACTATTTTGGAGCATTGTAGTGTAGACTGGATATAGTTTCATAATGATTCGTTGAAGAACTGTCTGCATTAGGTTTTGTAGAGAATTCGAGGGACTATCTTTCAGAGAAAAAAAAACCAAATAAATAAGTGAGAACCTGAACGCGTTATTCGAAAAATACTGAGAGGCTCATTTCACCAGGCGCACCCGTCACATGTGTTGAAACATTGTTGTAACATCTTCTTTTCTGGATGGCTATTCGTTTCATTTGCAAAGAAGCGGCATCATTATTCAATCTCATTTTAACAACATTGCTATGGAATTCACTGCTATTCGTTATTTGATGCTGGTACTATTCAGGTAAGCTTCTAAAATCGTTCGATTTTTATTCAACTAATATTGAACAATCTTTCGTTGAGTCTCACAAATTTGATTATTATTTAATTGTCTATGTCTTACTCTCTATTTAGTATATTGATAGTAAGAGTCAAATCTCAGTCATGTGATGGTATGATTGAGTATGCCACATGTTCGCGGCATTCTGCATGTGCTTGTTTTCGTAGGCCAGCTCCATCTAACTCTAGCATTTGTGTCGATCAATTCTTGCTGTCTTGTTCTGAACTAGTTCAGTGCGAAGTCTCAAACAACAATTGTAATGAACCTGAACATGTATGTGTTAATCATTATCGATGTCATAGTTTTCCTATTTGTTATCCGGTACCGAGTTTCAATGAACAACTCTGTCCGTCGACAAGTAAGAGTACAACGGAGTCAGCTACATGTAAGTCTTTCTTGAAGTTATTTTTCAATTCTTCTCGACGTGCAGATCATTCGGAAAAGGCGGAGGGCATAGATAAAAGGAGATAACGAATGACTGCTTGCTTGAATATTCACAAAGATCCATTTAATGATTCTCTTCATTCGCCAACCTTCGCAAGTTTATTGAATTTTTTTTCTAAGAGGAGACTTCAAAAATTATAATTTTCTCATAACAAGTAGTCTAAAAAAGAATTCTAACATATGATTTCTACATTATGATACCGCTCTTCCAAATATCAATTCATATCTCTTTCACTTACACTGCTAATGTGATGACAGAATATTTTTATATCCGGAAATTAAATACTCGAAGTTAATGAGTATCTCTAGTAAGTCTAAAACCGCAAATACCTAGCTGCAAATGATCACGTTGAAATGCAGCCGTAGTGAATTACCGCCAATTTTTTATTCTATCAAAATTGAACTCGGGCAAGGAGTTTGAACAGGACCAGGCAACTTCTATGTGCCTTCTGATTCAGCGAAATTTCTGTACCAAGTTAATGCATTTCTTCTAATATTAGTATGTTGACATAATTTCGATGTGTATATTGAAATGGGCGGAAAGAACAGGAATCCTAATGTCATAACGTACATTCCGATACTCAAACCTATTCTAGAAAGTACAAGGGAACCCTGCATCCTCATTAGAGCAGACATTCACATCCTGATCATACACCTCCTTTCTCTACCAATACTTGCATTCATTATCTTTCCAGTGTGCAGTGAACCCATGTAAAAAACTTGATTTCAAGAATCGGTTACAAATCGATTTTGACCTCTCTAAAGCTGATTTTTTCGATATTTATTTTTACATGAGAAGTTCCATCTGAAAGGGTTTCAGGAATGTACAGCTAGCAAAACCGAGCCATTGCTAAAAACGTTATGAAACGCTAAATTCTTCATCATCTTTAATGTCAAACTATCTCAATTTTTTACATAAATGTTCTTTAATGATTAGCAAGAAAGAACACTTTAGGTACAAGTACAACGGCAAGTACAGCTACAACAACCAGTGCAAGTGCAACTTCAACGACAACTCAACAGCGAAGTAAGCTTGAGGTTCATGCTTCAATCTTCCTCAATTCTAATTGTGAATCAAACGCCTATACTTATGTTTATGCAATAGCACTATGTAGATATTTAAGGTGTCAGTTAATGAAGTTAGCCATTTCATATCGTGGATGATTTAGATGTCAGCATAAGCAAAACTGAAAATCTTTCAATTTTCGTACTATAGTTATAATCGAAATTAGTTTGGTTGTATTGACATGCTCATGTGAATAGTAATTAAACGCAATGATGATGTAAATCAATGAGATCCGTTCAAGGTACTGGAAAATTTTCGAACAAGACAGACTCGTTTAACTACCGAAGCTTTTATAAATCATATCAAACACGACGTCACTTCTGTTAACATGAGAATATTTCCCCCCAATCATTTTGATTCCATTACTTATTGACGAAGACGATAAAGTGCATGCAGTTACTGAAAAAACTTCAGTGAATAATTTAGATCTGCCTTCCCAGAAAAAGCCAATTGTATAATTTCACGAATATTTGAGAAAAGAATTTGAAACAGCCAGCTTTTTTTTTATAAATCTGTTACGGCAGGCAGTAAAATTTTCATCTAACAAAATTTGAGTTCGAAGCTGCAATATTCGCTTCTAATTTGTGTCTACTGTCTCAGTAGACTATAACTATTTATATAAAAGAGAGCAAAAACAGAACTGAAGTCAAATTTCCTGATCAAAAGTCTAATTAGCTGTTGAATATAATTACAAAGGGCGCATGAGTGCATTGCAATTGATTGAGTTCAGCGAAGAAATTTCAAAAGAAGATTCAAAACAGTGCAAATGATAGTCTGCCAAGGGCTACTTAAAAATAGCAAGTTGCCTTTTGAAAATTTCTCACACGCTGCACTGTAAAAAAAACACTGAATAATACATTTTTTCCAATGATATTAAAGGGTTAGAAAATCATTAACCTCTTTCTTTTACCCTTCCGTAGGGTTTCTCAGCACTTGTTCTGAGATAAAATTCATATGCTCAGTCTGAGGAGTCGTTAAAACAAATCTCAATGAAAATACAACTAATTTAATTTATTTTATAAATATTACTTTTGAATAATTTGCTCAACTCAATCTAAATTGAAGGCTAAATAAATCTATCTTAAACAGGTAGAACAATACACCCTTCTCCTTAAATCCAAGTATCGTAAACGTTTTTTTTTACTAGTCATAAACCCTGTTGCTCTTGCCAAACAACGTGTCGGTAGAATATATGTATTTTACTATTTTGAGAAAGCAATAATAGTAAGTGTAAATCGAGATTTTTTAGTAGTTACCCTTCCCGCTCTTACGTTAGATCCTAGTCACGTGATGGAGGGATGCAGATAATAGTGATTAGCATGTATATGCTATGAAAGCACTAGGAAGATTACTATAAATGTACTGACCAAATAGATAATCATGTTCATTGCCATCAATGTTAACTACATTAGTTATTAACAAAGTAAAAATAAATAAATGTGAGATCAAAGTACAGAACTACGGCAGAGATTGGAAACAAAAGACACGTGACATTTACTAATGTTATAAAGGAGAGTGTGCACACTATTGGGGGGGGGGGGGGGGGGGGGGGGGGGGGGGGGGGGGGGGGGGGGGGGGGGGGGGGGGGGGGGGGGGGGGGGGGGGGGGGGGGGGGGGGGGGGGGGGGGGGGGGGGGGGGGGGGGGGGGNAAGGAGAGTGTGCACACTATTCTCCCCCCCCCCCTCACACACATAAAGTTGCTCTTTTGTACGTTCAATATTATTGTTCTACATTTATCATTGATTACCATCGATGCTGCTGTCCACGAGGGCAATCCCATGCTTCTGAACTCGTGCATTTCCATGTATTCATTACTTGAGTCACTATTTTCTGACTTTTCATCATTTATTTTTACTTCTGAAATCCTTCGAGCACTTATAGAAATCGAAAACTATTATTCTTGATATCTTCTATCTAAATTGACTTGTTGGTCGAATTCTTCGTTTGTTCTAAACTTCTATTTGTCAGTTCTTTGGACAATGGTCCATGATCTCGAATTTTTGTCAATTCTAATTTCACAGCCAAGAGTGACTGCTATTCAAAATTTGACAAGGATCTATTAACTAGGATGTTCAGATGTAACGACATATATAATGTCTTTACATTATCATCATCATCATCCGTGGAAGCGGCGCGGGAAATGCACATAGAGGTTTACTCTATTATTCTAGTTGTTTCTCCCTCACACGTAAAACGAACTTAAACACGAGATAGCAGAAGATCCAACAAAGAGAACAGAGTAACCAATTGTTCTCACATCATTTTATTTCATAGAAGATGCACACAGATGATGATCTTATATTATCGACAGAATAAGATTCTTATATACAGTTAAATGTGCGCAACAATCTAATCATCTTTTCATTCAGCAACAATAACTTTGATCTTCAACTTAGATTTTACTCAGCAAATTGTTTACATATAATATTGTCTTCAATTTTATCCTCTCTCTTCTTTCTATCGATTGTTCAGTTACTCTACTACATGGCAGTTCAACAGATATTCATCCAAATGCAACATGGAAACAGAACGGTCTCACTGTGGCTGGAGGAAATGGACAAGGCAATAGAACCAATCAACTATCGAGCCCATGGGGTTTGTATGTTGATGACGATCAAACTGTCTATATCGCTGATCAGCAAAATCGACGTATTGTGGAATGGAAATTGGGTGCGACGAATGGCCAAGTCGTTGCCGGTGGAAATGGACACGGAAGTGGGGCTCATCAATTGTCTCAACCATTAAATGTGATTGTTGACAAAGAGGGAAATAGTCTCATCATCTGCGATAGCTCAAATGCAAGAGTAGTTCGATGGCCTCGTCGAAATGGGATAAGTGGAGAAACAATTATCTCGAATATCAATAGTGTGGGTTTGACTATGGACGAGAATGAATCTCTCTATGTCGTTGACAACAGCAAAAATCAAGTGAGACGATATCAAAGAGGAGAATCTCAAGGAACAGTGGTTGCAGGTGGTAATGGAGGTGGAAATCGTCTCGATCAACTCTCTAACCCACACTACGTATTCGTCGATCGAGATCATTCAGTGTATGTGTCTGAACGGGGCAATCATCGTGTGATAAAATGGATGGAAGGTGCAAAACAAGGCATTGTCGTGGCTGGTGGCCACGGACAAGGAAATAATCTTATGCAATTGTCAGACCCTCAAGGAGTTATCGTCGATCAATTGGGTACTGTCACTGTGGCTGATGCAGGGAATCATCGAATCATGCGTTGGTTGAAAGGAGCCACACAGGGAAGTGTCATTGTAGGTGGAAAAGATCGAGGAGAACAATCGAGTCAACTCAATGGGCCCTCTGGTTTATCATTCGATCAACACGGTAATCTCTATGTCGTTGATTGCTATAATCATCGAGTACAAAAGTTCAATATCGAATTCAATGGATAAATCGACAAATAAATACCGAAGTGCTCTGTAAGAAAAACATTTAAATAGCTATTCTGCAGAAAATTTTGTAAGTTTTTTCTTAATTGATGATTACAATACAAAAACGAAAAAATAAGAAAATTGGAAAATGGTAAAAAGAAAGAACAAAAAAAAGAGAAAGGAAAGGCCGCACCACTGGAAAACTTGAATCGCTGGAAAATTTTCGCATTCTCCTCAACCAATGACAAAACAGACAAAATAGGTACAAACTCAGAAGCCCGATCCTCTGCCAATTTTTACGAAACCGGTATTCTTGGAATCCTGGAAAATTTCGCTATTTCCTTTGTAATGAAAATAGCACTTACGGTTTTTTTCACATTTCTGTATTAAGAGCCGCTTTAAATCCGTTCAATCACTGATATTATAATAAAGAATAGTTCTCTGATAATATCAGCGAGCGACTATAGATCAAAGAGTATCCGAATCATAATGTTCAAGAATGCTTTTCTGTCTCCAACGTGGATGAAACCTGAAAATAGTTGGCACTAGAGGAACTCGTTGGAATCATTGTGAATCCTTCAGCTAATTCCATAATATTCTTTTCAAAACCATGCATGTTCAGAAACTTACAAATTCCAATCCTTTCAGAAAACCTTTACATCTCCAAAGTGTGTGGTAAATTGTAATGAGCAAAACGCAAGGAATTCGTTAGAGTCATTGTGAATCCTTGAGTTAAGTGTACTATATTATGCTACATTCATACCTGAGCATCGGTGATGGTTCAGCTCTCTGTAAAAATAAAGATTCTAATGTTTTCAGAAGACGTTTCGTCATGTGAAACCCGTGGGTATCTCATTATAAGTGATACACTAGGAAGCCTTTGGAATCACTGCGAATCTTTGAAATATTTTCACAGCAGTGTTTCGCAATTATTCCTGAGCGCATGGTCATGGTATAGTTGTCTAGAAAAACTCAAGAATTCCATGTTTTCCTAAAGACTTCTTCATCATGACACATCCATCAAATTATGATGATCCGTTAGCGTTACTGAGATGCTTGCACATCGCTGTGAGGTATGTTCAGATTTCAGAAAAAGGAAATTTCCGTAATCTTCAAAAGCACGTAAAGCCAAAGAAAAGTATTTTCGCAAATTTTGGAAATTTCGAAAACTGAATATTACGGGAGTTGGCAATATTCGACATTATCGATTTGTTTGTAATAACAGAGTTTCTCATATATCAGGTTCAAATTTTCCGTAATTTCCGTTTTTGGAAATCCGATCATTGCTGGATTCGACAGGGCACAGATTTCTTCGGGCGGGATAGAATAAAAGATGAATCGGGATTTGTTATGTAATCTAAAACGAAGAAACTTCAATCGATTTATAATTAGTGACCGTGCATCTCTCCTAAAAGCTTCGACGATGGTGTGTTTATTAATGTCTGTCAAAATATCGAGAAAAAAATGAATATATAACAGAATGACCACCTAAATGACGCAAGCTAAGAACAGCATTCAGTCGGCCATTCTTCATAATGGATAGCACTCAGCTATTAGTCGGACTATTCCAACAGCAGTACACCGATAATAAACAGATAGCAGTTTTCGTATTCTATTGCTAGAATCAGAATTCGAAACCGCTAGCCCGTAACATTACGGCTCTAAAGCAATATATATGTACATCGGCATAGGCAGCAAATCAGTGAAGGAATCGCATCTCTCTGATCAACTTATTATTTGTTCCTATATTTTAAGTTGTATTTGAGTAAAATCTAACTGTTTCTAAGAAAAATGTAAGCTGTATAATAACAAAACTATAACAATAGATATACATCTATGAGAGCAAATAGGATTTGCATTCATAATGGTATAAACTATTAAAATAATATTTATAATCTATATATTCAAAAAAAAACAATACAATTCAATCCAGTGAGTTACATTGAGAATTTCATCAAGAATAAAAAAAAGGAAAAACAATATTTTGATGTTGTAACCAAAAGAAAATAATGAGACATCTCTGAAATAACAGCTATACTATCAGGCATTATTATCATGTAGAAAACACGTTGTCATTTGGATGGGAACATTTGGTGTTCTTACTAATTAGATTTATGCATTTGTTTTTCCAAAAGGCACATACAATAAGTCCGCTACTTTTCATTGACATCGATAAGTTAAAATACAGAAGACAGGCGTATTTCTGTACTCCCTACACCCAATTATCAGGTTCTCTGTTGATAGGTGTCGATATATAACAATAGAGCAATGACGCACTAATTATTGATTGGTTCGTATTATTGTCAAATCTAGTTTAAAATAGAAAATTTTCCATCTATCGTGCGAATCATAATAGTGACATCACAATTGCAACATATATTTTGTCATTTTTGTTAGCTATGGTAAGATTTCTTTTTTGTAAAAAATTTTACTTTCATAAAAGACTAACCATTTTTTTATTAATTTCCAGGCTTCCTCATATTACCCAATTACAACAGAAAATTATTTTGATAATACAAAATCCCAATCGATTACTTCATATCCAGTCACAAATACAACTAATAATAAATATCATGATGATAGTGATGATGACTTAGATGCACTACGAAAAGCTGCACTTAAAACATTAAATTCTAATAAACGCAAAGTTAGTTTTGTTTTTATTCTATAGAAATTATTATTATTATTTTTTCTCTTCTAAAGAATACACACGATAGTTCACCAATTCATCGAAATTCTCGTTCATCGTCACGATCGTATTCATCATCTCGGTCTAGTTATAGCCGCTCATCCATCAGTAGATCATATTCATCATCATCATTATCTTCAATTAGTTCAAATTCATTAAATAAACATGATAAAGATTATCGTTTTGAAACAAAAGAAAATGCAACTAATGGTGATATTGATGAACGTTTTCCACAAGATATTCTCAATGATGATGATGCATTGATTGTTAATTGTCCGATTCAAGATGATGATTTACTAACACAAAATGAACACCAACCAATAGTAAATCATTTGAAACAAGAAAAATCAAAGACGATTTCTGATTATAATCATAATAAATTACCTTCAAAAAAACGAAAAGATGAACATAAAAAGTCTCCACCTACTGAACGTCCTGTTTCAATAACAGTTAAATTAAATTCAGATGATTTCGATCTTAGACAATTAATAAAAAAACGTCGTACTACCGAGTCCGTACCAAACAATCAACGTATTGTTCAAATTCTACCAAAAGATGGCCATTTACACGTACATAAAACCATACATGATCGTTCTGAATCACGACGATCAGATAAACAAAACTATCATAAACATTGATTTATTTCAATTCGTTGTTTTTGTGTTTTTTTAAATTTGAAATATAAAATTCACAAATTTGTTTGTCTTTATCTGCATTTATTGTAGATAATATTTCAGCATGGTATTTAAAGCAACAGCGTCGTTAATAGCTCGACTTAGTCGAGCATTTGTTTCTCGACCATTTAAACCTACATTTAACCATCGTATTTATCAAAAACCTCCTTTGAATAAAACTCATCAGGTTTATTCAAAACATGCCCCAAGATTTTATTTATTTCCATCGATTAATCGTTCAATTTTTCTTACACAAAATGGACAAAATATGTCGAATTTAATGCCGTTTCGAATGGCTTTGAATGAAATAAAACGACGATTATTTTTTGCTGGTTCGTATTTTTAATCATTTTCTTTGAAATCTAGAAGGCAAAAAATCGACTTAAAAATACTAAATCTATTACTGTGGCAGTTTTTTCTTTGAATGCAGTACATCATGCTAATGTAATATGATCTACAACATTAAATATAGTTTTCTTCTAATGTAGGAAACAATTTCTGGTTTAAATTAGCTTTGCTTCCTTCCTCTTATGCATAGAAAGTAGTTTATGCTTTCATTGGCATAGAAAATAATGACTATAAAAAGAAGATGCATTCAGCAAAAACGTCTATTCTCATAAGGAATTTCTATGATAAGAGATTATATCGATTTCAAGTTGCAACTTATTATTTTATTTTATTTTCTTAGCACCAAGTAGTTCTCGTCTTATTTTGGGTCTACTTGGCTATTCATTTGTTCAACAAGGACCCATCAATAATTTTCGTTTCAATGAAACATTCAATAAAATTGGTGATCTTCTTTCGAAAACTACTATCGTGGATCAATTCAACGATGAAAACGAAAAATATAATCGAGCATCACTCGACGACTATGAACTAGGTCGTTTACTTGGTTGTGGTTGTAATGCAGCTGTATATGAAGCAAGACTTCGTTCGCCATCAACAAATTCTACGATGCCATTAGAAAAACATACAATTGAACATGATACTGAAATACTTTCACGCCAATCATCAAATAGTTCATCGGTCTATGAAGATATCAATCAAAATGATGATAATAAAGAAGAGCAACTCAACGAGCTAACACTTAAAGAAGGTGATTTCTTTTGATGAGATAGAATGTTAAGAATAAACTTCCTGCTGTTGTTTTTTTGTTGAAGAGAGGAAGTAATTAGAATTGGCAGATTCTATTTGTTTTTTAGTAACTAATCTAATAGGAACAACTTATCAGAGGTATAGCTATATTATAATATGCGATGCTAACAGGAAATAAGTTTTACACAGAGAACCTTGAGTTATAGAAAAATGTGAAGGGCGCATTTTCTGTGTCGTCCAACGAAGTTTTATTGCAATAACAAATAATTTTATTATCTAGTTCGATATCGAGTGTCAACGAGTATGCAGCAAACATCTGATATCAACTCCGACGTTTTACCCGGTAAAGCTCAATTCATGACTTATTTCATAGGCAATCTGTCTTTGATTTTTCTAGCTGGCCAATTTAATTTAGCAATAAAAATGTTATTTAATTATGGTATTCAATCAAATGCTGAAGCAATTGAAAAAGCTATGGAAAAAGAATTATTACCTCTACGTAAATGTTTTCATCATCCGAATGTTGTTCGGATGTATTCCTGTTTTGTTGATTCATTTCCATTATTAAATGAAGCACATGCATCCTATCCAATGGCGATTCCGACTCGTCTAGACCCGGGTAGTTGTGGACAAAATAAAACATTGTTTATCGTTATGCGACGTTACGATTTAACATTTAATCAATATATTCAATTGAATCAGCCAAATACTCACGAACGTTTATTACTTTTTGCACAATTACTCGAAGCTTTATTATATTTAAACAATCATTCGATTGCTCATCGAGATTTAAAAAGTGATAATTTACTTATATGTAATGAAACCGGTGAATTAGTTCTGGCAGATTTTGGTTGTGCACTTTATCATCCACCTGATTTAAAAATTTCTTATCAAACAGATGACATTTGTAAAGGTGGAAATCCTGCGTTAATGGCGCCTGAAGTAAATTTTAGCTCGAATTGAGGTATTTTTATTTGATTTTATTTTCCAGATTTCAACATGTCAACCCGGTTCAAAACGTTTTCTCGATTACAGTAAATCTGATCTTTGGGCAAGTGGAACTCTGTGTTATGAATTTTTTTCGCAATCAAATCCATTTTTTCATGGTACACTTCGACCAGATAAATATGATGACGAAAAATTACCATCATTGTCATCAAAGGCACCGATAATTATTGAACTACTTGCACATTCAATGCTTCGAAAAAATCCTGAAAAGGTATCTGCTCCTTTTCTAATTTTCAGTTGTTCCATCATGTTCTATTCATAATATATTTTTGTTTGTCTGTTTTATAGCGTCCATCTATATCACTTGTAAGCAACTGTGTTCATTTATGTCTTTGGTTCAAAACCTTAAAGTCCCAAACTGAACTTTATCAAGCATATATGTGGACAGCGTTGGAAACATTATTTCATAAGCACACATTAACCCGCGTTGAAATTAATTTAAAAAAGCTTTTCTTCGAACGACAAACCTGTCAATCACTTTACCGAGCGCAAGCCTTTCTCAATCAACTTCAAGTTTGATTTTTGACTACTTGTACATACGAATAAATTTTAAAAGAACTTTATACAAGCTTTTTTTTTCTTTTATTAGTTTAAGAAAAACAAAAAAAAAGAAGATAATAAATATATATATATTTGATTAATCCGTGTTCTGATAGGAATGATTCAAAATCAAAGGCCTTGATAATATAATTCACGATTCAATTGAATAGTAGTACAACATGGGCAAAATGTTGAAATACAACAATCATTGCATAGATCACCCTAAACAGAATTGGACGTGTACGAATAGCGAGCTTACGTATGCTTAGTTTAGATAAATTATTGTTTTCAAAACTTAAATTTTGATAACTATTCCCGAATATTCAATCTCTAGTTTATATTGAACTATAGGTTACACAAAAATCGAGTTTTCTTGATAAAATAAAAATGTTTACCTCAATACGAAAAGCGGTACGAATTTTCGATCTCAATGCAAATCGTGCAGCAGGACATAGGCATGTACATCCAGTCTCTCCGGCTCGTTTGTACACTTGATATTCAAAGCAACATGGACAAAAGAAAGCAAAGCAACCTTTGAAAGAAAAAGACCAAAGTACACATTAATACAACAAATCAACAAGAATTCAATAATACATTACATTGTTTCATGTTGGTACAACATGAAAAAAGTGTCGTTGACCATGGATGTTCAAATTCCCATACATTTCGACCCGGTTGTGTTACAACAACATTTCTAAAAAAGAATATTTCCCTATAATAATTTAATAAACGCAGTCAATCACTTACACATGAGCCATTTGTTGTCGAGCTTTGATTTGTTGATCATTCATTTGATAATAATCATTGGAAGGAACAATACGTGATGATGTATCGAGACGTACAGGTTCTACTATTGAGAACAAAAATTAAGCAATAGAATTTTCCTTTACAAAGCGAACTTACCACGTGAACGATAGGTTGTTGCCATTAGTTAACACGTATTGAACGATTTTATAACTGTCTTGATTGCTGTGCGATGTAGAAAAGAAACTGTGTCTTTCTCTCTTTTGAGTTCCTTTTTTATTCTTTGTAAATATGCACTGATGGCAAATGATCGTTTCGATTTCTTCTTCTGCTTTTTTTAATCGTTATTGTCGTTTAAATTTACACTCTCAACGTAATCGCTCGATGACTTCTTCTTAGATACACTGATGTGTTGTTCGCTCTTGCCAACGGCATCAACGCATAATTGTATACAAGTGAAATTATGTTTCAAGTTACTCCTGCTGAGAAGCTTTCATTTATTCTTTTCTTGTGCGCTAACAAGGAAATTAACTAAAAAAAAACGTTTTCTTTTTTCGATTTCTCGCAATATATTATGTTCTTTACAATTATGTTCGTGAATATTTTCTATGTTGTTGCAACGTCAGAAAGAAAGAAAAATATGACTTTATTATTTTCTCAAAGTCAAAAGAAAAAAAAACTTAAAACCATCTGAATATATGATGCTGAAAAGGTAAAAGTATATTTCTTTGTATGCGAGAGAAAAATAATTCTATTCGCCTTATTGCAGAGTTTTTATTAGCTGATAATGATGGAGTTGGAGACTCAGATTAACATTCGTTGAGTTAACCTCTATGAAGATAATGAATGTTTTTAATCAATGATTATCTTTCCAGAAAAAATAGTATACAATCCAATGGTTAGCTAAATTCTATGTATGCAGTTCGGATTTCGAATGCTGAAATTCGTTTTTGATAGATAACTTCTATCCCAACTCATTTTCAATCTTTTTGAAAACAAAAACTCAACGAAATCGATGAACTATTTTAGATCCATTTCGAAACGAATACATACATCGATCAATACTACTAAATTCACTTTACTGGTCAAATAAAAACAGTTGTCAATATTTGAATAAAACTAGAATAGGCATTTGTCTGAGTTATGAATGAAATAGGTGATAGTGTTTGATGCAAACATTTAAAAATACTTGTTCGATCAACAGAACCATTGATGAATAGAATCTGTTGTTTTTTGACAAGCAAACATGTTAATCTGCCAAAAAATGCAATGAAATATTAACCCGTAGGCAAATTCATGAGCAAATTTTTAAGCATATTGATGATATTAAATTAATTAGCTTAGTTACATACATATTAAAACTTTTAAAAGTTATGATCGATTTGACAGTTTTATACTCCAATGCCGAATAAAAAGATCATTGTAACGGTAGAAAACAATATAATAGCAACATAAGAACCAATGATTGATCCTAAAGCACTATAGAAAATTATGGATAAACAATAATTTGATTGTGTAGGAAATTTCCATTGAAATTTTTTATAATTTCCATATACACGAATTTGTAGAAGAATAAAGAATATCGTTGCAGCAACTCCGAATATACACATTATAGCTCCTAAATAAGAAATCTAAGAAATAATCGGAAATAAAAAAAAATATATCTTACCAATAAGATATTGTGAAATTCGACTATTTTCTTTTTTCTCGCCTATTTTATACTTTGCTGGTGTAATTGAATAGACAAAACCAAAAGCAACAGAGAAAAATATTGCTTCAAAAATACCACCGATAGCCATTAATAGCATAATATCATGTTGTAGTGGACATAGTTCAATCGATTTGATATAATAAAAACCGAATGATAATTGAGTCAACGGTACAATTATTGTGGTCAAAATCAGACAAATAATAATAACTTTTCGCATTGACATATTGTTCTATTTTCTTGTTGTTCTTTTGGATTGACAAATTTGGAAGTGCTATCGATAAAATCTGTTGTCGTTCGTTTTTATAGTCCTATTATTATTGTTCTTTTGATTTACGAATTTATTCATGTGCTTCTCTTCGAATAAAAACTACAGAAATTATGATACAGGAAAAAAACAGCAATAGACAAAAAATCGATCGGTGAGATAAATGTTCATTTCAAGCGGAAAAATGCCGTTCAGGTCAAAAATGAATTATTTTCCCGTTCTGTCTACAACAGCAGATAAACTATATAAGTATAAGGCAGCATGTGTACACTAAATTTATATATAGAGTACTTTTGTCGTCACTATTCAGAAAAGATATCCGTGCATATACAACATATTCCATGCTATACGCAACTTTACAAACACCAAATACGAGTAGTTTTCATTTTCATGTAATGGACGAGTAATCCAACTTGAATCATAATTAGGTCCATGTCTAATAAGGTCAGACGATATGCGTTCAACTTCAGCATAAATTTCTTTTGATCGAGCATGAGAATGATCATGAGATGTGAATTGCTAGAAAAGCCAACAAATTATTTTCATTGGAATTTGATTTTTATTGGAAGATTTTCTTACCACTATCTCACTATTCACTTCAGTCCACGATAAATCTCCTTGAACTTTTTTCCTAATTCTTTTATTTGATTAAATCGAATATCTTCCACTTCTTCATGATCACCTAACGATGAATATATATTACAAAGGCGAATTGAACCAGATACGACAGCTTCTTTTTCATCTGGAAATGGGATCTTCATTCTTCGATACATCTTTTCTGATAAAATAGAGTCCCGCGAATTACGTGCACCAGATAATATAGCCACTACGTAGAATAAAAAATAATCAGTGAATTGCAACAAGAAAAAAAAACTTACTATACATTGATGAACAAAGCGGATTAGATTTTTCATAAACTTCTATTAGCTGTTGTGCTTCATCGAATAAAAAAGACGACTTAAACAATCAATCTAAGACAGGACCAAATGCTTGAATTTAACAAAACAAAAGTCAAATGAACAAACCATTATAGCGACGATTTGTTCCGCTTTACGAGAGATTGTATTGAAGATCGAATAGGCCTGATCAAGAAGACTTGCGTGCGAGGAATCATTTAGAACACAAATAGACGAAATTTCATCGTGTAAATTATTAGGTATCTTTCGATATAAATCCACAGCTTCTGAACCCATATGACTGCGTCCATGTGAATTAACTATAAAGACAAATTAATAAAAGAGATGATGAAAAAGATGAAGGTAAAATATATTCACTCATTGCTGTATTTCAATCAGAGAGCAAATTCCAAAGCGTTCTGTACGATTCGAGATATAGTAGAAATAGTAGACCAAGACAATTACATTAATCAGTATTTCACTATTACTACGAAGATCGCAAAAATGACCTGTTTCGTGAAGATCAACTATTTTTATAGTTTGAAAACCAAAATCATGCCTAATCTACGGGTAGAAAACTTTGAACATAGTTACGCTAAAAATTGACAAAATTTTTACTACAAAGAATGCTCAAAATGATTTGTAAAATGACTATTAGCATAAATAAAAATTGGTTGCACAAATGTTCAGCGTATTGAGTTCCATCTGATTTTTAAAGCGATATTTCAAAAAACAGTCAGTCGACTCATCTGCTAATTTTATACGTCACCCTTCTTTCTTTTATGCCATTTGAAATTTTAAAAAAATAGAATTATTCGAATGATATTTGCTCTTTTTTTTCTCTTGAATGAAAGAAATATCACATTGTTTACGTGAAAATCAACTTAAATAATTTGAAGTATTTGAAAGTGGCAATTAGATAAAATATTTCTATATTGAATAAAAGCTGCGCTTATTTTCTTCAATATAAAAAGAAAAAATGTTATTAATATATTATATTTTTTGCCAATATTATGATAATAATATGTATGGCTACTGCTATGGTTCAATTTTATTTTCGTTACGAATAAAAGTAAGTGTCAATCATACTCGATTAATATGATGCATAGGTTAAGTTACCAAATTGAAGTACACAATTTTGAATACATGGCTCTCTCTTCGTAAAGAAAATATTGATATTGAAATATTCTTCTCAAATAAGGTCTTTCATATTGTGAAGATTACTTTAGGTATCTATGAAATACGTATGATTCTGATGCTTCGAATTTCTTGTAGACATTATATTTTTGTTGTTCGTTGTTTTGTTTGTATTTTTGTGTCATCGTGTTTTTTCCACTAAACGTTTAAAGATTGATAATAATTACTATGAGGACTGAAAATTCCCCACAATAAATATATTGATTATTGATGTAAAAAAAATAAACTTTATCGACATGCATATTCACATTGTCTGTATGATATAAAATCTCAAAGATCTGCATTTATTTCAATAACCTTCGTATTGTACTCGTAGAGCATATAACTTATCGAACAGACAAAATATTATTTTATTTATCGGAAGAAAAATACATACAGTTGTACATCGCATGATAGCTAGCGTGGAGAAAATGAAAAATGTCCTGAAAAAACTACAGAGCGGCCATCGTTCTTGATGTACTTTTTCTTACTTGACTATATTGAAATAGTCTCTCGACCGTAAATTGCGTCGTATTTATAGATGTATATAAAGTGTCGAAAAGTCTGAATTAATTACAAATTCAACAGAGCCTACCTACCCAATTTGATCATCACTGCGTCTATCAAACGCTATACAAGAGAAGCATTTAAGAGCGCAAACTTTTTATTAGAACATTTCATCCAATCTTTGATTTTTACCAATAAACTACGAAAATGATAAAAAGAAGAGTTCTTCCAACCCGAAGTGCACCAGTTATCCAAGGTCCACCTGCACCTCCAACTGCTCTCGGCAATCCTGGTCCACTTGGTCTTGCTGCTTTTGCTCTGACCACCTTCATGCTCTCAGTATTCAATGCTGGCTCGAATTTGATTGATCCTGCTGTTTTAACTGTAGTTCTGCCTGTTGCCTTATTCTATGGTGGCATTGGATAATTTGCAGCCGGCATGTGGGAATTTCGTATTCACAATACATTTGGTGCTACAGCATTCACTAGTTATGGTTGTTTCTCGATGTCATTTGCTTTCTACATATACTTCATTGTTCCTCAATTGGAAAGTTCAGGCAAAGCATATCAAGCAACAGGACGTTTTCTCTTTGCATGGCTCATTTTCACTGCATATATGTGTATTGCTGCTTTTCGTGTTTCACGAGTGCTTTTTATTTTATTTGTTGTTCTTGTTATAACCTTCATACTTCTCATTGTTGGTGCACTTGCTCAAAAACCAGTCGTGACAAATGTTGGCGGATGGTTCGGAATCGCGACAGCATTTGTTGCTTGGTATGGTTCGGCCGGTGTCATGATCAATACAACATTTGGTCGCAAGATATTTCCCCTTGGATTACACAAGGTTGATGCAGTGCTTCCCAAGTAAATATCATCTTGATAATATGATCTGCGGTGGGAAGATCTTCGGTTCATGTGTACCGAAGGTTCTCATATTTTTAATTTTTATTCAACTATGATTATTCTTAAAAATATATGTAGAATTCAATTTTTTTGTTCTTTATAATATGCACTCAACATGTGTCTCTACATCTAATTTTGTCAAAAAGAAACACAAATGCTTTGATAGACTAAAGCGTGTCTCAACATTTTCCCACTTCTCTAGCTAAAAAGAAGAGGAACCTAGAAAAAGTAAAATCACTGAATTCGATACTGCTATGAGCTATCAATCAGAATTTATTTTACACATCTTGAATGAATATTGTCACCAGACATATTGCTGAGAAACATTTAACTACACATTTTTTTCATGATAGCTGTATGACCTTAACGCGCATGTCTGTTGATTATGATTGTACTCTTTATCATAATATGCATTTTAATAAAGATTTATTTATATATATATATATTATCTTAATTTATGAAGTTAACTATTTCCAATTTATTCTTACAAACATGTAGCCTAGCAAACTGATGAATCATTTAGATCTTTTATTGAATTTCGTTTAATAAATTTTCTCAGCAAAAATAAAATATACTACGATGACAATAGTCATTTAATATCAAATGAATAAACATAGAATGGAGCTAAATTTATGCATTTCAAACGTTTTTTCCCTCGTGTGACTGGTCTTATCTTTCTTTACAGTACTCAGAGATATCATCGGTTTACCTCGAGGAGTAAAATTAGTGCGAGAACCTCTAAGCGTAAATGTATTCCCGTATGCTATATTGGCGCATCTCTTGCAATACAAACATGAGCGGGTGCAGCATACCTATTAAGCAAGAAAAAATGTACAGCATAAAGAGAAAGCGAAAAACAAAAATGAGTACACATTACCCCGACAGTTAATGGGCGGACCATGTGATGTGAAATATAGCCAGTCGGTGTGTGTGTGCGCGCCTATATGTGTGTGTCTTGGTGTGTGCTGATGTGTGACTCGGTGTGTGTTTATGTGTCTTGGAATGTGCTTGCGCATGCCTATACCTGTACGATGTACGCTTCTGAATATGTGTATTGTGCATGTATCTATGCGTGCTCACTTGCATGTATACTTGCTGCAAAAGTGAATACTACGATTTTTCATTGAATGAAAGATATTCAACGTATGTACTTTGGGCGATTTAGTAGATGTGAAAAGAGCCACTGTATCGTCTAACATAAACAGTAAAAACTAGCATTGCAGTCTAAATGAAATAAAAGATCAATCTTTGAAAAGTAAGCCTGTTTTGTACGCAAAATATGAATTGATAGAATTGCAATATTTTTTATTATTCATGAAGAATTGCGGATTTATAAGCACAGACTTGAGTATTCCATGATAAGTGAATCATTTTTCATATTATTCAATTTTTGAATTACACTGTAAATAATTTAAGAAATAAATAAATCGATCTATCTCTTGCAAAAAAAGACTAGTTCAATCTGCTAGTCTTATTTCAGTTTTATAATTTAATCGTAAAACTTGACTTTTATAGAAATGATCCATACACAAAATGGAAATAATATTTAGTTGTGACAATAGATCAAATTTGATAATGCACAGCAATGAATTTCTTAAAATTTTATTTCAATATAAATTTTCTCTAGCAATTTTTCGGTCTACCTCTTTCAAAGCTTTATGTTTCATTTACCGTTGTCCTATAAATTGGCACACAGCGATAGTTTATTATTTGAATAAACTAAAATAAAAAAAATGTCTCCTGAGTAGTGTTGTGTTACTTCAAATTCAACGATTCTACTATGAAAATCTCAAGAAGGTAAACTTCTCTAAACAAAGTTTTATTGTGTAGATATTATTAATGGAAAAAAAACAGATACTATTGGATTTGTACATCAATTACCATCAATGTTAATCGATGAAGATGATGAAAATCGAATATCAACTACGTTGAATAATACTAATCGGCTGCTTCTTGCATTGTAGCAATTGATGTAACGTTTGACGTGGAACATTAACTGTAAGATGCAATGCTCCTGATGTAAAATCTTTCCAACACTATCAATTTGAACGGAATAAATGACTGGCAAAGCACTAGGAATTCTAACAATAAATTTATTTTCACTTTCTGCTTTTCTAAAGTCAGTATTTCTCGTTGCGAGTGTCAAACTATGTTGTCTTATTGATAATACAGTTGAAATTGGCCTTGATTACCATTGAAAAGCATGCATTTATAGCTGAGCATTGGGATGAATAATCATCAACAACTTCGACTTTCCTGTGAATTGACTTGACACGTATGTGTCACATTTCCTGATAATGATTTCAATAGAATATGAATATTTTGTACAATAACAAAAAAAGACAAAATTCAATGATGTTTACAAACTGTTAGTTAAATCTGTTGCTGAAATGCTAACTGATTTACTGTAGACTTGTTGAACTTTTTTGACCCACTTTCAATTGTAGTGGTATATTAGTATTATTATGCACTATTCATGAAGTAGAACTATTTTCATTATAATACAATGGTAAAGCACATGATGAATTAAAGATAGTATAATAACATTGTGGTAACGATGTACGAATTAATACAGTACTAATAGAAATTCACTTTTTAATAGTATTATTACATCATACATTTGTTTTAACAATATGATGAAACAAACGAATCAATCGGCGATTGTAATAAAAGTTTAGCACCGATATCAACACATGGGTAATGTTCAAGCTGATCAACTTTTATTGAAAAAGTTACACTTACGAGGGAAGGTTCTGGGTGTTTCTCTGGGATTTTAACCAAAAGTAACTGGGTGTGCCAGGTCAAGTATTGGTATCTCAAATAGAAACAAATTAACTGTTGAGAGCAAACGAATAAAAAATTTCAGTGAACAAACTTTTTTGTAACCCTAAGGGGTACCACCAGTACTTTGCCATCAAAAGATTCCTCTGTGGTACTCATCAGGGTTAAAAAAAGTTTGTTTACTGAAATTTTTTATTCGTTTGCTCTCAACAGCTAATGTTTTTCTATTTGAGATACCAATACTTGACCTGGCACACCCAGTTACTTTTGGTTAAAATCCCAGAGAAACACCCAGGAATCTTCCCCCGTTAGTCATAGTATTCATGTCATATTTTCATGTAATTGTATACTCAAATCAATCGGTAGAACATAATTATCTAGTATAAAATATGTAAAACATAAATAATTATCAGTATATAGCATTTGTATTAACTAATCTAACGTAATGTAATGAACACTGGATGTGGGACTGATTAAAGAGAACAGCAAAACTCACATCGGCACACCGTTTTATTTATTCACAAATTGCCTGTCGGGTTACATTCGAAAGGGATTTTTGTATTTCTACTATCGGTTCTAGCTTGAAATCAATAATTGATTTCAAAATTTTCATCAAATCTTCGTTTGTCTGTTTGGCCCTGCGACATACTTGTTGATAAGCACGTCGTGATTCATCACCGTGCATCCCATATCGAAAACATTTCACTTGATGACTGAAATTATCAGCATTTATGGCTAGCTCGTTAGACTGCTGCTTCATATTCCAGACCGCAGTCTGCATTGCTTGACATAATTCCAAAAGTCTTTCGAGATACATTGTAGCTGTGGTTCGGTGCTTTCGATACTTTTGCAAGAGTTTCGAAATACCGTATCCGATGGCTCCGATACCAACTAAACCGATGGCGACGCCACCAACGATAATTGCTGCCGGTGGAAATGCTATAGTACCCAAAGTAAAAATACCGACACCTCCCAATATTGGTGCAGCCACAAGACCGCCGGTAACTAATGCACCTAATCCAGCACCTGTTCCACCAGCCACTGCAGTACCTATTATATTTCGTGTTCTTTGCTGTTGTTCGATAGCTTTGTTTTTTGCTGGTTCAACACGTTCTGTTATAAAATCACTAATCTCACTGTACACGGCAGTCAATTCAGGTGAAGTGTTTGTACTTAGAGCTTTTGTGTCACTAAAGATTGGTGAACAAAAGTAGAAAATGATTTCTAATATTATAATTCATATTCGTTAAAGAAACGTTGACCAAGATCAAAAGAAAATACAGCTATTTAGTATTCCTTCGCAAATAACTTACCTAAGGTTCTGTAGAATCTCGTTGCATAGATTCATATTACTTTCTGTGTTGACATCACTCAATGGTCGTTCTTCAACATTGAGAAATATTTCAACAAACATATTGAATTGTATGTTAACTTCTTCAAGTTGATTGTGAAGTTCAATGGCTTGTTGTTGAAAATTCAACATTGTTGTTTGAAATGTTTCTACAATTTTCATAAAATCTGCAGCCATTTTCTTGTACATAGCCTTGTCCTTCTGAATCTCTTTCATCAGGCGACGCATATCTTTCAATACATTAAATTGTGCTTCCCACTGACCAGAAAATTGCGGTGAGGAATACTGCAATGCAGCAACGACCAATTTCACCAGTAGTTTGCTTTGTTCATCGTTCGTATCGGTTAATGCCATCAGTTTAGCTTCAGTACTTTCACAAAGGAGGTTTGATGTGCTGCTTTCATTATCAATCATTTCAACGTGAACATCGTTTTGATAAACTAAAAATATATTTTAAAATAATCAGAGATTTCACAAACTACTTGGTGTTCTCCCTTAAGAATTTAACGCAGTGCACATCTCAGCTATAGATTTTCAGAGTCTCAGCATCGTCGAAATACATGCGGTACCATTCTCAAATGTCAGTGAGAATAAAATTATCCGAATATATTTGTAAATTCTAGAATGCATTATAGACTAACTTATTGTAGTTGATACTTGATTTATATACAAAGATTTTGTGCTGTTCAATATCTTTCATTGGCCATCATATTTTGAATTCGAAAAGGATCATTTTAACTGAGAAATGATAAAATGAAATTCCACTTTGTTTTTTCTCATTATAAAAAAGTATTCCTGCCGATGTGGAGTTGCATTCATTCAACGAATTCTTTTACTTACTTTCATTGAGCATAAGCGGTGAAGTCGAGACATAAGTGTCTTCGTCGGATTGAGAAGGACTTCGAAGTAGCATACCAATTTGAATGTGCTAAAGGTATATGCAGAACGAATAAGATCTTCATTGCTTTTATATCTCATTGCTATCTTGTGATCATTTCGTTGGTTTTTCATGCTGCGATGCAACTTGAATAATAGAAAAAACCTGTTTGTTATCAACAAAAATTTCAAGTGTTGGAAATTCTACACGATGAATGGAAGTGTGAATAAAAATACACTCATGAGTCACGACCATAGGGATGTGGGTGTAGATAATAGACATATGCAATGTTTTCAATTGTAAACTATTTTTAAGCGGCGTAGAGGGGCTACCATTACAATCAGCGACTTAGCAGCTATCATATCTATGTGTTTTATGTTACTTAAAGTTTTTTTGTGTAGTCAATCACTTAATTTACTTTAGAAAGTGGTTTTAATGATACTAAAAAGCGGTTTGTATCCTCTGCAGTTTAAGCATGACTAAGTCCAGCACTCATTATCTATATCACTTTATTGCATTGTACAGGCGAACATTCACAAATAGCATATACTTCATTACTTTATATGATTGTATTGATATAATTTCTGTCGATAGTTGACACTTATGATCAGGGTGGCTAGATCAAAAATTGAAAAATCAGAAAACAATCAGAAACTATCTCTGAAAAGTCAGAAAATGGCAGTTTTTGGCAAATTAGTACATCTTCCGCTAAAATACTGTCCTCCAAAATTCTGCTGCATTTCTGTTCACTGACTAGAATTTTATTTTCAAAGATATTTAAATAAAACGAAAGATGCTATAGTGAATTTATCGTCTAGCTCATACGCAATCATCAATAAAAGATACTTAATGTTAAGCTTCTTTTTAAATTTAAAACTCGTTCACAAAAACGAGCAAAACTAAATCACATACATTCTGCGTAGATTAAGAAATCCAACGAGAAAACAAAACGCTGAATTTCATCATCTTGGTGTTGTTATTCATATTTCGTATCTTTTGCAATTTACTCTAGGAAGTTTGTTTAAGATAATATATGCTAATAAAAACCTTCTCAAGAATAATTACCAATCACTTTTATTTTAACTTAAGCATTATCTGGTTTTATATTACTGGATTACTGTAATCGGACTATAAATGCTTCATATAACCGAAAATCAATTCGACTCCAGAATTCGAACGAGGAATATAAAAGATGGTTAATACAGAAAATTGATGGAACACTATTGATTTATTATAGTAATGCGCTATAATCGTACCTAATTTCAGTGGCAAAGCAGCGATCTGAAAATATTCCAAAATTCAGAAATTTTCCCTAGGTTTCAGAAGATCTGGCCACTCTGCTTATGATCGTCGTAACAAAAATAAATATGTCTTCATATCTGTTTAAAAGAAAGTTTTCGTATTGAACATTTTAGACGTCCCTAGTTGGATGCCATTTTCTGAACCTTTTAAAAAAAATAGCACAATCTGTTCCTGTCAAGAAACTTCGTTTTGAAGGAAATAATGACTCTGATTTCAGAGAAAAAAAAATTGAAACGTCAGTTTTATTCATCAGACTATCATAGTATCTGTTTTGACTTACTTTATCATGTGTAGTGGTAATTTTTATCAGCGACTATCTAGTGTCACCTTTTTATTTGCTTACTCAGTCATTGAGCTATTTAATTGAGAATTTTACTTAATTTATGGTTCAAGGCTGAATTTGAACAATCCAAGTTTTCACTTTTTTCATATTCCCAACGGTAGTAGTGTTGGATTTCCGACTTCAGAAAATTTTTGAAATTTCGGTATTTAAAATACAGTAAAACAGTTCTACGATAAGGTATCCACTAAGGTAGATTTTACTGTAAATAAGATTTATTTAAAATAGATTGAATACTTACAATGGGCTATAAATAATTGATATTCTTGTAAAAAAATACTCGTTGGATTATTTGTTAATAATTCAAGATCGTTGAAAATCAAAAAAAGTAACTTAAAAATTTTAGATGTTTTTATACTTGAAATCTATTTTTATTAGCTAAGCATTCTTCAAAACGTTTGCGAGCATACGTAGACACATCATGTATAGACAACCTTACATACTTTATATTTCAATGTTCTATCTTGATTGACATAAGGGAAAATTAAAATACGTAGAATAACTATTGAAAATCATATGAAAGTGCTCAAGAGGACATACTGACTCAATAAGATTGATGAAAACAATAAGTTGCTTAAGTTTTTTCTATTCGTTATACAAAATGCATAAATAGAACAATAGTACCAGATTTAGTTGAATTCTCTGATAAAAATAGTTGTCATTATTTGAATAGCACTAAAATAGGCATTTGTCTGAGCTATGAATGAAGTAGATGATAATGTTTGATACAATTATTTAATAGTACGTTTTAGACCAGAGATGCCAGATGTTCCGGATTTTTGAAGTTTTTCCGGATTTTCTCCGGATTTTAGCCATTTTTTATTTCAGTTTTATTTCATTCGTTTTAGCATTCTAAATTGTGAATAATTCGGTAGAGATTTAATATTTTCTTCTATTGGTCACCTTACACGTCCAATTGCTATTTCTTTCTCGTTGCATGCATATAGTTTCCCTTCTCCTCTAGTGTAGATAGTAAAACAAATTATAATTTCTATTACATGGTTATGTTCTCTTCTAATTTCAGAATGTCTGATGAAAATGAAGGTGTAGAGATTTTAGAAACAACTTAACCATCACCAATACCAATAGCACAAGTAACATCACCTGATGCTGATAAAAAGTCGAAAGATAAACAAGAAAAAAAAGGAGTTTTCCGATGTGTTAACTATATTTAGGTGTTTGTTTTTTCTTTGTGTAATTAAAACATGTTTTATTTTGTGAAAATATATAAAGTTATTGATAATATATCTGAGAAAGAGGTTCTTTACGTGACTAAAGCTGATCCTTGAAAACCTTTCCGGATTGTTTCCGGATTCTGAAAAAAAAATTCCGGAATTTTCCGGATTTTCGACTTTCACATCTGGCATCTCTGTTTTAGACCAATAAATCATTCATGGATAGAATCTAGCATTTTTATTTGAATTTGACAATAACATGTTTTTGTTTCTCTCTGCGAAAGACAAGCCCTGACGATAAACAAACTTGTTGACCTTAGGAAACACAACGAATTATTCAACCATAGTTACATACATATTAAAACTTTTAAAAGCTATGATCGATTTAACAGTTTTACACTCCAATGCCGAATAATAAGATCATTGTAACGGTAGAAAACAATATAATAGCAACATAAGAACCAATGATTGATCCTAAAGCACTATAGAAAATTGTGAATAAACAATAATTTGATTGTGTAGGAAATTTCCATTGAAATTTTTTATAATTTCCATATACACGAATTTGTAGAAGAATAAAGAATATCGTTGCAGCAACTCCGAATATACACATTATAGCTCCTAAATAAGAAATCTAAGAAATAATCGGAAATAAAAAAAAAAATATCTTACCAATAAGATATTGTGAAATTCGATTACTTTCTTTTTTCTCGCCTATTTTATACTTTGCTGGTGTAATTGAATAGACAAAACCAAAAGCAGCNTTTATAATTTCCATATACACGAATTTGTAGAAGAATAAAGAATATCGTTGCAGCAACTCCGAATATACACATTATAGCTCCTAAATAAGAAATCTAAGAAATAATCGGAAATAAAAAAAAAAATATCTTACCAATAAGATATTGTGAAATTCGATTACTTTCTTTTTTCTCGCCTATTTTATACTTTGCTGGTGTAATTGAATAGACAAAACCAAAAGCAGCAGAGAAAAATATTGCTTCAAAGGCACCACCGATAGCCATTAATAACATAATATCATGTTGTAGTGGACATAATTCAATCGATTCGATATAATAAAAACCGAATGATAATTGAGTCAACGGTACAATTATTGTGGTCAAAATCAGACAAATAATAATAACTTTTCGCATTGACATATTATTCTATTTTCTTGTTGTTCCTTTGGCTTGATAAATTTGAAAGTGTTACTGATAAAATCTGTTGCCATTCCCTTTTGTAGTCCTAGCATGATCGTTCTTTTTATTTACGAATTTATTCATGTGGTTCTCTTTCAAAAATACACGAAAAAAATAATGAAAGTCAAGAAAATGATGCATCCCGTCACCCAAATATATGTATATATAGTGAAAGACATAAATTATAATATAGAACTTTAATCATCTTGTTCTAAATTAGTATCTGGAACAGAATTTTCTTGAACAGCTGCTTCATTATTATTAGCCGATGCAGTTAATGTTTCTTTCGTATCAAGTTGTCCAACATCGGCTGGATTGTAATTTCCTACATTCATTTGTTCGGGAAATAACCATGGTTTAAATGATGGTTGATTTTTAGCTTTCCATTTCTCATATTTACTACATGCTTTAGCTAATCTTTTCATCAACTATATTAAGGAAAAAAAGAAATTTCATTATTTTCTTGAGAATAAACTAAATTCTTACTTTAGGTACAAAAACCTTAGATGCTCTATTGACTACCCATGCTGGTAAATTACCTGAAGAAAAATCAAGTTAGTTTTTTTATTGACAAAAAAAAGTAGAAATCAGAACCTCCAGGATCAGATTGTGTCATATAATAGAATTTACATGATGACGGTCCCGTTGGCACAAGTAGATAACCAGTTAAGTACGAAATTCCACGTACGCAATTTTTACGCAGTGGTTCACGCTAAAGAAACGCTTGCAATAGAAGGAAAAAAGAATTGAATAAAAAAGACGTACTAAATGATTTACAGAATGATTGATAATAATTTTATCGTGGTCATGTCCCCAATCGAGCCAAGATCGTTGTGTAACGAAGTCCCGATTTGAAAATGGTGGTGGGCTTTTCACTAAAAAGAAAACAATATTATACTACTAGTTGAAAATAATTGAATCATTCTCAACTTGAATAATATCCAATATCACTATTATGTGCGACTGCGCACAATTCATATCCTTCTAACATAGCTGTGTCCCATGTTGGACGATAATCACCATCATGTATAACATCATAAAGTAGTTCAGCTGAAATGTCACTATATTCTGATTGAACCTAAAAGTAGAAAGTTTTCTTACATATCGTTATTGACCAATTGACTTCTAATCTTCTTACACGAAGAACATCAAAGTTGGACAAGGAATTTTTCTTAGTTGATACTCGGCACGCTGATTTATCATAGCATACATTCCAACCGTCATCACTGATACATTCATTTTTAAAATGAAAAAAATCTTTGTCTTCAAGAAAAGTCACTTCACCTACTCTCATGACTGCGTCTGTTTCTTGTGCGTATTACAAACATGTATACACAGTAATAATTCAAGCTTGACGTTGCTTACTCATTAATCATTGGTTCTGTCAGCATACAAGGCTCGTCAAGGAGCGACATAACAGATAAATGATTAATTATCATACTAATGCTCTATTTTAAAATATAGAAACCAAAGTGTTTACGTCGTTTTTCTCATAGAAAATAGTCCCCCATTAATGTAAGCTTGATAAAATGCACATTGTATAGGTTCGATGATCATCTATTCAGTTTTTTTTTATTAATTTGAAATAGATATGGACGTTTAATAGAGACATCTTTTGATTATTATTAATAAAAGAAGTGCTAGCTGTTAATTTAACTATGCATTCTAGGCGTGTTTAAAGAGTGACATATTTTCAATGCAAAAAGGATAGGCATTGAGAAACAAGGATCTCAGAGTAGAGCTTTGCCAGTTCCAGTTGGAAGCGATAAGAACTTATAAATAGTGTAGACGCAAGGATTTTATTCCAGCGAAAAAAACATGTCACGGAAATCAAAGTCGAATTCGAATAGATCATTCGTAAGAATTGCATATAATAATATTTTCCTATGAAACATTAATGGATTGTAATAAGACCTATATTGGTGATAAATATTAATATAATAGACCATACTAATTGAAATCTAATCATAGTTCGATTTACATGTTGATTATTTGAATTTGGTTGATTTTCATTTACAGTACTTCGATTTATTTCTTCAGTTTCGATTTTCTGTACTAATGTTATATTTTTGTCTAATTTCTTTTTATCTTGATAAATAATTTTTTCAGGTACCCAAATCGATATTCTAACTTCGTCGGTTTGTGCTTTATTGATTAATTGAGCTTTTTCGTTTTTTTTATTTTTATACTTATCGTTATTTTCGTCTTCTTCAACGATAAACGATGATTGAATATTATTATCCAACTTTGGTTTGTCTTCATCGATAATTGTTTCTGGTCTAGAAAATTCTTCCTCATCTTTTTCTTCTACGGGCTCTTCATCTGTTGAGGATGGAAACTTGGGTGTGGGTACAAGAGGCCTTGTAATCAGATTTTTCCTATCATAGCATCGTTTCGATAGAGGTTCATAACTTGATATTATTGTAGCGAAGAGAATAATATGTTTTTGATTTAAACTTCTTTTCTTACAATGTCTATTATAAAGTGATGCATTATCTTTTTTTATTGAAATTCTTGCCAATGCTTTTGGTATACAACAATAACTCGACGTGTCAAGTGTCTGTGTTGAATCATTTTTGTTGTATGTTGAAGTCTCCAATGTATTATGCACACAAAAATTATATTCCGTCATACAGCAAGCGCACGGATAGAATCCAGTGGATTGAGTTACAGGAGGAGATGAGAAAAACAAAACGACTAACAAAAAAAACATTCGAATAGAATAAAATAAAAATTAATGAAAAATGCGCTATAATTAATGCCGATTGTTGTTTTTTTGATTTATATGAGTGAAAGTTGATGAAATTCATCAAAAAGTAGCCAGTAATTGTAACTATTGTGAGGTACTGGCCTTCAAACTGCTTCGAGTAAATTCTGTGCTCTAATCAAGTTTATACCCACTAGCAAAGTGGCAAGGTTGCCGTATTCAAACGGAGTTAGAATGTTGTATCTATGAAATAATCAAGACTGACGCAATTTCAATCTACGGAAAAGACATGCAAGTGTGAAAAGTCTATTTTCAGGTCGATGGAAAACATAAAAGTTTGTTTTGTATTTTGAATTTGTAGCATTAAAGCTAATTGAATGCGAATTAGGAACACCATGATATTTTAGAATTGAACGAGTCAAGTGAACAAGAGCAAAGTTTGTTGGGAACATATTCTATAAATTTTCGAACAGCTTCAGTGCTATGCTTCGTTGCTAGCGAATCCTGAGAAGAGACTTTGGCCACTACTGTTCTCTGTTGTGGTGGTAATGCACGCACATTACAAAAGTGAAGAGGAGATTCGCTAAAATTTTCTTTCTGAAAAGCATCGTCTTGCTTATGCTGCAATTTTTTGCCTGTATTCGATCGTATTTCATTCGTTGAGGATACTGTCAAACATTTCAAATTGAATTAAATTTTTATTCAAGAATCTTATGCATCATCCCTCTTCACGTCTTGCTTGTATAATTAAATTGTTGCCTTAGATAGAACACTTTTAGAGATTCCATTGATAAGAAAAGGTTAAGAATAGATTGTGAACCTTTGCTTTTCTAATGAATTCTAATGTCAACTGTTAATCTAATCATTTTTTGTTTTCTCAAATAAATGATTGATAAACGAACAAGCAACAAAGTTTGTATTGTTGCGACTTTTTAATCCGCATAATACGTTGTTGTATTAGTAAAGTTCAATTGTCATTAGACTGTATAACATAACAAGAATTCAGTCGTTATGAGACTTATCAATTGAAACAGGTGCACATACTATATAGTAACGACTGTTTGCCTAGGCAAATGAATTATTTCTTTAAAATGCTGAATAATAACTTGTACATATTGAAAAAAGAATTCTCGGAAAATGCTATGTATACAATGTCTTGGATTTTAAAGGTTAACTCCTTTCTTTTTGTAATTCTTAATTTTGACATAAGGACGAAGAGAAAAGTGACTCCTTTCTTTCTCTTGCTCACACATTTTTTTGCTTAGGTATATGTCCTTTGGAGCTTTTTTTTCTTCTTTATATCATTGAAAGTTTATTGCACATACGTAAACTCAAAATCATACTGCACGTTTTTTTCTTTCCTGGCATTTTTACATCTTTTTCTTTTCTTCTGCGCGTTGTCATCGCATCACTGTCGTTTAGGTTTCTTCTCTTTTTTTTATTATAGAACATTCATACCTGCATCTTACACTTTTCTTTTTCTGTTCCAATAACGGTAAGGATGGTTGAAGTTATATGCACGCAGAAATATTAAAAAAAAGTTTCAAAAGAACAAAAGAAAAAATTTTGAAGGAAAGGAACGATGAATGTACATGCTTGACGTTCAAGGTCATACAAACAGAGAACTAGTAGTTATGATGTGTAGCCATACGTTGACAGTCGTATAAGAGAATCAAGAATAGTTGACGTGAAATACGGTACGATATATTGATCGTTTGTCATTTAGGAGGATATAAATGGATCATTTTTTTTAGATTTATTTTCGTTTGAAAATAGAAGAGAAAATTGAATAGTTTAAAAAATTCAATTTTCAATTTTAGATATTCGCTGAAGATCATTCTTGAAAAAATATTTCAGATATCAATTTTAGCATGGCTGCCAAATCTAAGAAGGCCGCATATAAAGATCCATCTGATGAAAATGCTGATTATCTCGAACCTTTACCTTGTGAACGTGAAACAGTGGTATCCAATCGAAAGAAATCGTCTGAAAAATCATCTCGTAAACCTTCAGTAGGATTTTTCGGATCAGCTTATCTACTAATTTCACTTCTGCTTTTCGCTGGAGTTCCTTTATCACAATTTGTAATTGGCTTTATTTACATTGGTCAATGTACTATTCGACCATTTATATTTATTTATATGATTCTTAGTGGCGCTTTTGGTATTGCGTTTGTAGTTGTTGGTTTAATCATATACATGCAAACTAATAAAGAAGCACCAATAATGCCTTATGGTGGTTCTAGATCAAATCAAATGATATTAAAAGTTCTCTTTCCAATCTTTCTTATTCTTTTTCTATGTGTTATTGGATGGTTTATTGCCGGACAAGTTATTGTATTTGAAGTGAAAACAACTGTGGAATTGTTTGATCCCGTATTACCTGAATATTGCCATGGAAATCTATATAAACCTGCATATATACTTATTTTTGTTGATTATTTAATTATTCTTTTTGTTATTATAATTAATATAGTGGGATGTATGTTGTCGTCTGATAAAGGGGAGGAAAAGAAACCGAAACCGAAACCGAAACCGAAACCAAAACGTCCAATGCATCCTACACGGAAATAATTTTTTCGAAGATCTTTTCTTAATGTATTTGTAGAGAAATTTATGTATTATTTGTATTTCTTTTTTTCTTATATATAAATATATTATCGCTAAAGTAAAGCGAGATCAAGCGATGTTAATTTAAATTTATTTTATTCGACGATACAGCTCTAATAGTGAAGGCAATTGTCAATACAATCACGACAAAATATAAACGTCAAACATCATGTATTGCTAATCACATAGATAGACATACGCCTTCAAATATTGTTTTATCCAATCAGAAAACTGTTTATGTTGTATAACTTAACATTATCGATACATGATCTGTGGAGGTTATTTCCATTTGTCCAACATACTTGTTAGATCGTATTTCATAATTGAAATAAGTTCTTGCAATCCTATTCAGTCGTTTACATAAATTATGAACGGAACATAAAATTGCGTATGGATTATCTTATGTCAAGAGCCTGGGAGATTTCGCACTGGATACTACGTTTCGATGAATATCAGGCAATCTGTGCATGTGTATTCACAATATATTATCAAGTTCGATCATGATCATCCATTTTTTTCGTTAATATATTGAGAACTAAAATATTCATTAACAATCCGCAAGAGCTCTATATTATTTATTGATCCAATAGTATAAATGCAAGTTTCCTTTTCCCAAAAGAATATAATCTTGAGCATAAATTTTTATACTTACTTCGAATATTGAACTGTTTCACTGAAAGTTTTAATCTAAGAAAATAATTGATAAATCGTTACAAGTTACACAGTACCGTACAAAGTTGATTGCACTATATCAATGAAATAACTAATCGATTGAGACAATATTACTTCCCACGCGAACGTTTATTGCATCTAAACACGTTAATAGTCATTTTTTAGGGAAGAAATTATTTTGTCCTAGTAGATTCGTACTACATCAACGACAACTTCTCTTCAAAGTTCGCTCATTCGAGAGGTATACATATTGAATCGTATTGAATTATAAGTTATTATAAATTTCACCAATAAGAATCAGTCTACCTAGATATAGAACACACCTAGATTTTCTTTCTCTTTTCATAGTGCCGCTTTACTTTCAGTTGGTTAATCGACGTTTTAGCACGTAAAAGTATCTAGTCCTTCTGTTTGAAAAAAGTATAGAATAATTTTCATTAACACGTAAGAGATATCAGATTTAATCATGAAAACGCATTGCTATCGGAAAAAAGAATCAACTGAGTTTTGACAAATTTCTTTTATTAGTTCTAATTCTCATATAGAAAATGCTTTAGAACGCCTAAAACCATGACTTTTCGCCCAAGTAATCAATTTCAACGAGTTACATCTTCATCCTGTTAATGATTCACAATACTTGTTTTTCCACACAAGTGTGTTGCAACATCGTTGTAACATCTTCATTTGATTTACAAATGAGTAGCATCATTATTCAGTTAATATTGAATAATCTTTTGTTTTAGTCTTACAGGTTTGAAATGTTATTTTACGATAAATATCTTGCTCTTTATTTAATATATTGACAGTAAGAGTCAAATCTCAGTCATGTGATGATATGACTGAACATACCATATGTTTGCGGCATGTGCTTGTTTTCGTAGAGCAGTACCTTCCTAACGCTCGAATTTGTGTGGATCAATTTTTTCTGTTTTGTTCTGAACTAGCTCGATGCAAAATCTCAAGCAATAATTGTAATGAAACTGAGCATTTATGCGGTAATCATTCTCAATGTCATGGTTTTCCTATTTGTTATCCGGTACCGGGCTTCAATGAACAACTCTGTACATCGATAACTAAGAGTGCAGCAGAGTCAGCTGCATGCAAATATTTCTGGAAGTTATTTTTCATTCAATTCTTCTTGACGCGGGAATCATTCGGAAAAGGCGAAGGACATAAGCAAACGGAGATAAAAAGCATGACTGATACATATGTCAATCGTACAACAATATTTTAAATGATAAATTTACTTCGTATTCTTTTACATTTCAACATTGAAAATGCAAATATAATTGGGTGTTGAATTGAATGAGCTATTTTCATAGAAAGCCATCAACAAAAGTGGCAGCGCCTAAAGAAAACTAGGTTTTTCAATGTATTTCCTGTTCAACATCGTATCCGTCGATTTGCTCTAGTACTCCATATTTACGAATAGACAATAACCAGTGAATGAAAAATATTTTCTTGAATACTTCTGTTAGGTATATACAATATAAAAATAGCCACGCAAAATTGAGAAAATAATTATCGAATGAAAGCAGAGATTAAAATATGCAAAAGTTTCATTGTTTTATGCTGCAAACCATTGTTCATATTCAATTAGAAAAAAATTGTTTTAATACGGATAAATACAGACGCGCGCAATGATAACGGATCCTCCTGAATTGTTTTGCAAATAGAATGAAACGTTTACTGTGCTTCCTGATACTGATGAAAATGTCTGATGTATATTATCTGTTTGGCTAACGATTGCATCCGAATAACAGTATGTACCAGAGTAGCCGCATCCGCTTGAAACGCCGCCACCACTTACAGTGCCATGTTGCCAGGGTGCAAGACTGCCAGTTTCAAAACCGCCATTTGTTAGGAGCTGTTGGCTAGATGCATCGACAACTGACACACCATCAATATACATAACACTTGGATCTTGTTCTAGTTCAACCATTATTGTTGCTTGTTGTGTTGTTGGTGTGTACAAGTAATTGTAGTAAGTATACGAAAACTGACCAGGATTGTATAAATTGAGTAACATCGTTGGACTTCCAACAGTACATGATTGCGGAACCAATGCCGTAGTTGTTATAGCTAGAACGGTTTCAGAGATTGAAAAACTTTGAAATGTTGAGGATTTATTTAGGATCTCCGAAAATTTCTAAAATATAACAATTCGTCTCTAGTCTCAGTTCATTCTCGTCGTCTTCATAAACGTAAGAGAGAATGTTTGTATTTACATGAAGATCATAGCAGATTCGATCTGCAGTAGTATCGTCAGAAATAAGCAAATATTTACGAAAATCGTTGACTCGACAAGTTTGCGTGAATTGTTTCTTTCAATTTTTCTTTCACATGAAGAAATACTGATATATTAATACACTCATACCCAAAAAGAATTAATTAGCAGCCTGTGATACGTTTTGAAATCGCTTTCTAGTGTGACCAGCTTCAGTCTACAGGAGCCCATTCAAATTTTCGAGTTAGTGCAAGTCCACATATGATGTTTTTATTATTTAAAAAGCTTCAGTGTCTACTTAAAAAGACGCTCTATGAACTCAATGACATATATAAGGATTGCCCATCTCGAAAAAGGAATATCTGAAATAAATGTACTACTTCTTCGTAAAGCAGATATTATTTTCTTCGAAATATCTGAATCTGAAAAGCCCCCATGAGTTTTACGTCATCCAGTGACCTAAAGTATGTGCATGTCGGACTATTACTAATGTAATCCTCGAATTTCTACTTACTAGTTTCACTTGTAGTGCTAGTGGTACTTGTCGTTGTAGTTGCTGAAGTAGTTGTTATTGCTTTTCACAAAAAAATATTTTAATTTATAAAATTACTACGATACAAATCTCAAGTCCTACTTGTTTGTGTGCCTATAACGAAAAGAATTAGTTATAATTTACGATCTCTAATTTATTTACTTGCTATAGCGCCGGTTGGTATGTAAATTAAGATTCCGAGAACGGTACCGAGTACAATACTTACGAATAAACATGTAGCAACAATGAAAAAGCCAATCATTCTTCGACGAGAGTTTATACATTTAGTTGCCAGTATTTGATCTGATTCAACGTTATCTAGTCTTTATAATAGTAAATATTAGGATTTATGTTAAAGAAAATATAATTCAACAAACTCAGGACTAGAAGCTCCTATTTTGTTTGTTTGATTCAGCTTCATGGCTGCACCATTTGAGTAACTCCGATTGCCATTTAAGTTATCATATTGGCCACTTTTGTTATTGGATGAGATATTGTGAGAGTGGATCCATGCTTCATCCCATACATTGGTACGATGAAGACCATTACTGGACGAAGAAAATTCTATTGGGTTCCAGTTACTGCTGCTGTTAATTAGATTATTCGATGATTGAGTCTCTGGTTCATTCCGTAAGTTTCTTTGCATAGCTAAATCACCGAATAAATTTGTTTCTGGCTGGTCCCATACACTTATTCTGTTCGTAGAAGTCAAGCCTAACGCTTGAAATTGTAAGCTATTCTGCATACTTTTGCCAATATTCGGAACACTCTGAGAATGAGTCTGAATATTGGGATACATATTTGTAATGAATGAATTTTCAAGAAAAGATTGACGAAAGTCCAACCGACCGGATGAATTCGATTCTAGCGTGTAAGAATTTACTTTATTACTGATGATGCTATTATCATCAATGGCGTGAATTCATGAAACTTCTGTGACGCGCTCAGTAATATTACAAAATTACAATCGTACTTTGATTTTTTATTACAATGTACATGAAAAATAATACATAAACCAGAATGGTGCAAATAATATATGGAAAAAAATTCTATTGGAAGACTTAAAATTTTGTTTTTTCATTGAATCTGAACATCGCGCGTAAAAACGACAAAGGTATATTTCGATCGAACAAATCAAAGAGAAGCTTTCTTATGCACTAATGAATTATTCATCTCGTTAATGCAATACTCATCAGTGGTAACATTGTCTAAGAAAAAGTACATATTTATAATCAAAACTAAATGATAAAAGTCTATGAAGAAATTAACGAAATAAGTAGTAAGCCTTAATATCCTTTGATTCCCAATTCTTGACCAATTATAATCGTATCACCTTTTGATTGCGAATAAAAAGATTTTTAAAATTATTCAGATATCTTAATCTCATTGAAAACGGCATTGAAGTCAAAATAGATAACAAAATCTAGTCTAATTATCATAAAAGAACTCATAAAAAATCAATCAACAAAAATAGGTAATAATTAGAACTGTTCAAGTCGTGCTACTGATACCGAGTGATGCTGTCAATTCATTTTTTGAAGAACAAAAGTCGAAATAATGTCATATTTACTATTATTCGCATAAGATATTCATGCACACTCGAATTGACGATAGAGAACTTTGCATATTGTTAGCAGAAAAAAATATGCGATTTCAATAAATTGCTAATCCGATTACAATAATGTATGCAATTTGCACATGAAACAAATATTATACTGTGTCAGTTAGAATCAAAGCTGATATCTTTGAGGAAATCTGTTTTTTAAATTTGCAGTATTTGTTCGTTTGCTGGTAGTGTTGAATGAGCCAATACATTATAAAGCGAAAATCAATTGAATAGATAAGGAAACTTCAAAATCATAGACATTGTTTATTATGAGAAAAAAACAAAGTTTTCGGGCAAACACAACATATAATTGTATTCCAGTATGTTTGATTTCAATGTCTGTATGTGTTAATAAAAGAATCACACAAAAAAGAATCACACAAAAAAGAATCACACAAAAAAGAATCACATCTAATTTTTTTCGAAGTAAGTAGAAATAAAAAGCAGCCATAGAACTCTGTCACTATTGCGTCGTTTCTGTATCTTTTACACCACACTAATGTATGCAATTATCTTGCTTTCATTTTCCTATGCCTATTAACACCGAAAATAAGATCTCTAGAAACATCTAATTACAACACGAATGACAAATCAAAGATTGATTTGAAAACAAAAACAATAAAGCCTATTATGAAATTTTTGTATTCTCAAAAACAAATCTCATTATGATGAATAAACAATTGTAAAAATTAAGACGGGTGTGAGTGTGGGCTCAGGTGAAGATTCTATAAATGCTCACATCAATGTGACGATAAAGATAATATTCTGTTTGGTTTATATCGTTAAGACAAACTTGATTAGGGTGGCGTAGCTTAGCGCCACTCACGGCAATGATGTTTATTCGGGTTTGGTGGAAAGGGCATACAGGGAAAATGTCAAAAAGGCAAACATAGAAGGGGGAAATACAGAAATTGTAAACGTCGAATGAAAAAAGTAGAAAAAGGAAAACGCCGAAAATTGAGTTTTTTGATAATTTTAAAGAAAAAGAAAAATTTATTTTCTAAATTGGTGTGCACATATACGTCGCATCCATGTCCAGTACAAACGTAATACTTTTTTGATGAGGACGTTTTGTTGCATTTGAACATATATTGATTAAACACTAGTAATGGTTTACCTTTATTAGTCGTTAAGAATGATATTCCACCAAGCGGGAAAAGCACGACTTCCGTATTTCCATGTACTTCACTCGTATTTCCCTGCACTTCACTTATGCTCCTGTGTATTTCTCTTGTACTCCCTTGTACTTCCATCGTAATTCCATGTACCCCATCGTACTTCGAAGTACGGAAGTCACGCTTTTCTCCCCTTGTGTTTCACTGTCCGCTGCCAACGATTGAAGAGAAAATTATTTCTTAGTTGTTTTCGCCAGACTGGTGTATATATATATAGTATACGCTAACAATGAACAAGTATAGACTATAGACGAGGAGGACAACGAATTTAACTTATCCTACTAATAACCAATATCAACTCAAAAAGAATTTCGTTATCTATAGACATCGTTTTCACTCTACGTTTTCCTTTTTTTTCGACATTTTCCTTCTCGGCGTTTTTCCTTTCTGCCTTTTCCGCCAATTCCTATTTTTCAATAATAAGCAAAGATGATAGATATAGCAGAAAACGATGATGACAGTTATACGTTTATAGAATCTATCAGGTTGGAAACTAATTGAACAAGATGACGAAGATTTCATTGATGAAATACAATATAATATTAAAAGTAAATGATGATTTTTAAAAAATTTTTATGGACAATAATTTGTTCAATATATAGAAAAAATACAAACAATACTTGATCAAAACTGAAATATTTGTATCGAAAAAAAAAATTTATTCTCTTAATAACTTTTCCAATGTTCAATACAGTATGACGACAAATAAGTTTATATTAATAATAATTAAAAATAGTTTTCGTAAAATTTTCGATACTTTTTGATCTTTATAAGAATTAATTTTTACAAAATAAATAGAATTATTTATGAATATTATAATGTTTGAAGATGTTAATAAAACAAATCAATGTTTACAACAAATAAAATATTTTAAATTATTATTTTTTTTATGAATTAATTTATGAACGTATTAGTTCTTGTTTTAAACAAACAATACTTTAAACAGTTAGTATATTGAATTTAGTATTTTAGAATTTTTAGTGAAATAATTTATCAAGGTTTTATATGAAAACAACAAAGAAAAATTCTCTTTTCGATTGTAAACATAAAGAATTGAGATAAAATAGAAGTTGATGATGTATAATTCTATTAGGATAAAAATCGAATAGTTTTCTTTTTTCTTCTTCTATTCAGTTTTTCTAATACTTTTAACAGTTTAAGAGAAAATTATCGACATTTTGTTTTTATAAATAGAATATATTAGATAGAAAACTTCATTGAAGATTAAAATTATGATCTAGATTTGAATTAAATGCTTAACATGATAGAAGTAAGAAGCAAATCAAAAAATGCGTTTTTTCATAAACATATTTTTCTTTTCTTTTACTTTCTTCTAATAGACTTTATAAATTATTTTTCTTTCTCATCTAGACATATAATCGTAGAACTATAAATAGCATATTAACAAAGTAATTTTGCACAACTGTTTTTTTATACTAATCATTAATATAGAAATTTATCTTATTCTATTTGTAGTTATAGCTTACTATTTCATAACAGCAAAGAAGAACACTGGAAGTTCGATTACAAGAAATATTTTATAGAACATCTAGAAATAGAACTATTGTCAATAGAAATGAAACAAAAAAGATACTAAAGGAAATTGATAATACAACATTAATGTCCCCATGTTGAGAATATTAATTTAGTTTTCTTGTGAATGCTCCTCCTTTTGTTCATATTATTACTATAAATGCCGTATTGAAAGCATTATCGAAAATAAAACTAGAGAATTTTAACAGATTCAAGTAGATTTTCGATAGGACCGAAGAGTCGAATTACTTTTCCTTACCTACCTATTCCTTATGTATCTTCGAAATGAACAAAATATTTCTATTGAAAATTATTGCTCTAGCAAAATTAAAATGAAATATTGTAGTGTAAGAATAGAATTTATATCTTTAATAGCAACTCGATCTTATTATATTTGAACTCATATATTTCATTTCTATTTATTAGTAGAATCTAGTATTATGTTTAATTTATTCAGCGAAGCGAGAGAAAATTTTAGCGAATAGTAGTCAACTCTAAACTGACTTTGTTATGAGACATAAATAATGCACCAAGAATATGTACATACATATATCGATCGTTCATTTTATCTTTAACAACTCTGGTTTCGTTTTCTTCTATCAGATTAGGTGTTTATGTTCTGTCTTTTCATAATTCTGATAGAAACACAAAAATCAACTGACGGAATCAAACAATTCTAATTGAATTCTGCTGTTTTCTATCAAAATTCTATAGATATTGGATAAATTCCATGATATATTTATTGGTTCCTATTAGAAGAGAAGCGTCGAATATTGTTGAAGAATATTTAATTGCAAATTGCAATCCTATTTAGTACGTAATAATATTCTATTTCGTATCTGAAGCGAATAAATCTATAGACTAGACATGTACATTTATCGTTACCATCAAAAGAAATTATTTCGTATTTTTTAAAATGTTTAAAAAATTCACATTTTAGCCATAATTTTCTCTTTTTTGTTTTTTTAAACTTAGAATACCTTCACTTTTCAAAAAGAACTATCCGTATTGAAGTTTATTTCTAAGTAATACACTTACATATTTTAGATACTATAGTACTCTTTCTAACACAAAACAAAATCAAATTCTTTTTTCTCTTCTCTTTTTTGAGAGTCATTTCTCAAAATATTTCTTTTCTACATTCTTTTCAATTCTCTTTTTCTCATTTTTCAAAGGACTATTCGCAAGCCAAGCCACGTTTAAGTATATATATATGTTTCTAACGGCAAAAATCATTTTCATAATTTCAACTTCTTTTCTTTTCTTTGCTTTTCTTTTCTCTTTTTGATTTTTATTTTGAAAATTGAAATATTGCTCCTTTTTATTTTATTGCATATTTTCTATTTTGTAAACGAAGTTTTAATTCAACAGCATATTTAACTACTCATTCTTCATAGAGTAATATATCAATGTGTAAAGGGAAAAGAAAAGTGATAGATGTTCAACTTAAATTAAGATAATCTCATTTTGACATGAATAAATTTTGTTTTTATACAAGAATATGAAAACAATTTATTTATTGATATATGTTAGTTTTAATAAATCGATGCTATTTTTCGTTATTTTATAGGAAATTGTCAATGCAATGGAGAAATATTCATTATTATTTAAATCAACAGCAATATCTTCAATTCTAATGCAAAGATTGATTTTCTAATCGATGAACCAATCTTAATTGCTCAAGAAGAACGATTGTTTGATATAACAAATGAAAAATACGATATTATCAATATGGCTATTCGTTTGTCATCTCAATCGACTGCGATGTTAAACCTGATGAACACTTTGGCACATGATACAGATCTTCCATTCAACGCTAAATTTCGTGTTCAACTCCGACCTGCATCATTTTATAATAAAGATAAAGATATTCAATATCAGTTATGGGAGTTGAGAATGAATGTTGATCCAGTCAGTTGGTTTGATTTACAATGGCGTCAATGTGATGACAATGAAGAATATCAACATAAATGTCTTGCAAAAGTAGGATTGCCATTTTCTTTTCAGTTTCATTTTAAGTTTAGATTTCTCCAAGTTTCAATTCTATCAAATCATTAGATAAAATAACAATGCAAAAAGAAATTTATTTCAAATAAAATTTCTCTAAGATTCATTTCATTCATAGAATCACTTTTTTCCTTTTCTACATAACTTAATCTTCTTTTATTTAGGCATGTTTGTGCCTTATCAGATGCCACCTGAAACATTGCAAGAACCAATCATAGGTCCTCAATATTGTGAATATCAATTATCATGTAGAAAAAAAACTCGATATGTGCCGATCATCCTAAACATTCTACAATTGTATGTCGAACAAAAGCGAAACGACAACGAGATGATGATATTCGTCCTTATGGTCAATATCTAATTGAAGAATTTATTGTATCAACATTTGAAATATTTTCTTTTCTTATTACTAGTCATGCCGCAGTTGAAAGATGCAATGTATAATTCGATGGCACTGAAAGCAGAGAAAAATATTTGTTTTTAACAATCACATGTTTTTTGTGCCACAAAGAGGAATTGTTCTGGATCTTGTTATTTTTCCTAAGTCACCATGACATTTATCGAATCGACACTTAATTCAATTACCTTTGTTTTGGACTACAGCAATAATAACTAGTCGAATGTTATATCGTGAATTACAAGAAAAAATGTTATCTGAACAACAAATGTGGCCAGTAGAAACTATTGAAATCAATTTTGATCAATGGGAAACTGCTGGATCTTACGATAAACAACGTATTGATTGTCACGCTCATATCATTTGTAAATGCATGTGATAGTATATTCTTTTCGGCACTGAAAGGTTGAGTAAATCAACCGGCGGATTACTTAAGATAAAATGTACAACTATGACACTTCGAAAGACGACATATTCATGAATTCGACTCAAACCTATCTAAACCATTGACTAATGTCGAAAAACACAATGCAACATGTAAAAACTGATTTACGAGATGTCAAACATAATTAACAACTGATATGCAGTTATCATGAAACTATTGTTGGACAAAGTATATAAGTTGTTATGAGGGCAGTCTTGAAGATTTTTCGAAACAAAAACATCAATAACATATTATTTATTTTAATAAAATAAAAGATTATTCAAACGCATTGATTTTTGTTTTTGAAGTCTAGGAAAAGAGAAAAATATTCTTAGAAATATATTTCTAACGACAGTTTTTATTTAATTAATCATCTTATTTAGTGATATATCTGTGACGATCATTCACCAGTGTTTCGTTACCTAGAGCTGGCGCTTTAACTTTGATTAAAGATTTAAAGTTAAAGTGCTACTTTAAACTTGGAAATTTGGCTAGTGTATTTAATCTCTCTTAAACAAAAGATATCTCAAGTATTTCATTTGAACAAAATTCAAATTAAAACATCTACTATAAGTAGAATATAAGAATAAGCATAAGAATTGTTTGAAATGCCATTTTAATACTTGTTACCTTTCATATGTATCTTTGTTTAAATTAATCATTATTAAAAGTTAATTATTTTGATAGACATATGAAATAACAGTTGGATTCTTCTATTGATTTCAAATAAATATGTTCAATATGATTCCGATTCCATCGTGATCACACGATTTACTGTCTATTGATTACAAAAAGTTTATTGCAATTAACGTAATTTTTCTATGAGAATTTATTCTCTATCAGCTGCTTTAAAGAAGAGAAATTAGAAAATGAGTAATGTTCTTGTCAATCAATCCCTTTTCTAAACAAAAAATTACATACATGCTAGAAAACAACTAGATGGTATCCGAGTTTCACTCGAATACGAGAATAGGTGAAATTGCAGCATCGATTTACACTGACAACAACATTACAAAGTTACTAAAAATTTGACGTGTACTACTCGAAGTTGCTATCAACCTTGTCAATGGCAGATTTTTCTCAATTTCATCTTTCTAGTTGTCGATAGGAATGAGGATCAGCGCGTTCTATCGATCAATCGTTTTGAACTTTTTCAAATAACCATAGAGCGGCTATCGTAAAAATTCATCACTTAGATGAACTTTATCCATTCGTATCCATATGTACGAAGAGGCTTATTTCGATATAACGCTTAGTCACCTGTTTGACTTTTTATTGATAATCAGCTAGATCCACAGGTTGTGAAAAAAGTTAACGTATGGATGGATTCCACTACTGTTCTCAATAGACCTACCTTTAATAGTAACTACGATAGACTTCTTTCTAATTTCATCGCTCGCATGCCATGTTTGCAAATTGATAGAAAAACAATCATTGAAACACCCGTAGTTTTTTTTATTTGAATGTTTTTTTATCTCAGTTCGAAAAAGTACTTTTGAATTTTCCTGTATGATTATCGAGTCAGTGATGACGACTTGTCAAGCGTAATTCAAGAAACGAAAATGAACAATTATTTGTTAGAAAAGATGCTACACAAGGAAAGTACAATGAAAGTCGACTTTTAGATATTACAATAGATTACAAAGTTTTTTTTTCTAACAACTGATATTGTGATGGAGTTTGCTCTTTTTTATGCGTACACATTTTTCAATGTGCGTTTGAGAAGAACAGCTCATCAAAATCTTCAATCATTTTCCAGTGGTCGTCATAATGAAATTCATAGCCATGAGAACTCTGTTACATTCATCAACTGATTCTTAAAAAAGATATCGATTGAATTTTTAAACATATCTATGCTTCATAACCCATACACAGTTGTTGCAACACGTACTTGTCGATAACTCTTTCTGGTGACGTTATTTTTACCATCCAGAATTTTAAAAATGAAAAAGTTAATGACGAATTCCACGAGTTTTTAATTGCCTCATTCGAACATTTGAAAACAGATGCTATTAGATCTATTTCAATAGTTCCATTAGCGTTCGAACTTCGAGCGAATATTTTTTGATACTACATCATCAATATCAATGAGTCATGAATTATTGACGACAAAATATCTGTATGTCGAGAAAGCAAACGACTGAGAACGAGTAGTGAGCTTTAAGATTTATTCGAAATTCTTATTGCCCCCATCACTTTCATTCTTCATAGCATTAGTTTTCTTATCTAGCTGCAAGAATTATGAACTTATCGATCAATGAAAATTTCGAATAAACTCAAAGCAGTCATAGTCAAATACGTGACTACGAGAACTCTATTCGTGTCTATAAACAGATTTTTCAAAAACAAATATCAATTGAACACTGAATAATCAGATGATTAATACCTGTTTCGCATGTTGACATCAACAAAATGGCGCGCCTAACTTTTTCGATTTATTCTTTCGAATTTAAAAAGAAGAGGAATTTCTCTATGACCTCACAAAAACCATCCGTATTTTGTTTTAGCAAGTAAAAGAAAAAGAAAACCCGCCAAGAACTACGTTGATGTTGTGCTTCACATCGCGTTAAAAGTCAATCATCAATGAACGAACTATTGACTAAATTTTCATTTTGAAAAGCAAAATATCAAATCCTCATCAAATTCAAGAGTAAACTAGTCGTTAGGATGAGAACCATTTCTAGAAATATAAATAAAATCAAGGAATCAATTTTTTTTCTTATATTCCATCTTACGTAAAACCTGCTCTCGACTCACATATTTTCAACGTCCAGCAAAAATGTTGAACGTCCATTCGTCTTTTTGATTTATTTATTCATCAACATCTTATTAGTTTTTCGTATCTTCTCATTTATTTATTTGAACTGTTTTTCTTTTTACAAAAAGAAAACATAGTTGATTGCAACAGATAGTTTTCCGTTCGTTTCTATTCTTCGACGCCATCAATGGACACTAAATCCTCAGCAGTTAAAATTATTCCTTCTCCAGAAAAAGAAACAGTTTTCATAGAAAACAAAAAATCAATCGACAGTAAATACTATCAAGCGTTTTGTTCACATAAATAGGCTTGATAAATCATTTCGATAAATATCTCAATTTACCCAAACTCCATCTGCTAACTGTTTTAAAATGTTAATGTTCGTTCAAAACAAGAGCTTATGTGCTCATCATAAATTCATTCATACAAAAGAAGAAAGAACAAAATATAACAATTGAAAATATTTTCTGTGTTCTAAACATTGATTCGTTTCATTAATATTTATTTATTTTATCAACTGAAAATCAATTCTTGTAGAGATCAAACACGATGAAAATTTTCAATAAGAAATCTATTTCTTAATTAGCATTGCGATAGAATTTATTTTCTCTTCATACTTTATTCGCCATTGAAAATACGACTAAGGAAATGCGGCTGATCTTTTCTTTTCAATTTCAATATAAATATTTCAATTTATTCTAGATCTATAGTGTAATCGTAACAAATCATTTTCTCAATCATCAATAAGATGATCGCTTTAATCAAAAGTCATCAAAGATTCATTTATTTATTATTTTTGTTTCAATTCAACTTTCTTTATAAATACTTCTAACAAGATTTTTGTCTCTTCTGCAATTTGAATAAAAATTAATTCATCTGTATCTTCGTTTATTTTTATTTTATCAAAATGAATAACATGTAATACATATTCTATTTCAACAATGTTTAACAGTCATTTACTCGCTCCTCCATTGGGATCGTTATTTAATAAATCATGTCCTTTGTTCAATGATGTTTGTGACGCATTTACTGGCGGCTCCACTGGTTGTTTATTTATTGAAGCATATACTTTTTCCAACAATGTTGTCATTGCTTCCATACCAGTTGTTAAATTTTTTACATCCCAGGTCGAGCTATCCCAGATTCAGATCCTGTCGGATCCTACCGGGAATCCCAAATGATCCAATACTTTCCGACAGGAATCCGACAACTTCCGACAGAATCCTGTCGGAAGTTATTGGATTCCTTGGTACAGGAATCCAATCGGAAATTGTCGGAGGTTGGACCCAATGATTTCCGACAGTCAGTCGGACAATCGGATTTCCTCGGAACCCCATGCAAACCTATTGAATTTATAGCTGAATATTAGATATCATTTGATCCCCTCCTCCTCCAACGCATACTTCCTTGATCACTTGCAATTAGCTTCAAAACTAAGTAGCTCACTGTATTTTATGCTAAGTTTTATTAAGCAAAAATTAAAATTAATACAAAAAAATTACGAAATAAACTACAATTAAAATAAAATAAGTTACAAAAAACTAAAATAATAAATTGCCATAAAAAACAAAAAATAAATTACCAAATAAAATTAGATACAAAAAATAATTTACGAAAAATTGAAATAAAATTACAAAAAATATTAAGTTCATATAAGAAAGAAATTTAATAATAAGTCTTTACGCACTGATGATAAACTCATGCTGTAATATAATCTAAAATAGAATAGAATAAAATATACATAAAACAATGAAACAAAATTTAATAATTGAAATAAATAAAATAGAATATAAAAGACTGATTTCCAATAAAATTAAATTAAAAAAAAAATAAAACTGAAAGAAAAATAAGAAACTAAAATAAAAAGATTAAATGCAATATAATTAAAAATTAAATAGTTTTTACTCACTGTTGATGAACTACATGCCGTAATATAATCTAAAACAAAACAGAATAGAGGCAACAAGAAAATAATAAAAAGAAATTCCAATAAAATAATTGAAGTACGTAAAATAGAATAAAAAATTGAATTTCAATAAAACTTAAACTGTAAAATAGAATAATTTCACAAATAAAAAACTTAACAATGTAAAAACTTAAAGTGAACTGAAAATAAAAAGAAATAAAAAGAATAAAATGCTATAAAATTAAAGAATAGTTTCAACTCACTGCTTATGCGCATCGTGCCATACTAAAATATAAAACATAATTGAATCAAATACAAAATACCCAATTTCGTTTTAATGGCATCCATAAATAATTGGTGGAAATTAGATACACTAAAATTATAGTATGGATGAGGGCGCTGTGAGTATAGTGAACAGCATCGAATGAAAATGAATGAACTGCAAAAAAATTGAAGAATTGGATTAAAAAAACTAAAACTAAAATTGAATTAAAAAATTAGATTAAAAAAAATAAAACTAAAATTAAATTAAAAAAAAAGTATAACATATAATAATATAATAATATAATAAAAAATTGATTAAAAGTGAATTACATTTTAAAAAATTAAGTAAATTAAAATTAAATTTATTAAACTAAAATCTATAATATATATAATATAAAATTAAAATTAAATTAAAAAAATAAAAAATTGATTGAATTTAAATTAAATTTAAAAAATTAAATTAAATAACGCACCCCTCAAAGTCAACAAGTGAGATAAAGTATGTGCAAATATGTTAATATCATCTGATTTTGTCGGATCCGATAACTTCGCATTTTCGGATGTCATCAGATTTTGTCGGATCCTATGGTCGGATATCATCAGATCCTATTGTCGACATCCAACGAAATCCGATGACGGAAGTCGTCGGAAATTAATGGATAATGATGGTTTCCGACAATCGGATCCGACTGCTGCCAACAGTAGGAAAGTGTCGGATTTTACAAGGGTCCCATCGGATCCTGTTGGTGAGATTCGACCTGGGATTATCTTTAAGACCTTGTAGATCGATTGTTACATTTTGTAAATCAGTCTTGACACCTTGTAAATCAGTCTTGACACCTTGTAAATTGTTTTCTACATTATTTAATCGCTGAGAGAAATTAGCCATTTGTTGCGAGTCAAATTCATGATTTTTTAATCTCTCGAAATGTAATAATTGGGTATTTTGTTTTAAATAATCCGGTGGTTCATCTACTCGACCTTCAAGTGGATTAAGAAGAAAATGTATCGCCACAGGCATTGATAAATCTTTCAATTAAGTAACAAATGTGCATGACAATCCATTGATCGGTTGTCGTAAGATCCAGCAATTTCCCATTGACCGAAACTGATAGCAATAGCTTCTACCGGCCATATTTCTTGTTGAACTAATATGTTTTTCGTCTAATTGACGATGTAACATTCTACTAGTCAATATCGTTGTTGCCCAGAAAAGAGGCAGTTGAAGTAACTGTCGATTTGATGAAACCTCATAGTGACATATGAACGATAAATAGATGAGGAATTATTTCCGTCTTTGTCATAGAATTGAAACGTGATTGGTCAATAGAAAAAATTGTTTGTCTGTTTGTTGTTGCAACGAGTTTTTTAATCGACCTTTCAGTAATCACATCACTAGAAATAAGAAAAAGAAAATATTTAAAATATCCATAGAACATAATTTCTTCATAGTCTTCACATCAAACGTATGAGATAACGTATTGCTCGAGTAATGCAAACAATAAAATAAACGGCAAAAAACAAGAATAACGCGATAGATAGAGATTTTCTATAAGAAGTATTTTATTTTATGTTTGAAAAATAAAACAATTTCATAAGAGAATGTGTTTCCAATGTACTAAGTATGAGACTCGTTTGTTTTTTATCTACTCTCACTTCGATATTCGTTGTTCATCTTTGATTTAAAAGACGTTAAAAAGTAGAAAATAGCCAAATCTAGTTTTTCTTTCAAATCAAACACAATAGACTCGCTTCATCTCGATAAATGAACACATACTTGATGACACAGACAATTATTCCATCGCAATATATTGGCCACGTGCCCGATTGTCATCATCGCGTTGCTCTATTACTTTAACACTGCGCATATCGTGTCCGCATGTTTTGAGATGATAATGTGAATAATTTCTAATGTTGATACATCTTTTTCTTTTTGATATTGACAATAAGAAAGAGCTTTGATGAGTTCATGTCATGATGTAGATGAGAAGAAATTCTAATGTCATTACAATTTGTGCCTAAACATAAGAGAACAAAGATATTAATAAAAAGAAAAATAGTTAACGACTTCACTTAGAAGCATTATCAATGGGTAGACAATGAGTATTTCAAAATATAAGAAAAATTAGCTTTGTAAGTTACTAATTTGTTCATTGATTAAATTGAATGAGCAGAAAATTTTTGAGAAACTTAATAAAAAAAGATATATACAGTAAACCCTCTCTATCAGTGAACACCTCTCTACGCTGAATTTGAACACCGTTCTACAGTTCCGATTACTGTTATAGCCTCGCTTAGAGGAACATACGTGAGCGTTTCTCGCTCGCTCGATCGCTCGCTCTCTCTCTCCTCTCCTATCTGCCATTGATGACTTATTCCTTGAAGTGGACTATTTATTGTTTGATAGAACTGTACGAATCAGACGGACAATGACTTTTCGATGTCATCTTACATTAAAAGAAAAAAGTCAAGCCATTAATGATACCATCGACGGTTATGATTAGTCACAATAGAAATTAGCTGAAAAATGCAACAAATCACTTGGTTCGATTCAAACATGTGAATAGGAAAAAAAGAATTTTCATAACATACAGAAATGAATCAGGTGCAAAGTGTTGAACGAAAATTCAAGATTAAACTCTAAATCTACAGGTATACCACAAAAACTTGAAATGTTGCAAAAGCTTCGCCTATTAAACATAATGCAATGACTACAATTACCTAGAAATTAATTAATGAGTTAGAATCAATGGGTTGATTCGACAAAATAAAGACAAACAACTCTACAGGACTTTATGAAACAGAGTCAAGTTTTTCGTTTTGTTGAGTAGTTTTCAAACTGACTGATATGAAAAAACGTTGAATCAAAGGGAAAATGGCCTCTAGCTACTTTAGAACTAGTAAACAAGTTCACCTTCAGAAACTTCGCTTCATAGTGTCGTAAAATATATGACATGTCCCATAGGTGAACATCTCTCAAACATGAACACTTTTCCAAAGTCCCGATGGTGTTCACTTAAGAGAGCTTTTACTGTATGTATATGTCGTAGGATAGATTAAAATCCAGTACAGTTTTAAATCGAACTAGGACAGATTAAAATTTTAATTTTTCCTAGTTCAGATTAAAATTTTAAAGTGAACTAGTTGACTTCGAAATGCATTTTAATCTCAACTAGTTGACTTTAAAATTTTGATCTGAACTAGGACACATTAAAATGTTTAGTCAAATTATCCGTGGCTGGCTGGTTGAAGATACGCGTTGGGGTGACGACAAGGGTCTATGGTGAATGATGATGAGNTTGTTACTTAATTGAAAGATTTATCAATGCCTGTGGCGATACATTTTCTTCTTAATCCACTTGAAGGTCGAGTAGATGAACCACCGGATTATTTAAAACAAAATACCCAATTATTACATTTTGAGAGATTACAAAATCATGAATTCGACTCACAACAAATGGCTAATTTCTCACGACGATTAACTAATGTAGAAAACAATTTACAACGTGTAACAACCGATTTACAAGGTCTTAAAGATAATGTACTCGTAATTATGAAGGTGAACATAATAATGGTCAGGTGAAACAAAAACATATTATATCATTGTTAGTTATTTTAGTTTAGTCTCTTTTCAGGACACGGACTTCTCTCTATCCAGTTGATGTTCTTAGACGACAAATTCACATAAGAAAATAAACTGACAATTGTTATTATATTTAATCTTTTTCTAAGTAAATAATGAAGTTGTTAAATATCATTTATTTCTAGTTAGTGTTTTTGTTCTGTTCCCTATAAAATCTTAGCACAAGTAAAAAGAAATTTTTTGAAAGATACAATTTTTCTTTGAATAGTGTCTGTAGGGTCTAGCTGCACTTTAGTAAATAGTTCTTATCTCACTGACTAATAATGTTTTTTTTTATTAGTAGTAGCAGATAATTTTCTTCAAGATTTGATTCCCGTTAACAATGAAATAATGATTTATTTATTTCTGTGTTTGTTTTCTTTTTATCTGATAGAGGAGTAAACATAATTGAACACAGCAAGTTTTCGACTAGTATGTCATTTATTTATTTATTTAACAGTTGAAAAGTATGTTCATTATTATTTCAATTGGAATTTTTTGTTTGATTTATGCTTTTTAGAGCTGCTTATTTAATAGAGTTTCCCAATTTATTGTCTAATGCTTATTGAATCATTTCAAAGTGTAAGTGCATCTGATCGAAATTGACGTAATGACCAACGAGAATACACTTATTTGTTTCATTCCTTATTCATCATCAATCATTGGTCTCTTATAACAAAACGTTATATATGTGAAAAATTTTCATGCAAAATTATATTACCAACATTAAATGCAATATCAAGAAGATGATGATGATTATCGAAAAAGAAAACAACGGCGCATTGCTCAGGTTAATTTAAAAGAAGAATTGTGTCTTTTGTTTTTAAGTTAATATTTTTTTGTTTTTTATAGTTATCAATGCATGATGATGATGATGAAACTGAAGAAAATGTTGTTTTGTTTGAAATGACCTATGCATCATTGATTGCTTGTATTGTTGCAGGTTTTTTTCGTCGATTATTATTTTAGGGTGTTGAAACAATTGTATCTCGTCTTTCTGTACAGGGTGTTCGTGCTATTATTGACGATACAGATACTGGTGTTGCAGTATTGCCTATTAGTTCAACTATGTATTATACAGATTTTTGGTCTTGTTTAAAATCAATTGAAGTGACCGAAGGTAGTGCAGGTTTGTACAAATGTATTGAATATGTATTACTCAACTTTTCATTATTATATGGGTGTGGGGCGTGGTTGGCAAATAGTGCCGTTAAAAGAATTGTTTGTTGATAATAGATCTTCATCACCTCCACCAATGACGACATTCAATTGGAAAAGAGAACCAACGACTACGAGAACAAATGAGAGTGGACAATGTTAGTTAGTCGCAAGATTTATTTGGTCATTTTCTCGATTAAAATTAGAACGAATAGAACATTATCGAAACTATCTCGAGATTGTGTTCTGTTTTTGAATAAAATGCAAAAAAACAAATATAAAGTTTTCCTTGAATCAACACTGTCATTTTTACATGCTGATTTACTTGTAGATACAAATGTCTCAATACGGTCGTCCAAATTCTTGCAAAGCTGATGATCCAAAAGGATCAAATACTAAAGAATATCGAGCTCGTGAACCTTGGTCAACATCAAGAAACGCTAAAAACCATCAATATTCATGGTGCCAATTTGATGAAGCAGCAAAACATTTTCAGGAAAAAATGGAAGCGGTGCAGAAGGTAAAAAAGAAAAAAAGCAAAGCCATCGTGATCTACTTCTTTCCTTAACTATAGAATATATTTATAGATATATATATTCTATAGTTCTTATATAAAATCAATTTTTTTCGTTTCAAAATGTTCCATTTGAAACATTATTTATTTGTTCATGTTGAATATTTCATTTGTTATAAAAGAGATTAGAAAGTCGACAACATATTTGACTAACTACTGTTGATAAAGTAATATGTTTTATTTCACAAGAAAAATGAAATAATATATTTTAATGTAATAAAATAACAACAGTGATAGTTTGAAGTGTAAGTAAATACAATTTTGTTAAAGAAGAACATTCAAATGAACTATGTGCTGATATTTTTCTTTTAACTTCTTTATGCTTTTTTAGGAGCTCATCAATGATGTTAAGAAATTGTCTTCATCATCTACACCAGTGGCTTTGAATGTTAATCCAAATATTGGTTTTCTACCGGATGAACCAGTATTAATTGCTGCAGAAGAACCATTATTTGATATTACAAATGAAAACGAAAATATTATAGATATGGCTATTCGTTTGTCGTCTCAATCAACTATGATGTTGAATAAGATAAAAGATTTGGTAGATAGTACACGTCTTCCTTTCCATGTTAAATACCGTCTTGAACTTCGACCTGCATCCTTTTATGATACCGATATTCAACATCAACTGTGGGAATTGAGAATGAATCTTGATCCAGTTAGTTGGTTTGATTTGCAATGGCGTCAATGTGGTGATGATCAAGAGAAACAACATACATGTCTATCAAAAGTAGGATTTCTCTTTTCTTTCTTAATTTCATTTCAAGTTTAGATTCCTATACATATCAGTTGAGAAATTAGATATTAAAATATGTTTCAATCTCAATTGTATTATGTCGTTCGAACAACGATGAATTAAAAAAGACAATCTTCTCAAATTTATTCAAATGAGATTTATTTTTAAATCCATTTCATTAATGCAATAATTATTTTATTATGTAAATAACTTTGCTTTATCTTGTCTAGGCACGTTCATACATTAAAAAATATCGTGCGTATATTCCTGAACAGATGCCATATGAATCATTACAAGAACCTATAAGAGGTCCACAATATGGTGAATATCCATTGACTTCTACAATAAATCAATATCCAGATCATCAAAAACCTGTTACAATTGTATGCCACGCCAGAAAAACGAGACAGAGAGATAATGGTAATGGCGAATGTGGTCAATATATCATGGATGAACATATTGTGATGCAATGGTCTGTAAAACCAAGTATGTTGATTTTTCTAATTTAATTTGTTTCAAATCCTACATGAAAAACTGATACTAAATTTACACTACACAAAAGAAAAGACGACTCATTTTAGCTACAAAAATGAATACCATCTTTTGAATTGTTTTTTTTCGTGATAGTACACGAATAGGAACAGATAATCATTTGTTTTATTTTAGAAATCTTCATCTATATCAATCTGCATGCTTGTTTTCATTTCCTTTTTCTTTTTTTGTCTATGCCATCAGTGATACTTCATATCCAATATTTACTATGAAAATCATTACAGTTACATCAACGTTTCAAATATTGTCTTGTTTTACTTTCTAGTTATTCAATTGTTCGACTGGCAAACGTTTCATTCGTCGCAAATGGAAAGCCAAAAACGAAATCTTGCTAAAGACGTACATTTTATTTTTACTGCAAACAGAGAAATTATTCGAGATCTTGTTATTTTTCCTAAGCCACCGTGGCATTTAACTAATCGACAATTAGTTCAACAACCTTTTTTCTGGGCAACAGCGATATTGACTATTAGAATGTTACATCGTCAATTAGAAGAAAAACTATTAGTTCAACAAGAAATATGGCCTGTAGAAGCTGTTGCTATCAATTTCGGTCAATGGGAAACTGCTGGATCTTACGACAAACGACTTATGAATTGTCATGCTCATGCACATTTGTTACTTGATTTAGCATTTATCAATGCGTGTGATGATACATTTTTTTCTGCACTTAAAGGTCGAGTAGATCAACCACCGAATTA